ATTAGTATACTATAAAATTACAATAAAAAAACGTACAAGCGTCTGACGTATTTCATCATTACGAATCATCAAATCCAATTGTTCATAGCCCAACTTGACGCAAGCTACTGCTGTCCTCTAAATACACAAAGTCATAAAAATTGAAAATTTTAAAATCCAATGAATATATTTCAACCAGTTAATTTCGACAGAAGATAAACAGTACCACTACTGGGCATTTCATTGAGGAGTTTGAACAGCTTATTAAACCTTTCGTAAGTTGATTTTTCTTCTCTCTCTAAAATTGTGCGTAAATCTTTTTTGAAACAAATTAAAAATCAAACTTCCGAAGAGATTCTCTGAGTATGGAATGCAATTTCCAGGTTTTTCTATTGTTTGAATGTTCGTTGTTTGTGTAATTTGGCGCTACTTACAAGACTATGGGCTTTTAAAGTTTTTATCCTAATCGGAATGCCATTACTTTCTTTTATTTCTTCCTTAAAAAACAATTTAACTTAGTACAAAATGCTTTGTAAATGAAGCCCTTTAAAGGGAGCTCAACCAAGAATATCTGATTTTCTTCATTTATTTTAGGCCCAACGCAATGGCTTTGAAGGCCCAACCGTGGGTAACAAACCCGTTGAGAAAAACGCTAGAGATTTCTCTTATGAGCAACTCAAATCAAGTCATGGTACCATTGGTCTGCAGGCTGGTACAAATAAACTGGACTCCCAGAAAGGAATGACAGCCATGGGAGCTGTCCGTCACATCTCCGATATTCGAGCCGACAAATTTGACAAGCAGTCGGAGGGATGCATTACCCTACAAGCCGGAACAAATCAGTGGGCCAGCCAAAAGGGTATGACGAGTATTGGCGCCATTCGACACATTTCTGACATAAAAGTATCTAAGGCAAGCCAGGAAGGACAAGCGGATATTAGCCTGCAGAGCGGTACCAACAAGTTTGACAGTCAGAAAGGAACGCGAGGATTTGGCGCAGTTAGACATATTAGCGACATTAGAGCTGATGACCTTCTGCGAGAGGGTACTGACAAAATCTCGCCTGTCATCTCCTTCACTGGCGGAGACAGTCAAAAGGGCATGCGCGGTTTTGGCGCCCAACGTCATGTTTCTGACATAGCGGTTGTCGATTTGGCCGATGAGTTTTGCAAGAAAACAGGATACAAACCACCAAAAGCTGTCGTGAAGTCCGATTCTAAGGGGGATGTAACAGCGGATGAATAAACTAAACTAGATTTCGAACTTTAGAACTTTTTTTCAAATTTGAAATTAAAAAAAACATATGACAAATAATTTATAAATTAAATTATTAATTTGACGAGAGAACATTTGGCAAGCACCTGTGCATTTGCAACTGAATGCAGACTCATTTATATCACTTCCTTCGCACATGCACTCATCTTACGAAAAAAGGACAGGGACGTTTGCATGAAATTAGACTTCTTTGCATTTAATTAGAACAATAGAAACTTTTCCGTAATTCCCTAAACAATTTTACCCCTTCTGTTATTTTTATTTTGCTTATAATAACTGGAATAAATTTACAAAAACCGTATTATGTTTTTCAATAAAATGTACATGATTTCTTTGTCTTTATTACTTGGACAATTTCAGGTTTCATTTTTAAGGATAATTTCAAAATGAAATCCATATTGGATAGGGTATTCTAATATTTTATCTGTAGTCAGTCCAATACTACATCATTTAAAAAAAAACGTTCTCAAGAGGAAATGTAAATTATATTGATTATTTAGCATTGGTGACCTTAAATAATGCGCAATGAAAATGAACAAAGGTACATATAAAGCAGTTTTCTTCTAATCTAAAAATAGATTAATTACAATTATGAGCTGTTCACTTTGAAAAGAAGCATACTTATTGAATGAAGGTGATTCTTTATCAATGCTTTGACCGTTTCAGGCTCAACGAAATTCCTTTAATGGCCCAACTATAGGATCTAAACCAACCGAAAAACATGTCGTTCATTTTACGGAGGAACAGAAGCGGGCAGGTCATGGCATTATTGGATTACAGGCGGGCACAAACAAATGCGCGAGTCAGAAGGGCATGAAGATTGGAGCAGCCCGCCATATTGCTGACATCAAAGCAGATAATCTCGATCGAGCGGGCCAAGGCATCATTGGAGCACAAGCAGGCACGAATCAGTATGCTTCACAAAAAGGAATGAAAATTGGTGGAGTTCGTCATATTGCTGACATCCGCGCTGATGACATGACACAGGAAGGACAAGGTATTGTTGGAGCACAGGCAGGAACCAATAAATTTGCAAATCAGTCCGGCATGACGTTTGGGGCCGTTCGTCACATTGCTGATATCCGTGCTGATGAAGCATCTCTAGAAGGACAGGGCGTCATAGGACTACAATCCGGAAGCAACAGGGGCGCAAGTCAGTCTGGTATGTCGTTCGGTGGCAGACGACACGTCTCTGATATTAGAGTAGACGACATGTCACAGGACTCGCAAGGAATAGCGGGCGGACAATCGGGTACGAATCAATTTGCGAGTCAGAAAGGAATGTCTTTTGGGGCGGTTAGACACATTGCTGACATCCGCGCTGATGACGCAACTCAGGAGGGCCAAGGCGTCATTGGACTGCAGTCTGGAAGCAACAGAGGAGCTAGTCAAACGGGCATGTCATTCGGTGCTGTCAGACATATTTCTGACATCCGCGCAGACGAGTACTCACAAGAAGGAGCGGGAACAATAGGGTTACAATATGGAAGTAACAAAGGAGCGAGTCAGTCAGGCATGAACTTCGGGAAAGGACGAGGGGTAGCTGATATTCCAATCACAGATCTGGCAGAGTCCATGGGATACACACAGTATTGAGAAAAGGGATCGATTCTGGAGGGTTTAGAGGTGTTTTGTGTGAAAAGTATACATGTCTACAGACTCAGCAGAAAGTAAAATTTGTACAGTAACCTATGGATTAACTATATATTCTGCTATAGCTAAAGATCTATGTTGTTTCTGCTAAATCATCTTTATGTGTACGTGTATAAATCTTTGTAATGTCAGTGTTTTTTTTTCCGAAGGGACAGAAATTAGAGCCACAACAAGTTCAAGATACCTTCGAGTGTGATATTGTTAGCACAGCAAAATCCGATCATTCCTACAAAATCAAAACGGTATCTGTTAATAAAAGTCTAAATTTTCTGTCTTTAGAAGTCTTGTGAGTCACTATGCCAAATCACTATGCTTAAATCACTTTGCTGTTTACGCCAAACCATTTATAATCTCGTATTGTCTTTTTGTACTATGTGTAAAATGTATCCATTAAATCATCGTTTATTAATCGCTTTCTTTAGTTTTATTTATATTAAAACCCAGAGTACTTTATATAAATCATTGATAAATTCATAGATTGATTAAAGGGGAAGAAACTTTAAGCCTCATACTTATGACTTAATAAACACACTTCCTCTGATCATTATGAGTTTCATTGTTTTTAAAAAGAAACATTTTCAACCCTATATAACTGAGAATATTATCAGGTAGTTCATGAATATTTATAAGGATCTTAGGTTAACACCGTTCCAAGCTGATGTTGATTAGTGGAATTTTTATGGATTGGGACGCTTCAGTTTGAGGTCTATACGTCATCGTTTTTCTCCTAGTAACACCTGGTATAATAAAAGCGTTTTGCTCATGCCCAGACATGTTTTTTTTCTCCGAGGATTTGGAACTAAACAACACTTTAATTACATGATTAACATAGTTTCTCCTCTATCATTATATCTGGTGACGAATTTTACATTTTTAAGATCCATTTATATCAGAATCATACTATCGCACCTTATCTTGGGTCTTGGGTCTTGGGGCAATCGGGAAAACATCAGATATGCTATGTAGACACATTAACATTGAAATAAATGTAGGGATACATCTTATCTGCAGAGTTCACTTTGGATCTTAGCCTTATTGAATTTTAAAAATATAATTTTAATATACTGCGGAAGAGACAAACAACTGTCTAACCAATACATGTCCTGCATTCTGTATGGTAATTTAAATAAATTTGAGGTCTTAACTGTTTCCAGAAAGCCCGAGAATTTTCAATTGATTCATCATACTTTGATTTTTAAAAAATACAGTTAATATACTATATAAATCAAATAATAAAACCAGTTAAAATTAATGCATTGAAACAATATTGAAAGATGAGGTCAAATTAATAAAGTTCATGATTAAGAATTAATCTTCTTTTTCCGAAGGTCAGAAACCTTTCCTTTCATGCTGGTTTTAAGGAGTGGATTCATTCAACCTTTTTCACGATATATTGCTAGCACATTTTAATGTTTCATCTGTTAATGAAGATTTCAAATTTGCTTAATGAATAAAAGCAAAGCCAATATAGTTTAAAATCTTGGACTGTCGTTATTTAAAAGCAAAGAGTACATACACTTCTAAAAGGAATTGACGGCTTACATAGAGTTGCCTGTATACTTGACATCTGAAATTTGAAACCCCAATTGAATCTGGACAATGTATAGAGGAAAAAATAAGTATGATATGATTTATTTACCGTTTTCTTTAAATTTGCTAAAATTGTTTCCTTTTGGCATTTATTTCCTATTAATACGGAAGGACAATCTCTTTTATGATGCATGGGTTTTATAGGACAGCAGAAACTTACATAATGGTAAACCTTGTCTAATGACCTTGTACCGATTGTTAATGAGGTAACTAAAGATGATTACCTTTAAACACATGTATATAACATTGAAAAGATCCCAAACGACAAACAAGAGAATTGTTTTATTTAGGTAGAAAAAGCTAAAACTTTATAAGAATTAGACCATTATTCTTTACAGTCACACATACCTACCTAATTGTTTAGTCGAAAGTTAGGTTAAAAAAAATTAACAGGAATAAAATACTAAGTAGTTAATGTGAGATATTTACGGTTGCCCATAGAATAAAGGCAAGAGTTACGTGATCCCGGACGCAAAAGAATAAAACAGAATAAAATTAAGGAAATTAATTTTTTTCGTCTTGAAAAGTAAATGGTATTCATTGGAAGTTGTTCTCAAATTGGTAGATGTCGTCCAAATGCTCAAATTAATAATCAGTAGTTTGGTGTGGATTGAAGTTGCTATTGCCTATGGTAACTATGATTATTAACTTTTTTCTAATTGCAATTCATGTAGATCAGAAGTTTTATAATTTTTATGACGTCATCAAAGGATTTCATTTGTAAGTTACATCGATGCTATACTTACTCGAGTGTGCAATATGCGCAAGTGCTCTTTTTATAAATGTTCTATGCGCATTGGAAATATAAGTTGCAGAAATGCCTATTTAGCGGCTGTCCCCTACTTTTGCTAAAATATGACAAAAAACAGGTCTCGTGGGAAAACCCGGTCACCAGCTTCTCACCTTTAGTTTTCATAATTGTGGATAATATGCAGATGAAAGTTATTTTGCAGAGAAATAAAAATAAAATGTCTTGATGAGAATCGCGCATTAATTGAGGTTTCTTGACACTATTCCAATTTTCTTTTACTTATTCGTCAAAACGAATTTCTAATTTGTTTTGACAAATAATTATATCTAATTCGTCCGAACGAATTTTTGATTTGTTCGAACAAAAATCTAATTTGTCCGAACGAATTTCTAATTTGTCTGTACAAATAACTAATTTGTTCAAACATATTCCAATTTAAAATTGTCCGAACAAATAACTTGTGTGTGGAACAAATTATAATTCGTTCAGAATTTCTAATTTTTCAGAACAAATAAAGATATTTTTTTTACCTGGCCCTTCAGCGTCTCCGCACTGATGAATAAAAAGTTGAAAATAACGAGCAGTTCAATCACTCGCACAAAAAATATAGGCCCCTACACGATACCATTCTGTAAAGAGGACAGAAAAATTGGACCATGGAAATTCCAGAGCTGTGCTCAGATGCTTATAAGGAGTAAGCATTCCCTGTTGAGCGGTCACATCCGCCGTGAGCCCTACATGTATGTTTTGATCAGTTAGACGAAACTTTACCTACTCAAATTCAGTATAAAAACAAAGACCTATAAATAAATATGAAACGGTCAGCCAAAATATGACCTAATGATAGATCATAATTGCTAACAAGGTCATAAAAACGAACATAGGATTTACGAAATGTAGACTTGAACGACGTTGTTGAAATCCCTGTAACATCAACTTCTATGTCAGTAACCTGTCTAGGTTTAAAACTTGATCCTTCTCTGAGTATGCTTTTTTAGTATTGATTAAGTATGTGATAGCAGGCCATTGCTACATGAATGAGGAAAGTTGATGATAGAAAGTTGAAGTCGTCTCGTTTGTCTAAAACTTTAGTTCCTAGTTAGTCCTTTTCGTCAATAGTCAGTAAAGCATGAAACAGATGTGTCATCCAAATAAGAAAGGTATTTTTTTCTTCAGCTTTATAGAAATTAGCAAATAAAGTGGCAAACATTTAGTGCTTAACGGATGTCCAACATTTTGTAAGACCTTTTGTCCGAAGAGTACATAAATATTGTCACCGAGGAAGTCCAGCATTTTTCAATACATATTTAACACCAACTTCAGGGTGCTTTTGTGTAGAATCAAAGTGTGTTTTAACAATTGAAAGTAATTTTTGTTGATGAACAATCATTTACATTTTTATTGAAAACATAGAAAACTCATGCATTTTAAAGTTATTGAATTTTTTGAAAAAGAAAAAAAAATAATATGATATTAAAAGTTCAGCACTATAATTAACATAAAATTGTAGCACTGTACGTCTAATGCTTCTTCTTTACACCAATTGATATTTTTGTAAGTAAGGAGTAAGTACTTAATAGAACATTTTAGAACCCGGCAGTGTATCTGTTGTACGGGTTTTGAAGTTCTAGAGAATGTTACGAAGCAAAAACTGTGTGTACGATTTCAAAAAGTCTAGAAAATTGTCACAGAGTATTAAAATTGCATTTATGGCTAATTAAAACAATTTCAGAAATCTGCATATTTTTTACACGTGGATTGAATCGAAAAATATGATTTCATGAAATTATAATTCCGTTAAAAGCGTGTATACCTAATAAATTACGACTGTCCTATCGAGGTAATTAAAATATTTTCATCTTTTTCAGTCATACATTTGCAACTTGTAGCTGACAAGCCAAATGATTTCTGAAAAACAATTCGGTATTCGTTTTAATTTTTAAATAAGAGATTTGTCACTTACATAGGAGTTTACATGTCTTCATTTTTTTTAATTAATAAGGGGTCACAAATTTATGTTGACCTCTAGTTATATTTAATTTATCATTTTAGATCCAGTAATTGAGCAGATCTCCCCAAACCTAGCTATTGTTGGCGAAAAGTACTCTTTGCTCTGCAAAGCGGAGCCTTTGGGAAACTTAAGTCAAATAAACTGGAGTTTTTCGAACGGTTCAACAATTATTGAAAACGAAATTTTCCATTTAGAAGGTAACATTGGTGAAATACTCATATTTAAGGATGTCCGAAAAACTTTCAATGGTGTACAGTTCGTATGTTTTGCGACATCTTTTGAGAATACAACGATCAAAAGCAAACCCTTTACATTAATCGTCAAAAGTAAGTCTGAATATTTGATACATCATAATTTTTATTCATATATTTTCCTAATGAATATGCATGTAGTTGTTAGATTGACTTCCGCCTAATAATTTATAGCATTCATGTATAATTTGACATATTGATCAGTAAGCCATCATACAAATTCTGTCAGCTTACTGGTATGTTCGGATCCCTATTTGCTTCCCTTTACATTTCATTCATAGTAAAATAAAATCTGAAAAAGTACTTTTCCGGTCTAATATGACTATATAAATATTTTGAGAAAAAAATACCCACTGTTTTGTTTTTAATAAATTTATTTCCGTCCCAACTTATATGTAGTCGCAAAAGTAGACATGTCCTTTAAAATTGCATTAAAAATTCTAGGTCTTCATTTTTTTCGTAAACATGAGAAACACAGTTCCATACATGTGCGTTCATTTGGTTAGAGAAAGACCTATTACTTCACGTCCATTTATCTCCGAACTTTCTTAAGAAAAAAACGACCACATACTTCTAATCAAGATCTATAGACATAAAACGCTGCATTTCATTTCCGGAAATATGCATAGCATTTCCGACATTTTTTTATTTCATTTCCGACATTTTTTGTTTTCATTTCCGACATAATTTTTTTTTCATTTCCGGAATTTACCTGTGCAGCAATTCAATGTTTTCTAAGTCAAAGAAAATGGAATTTTAAAAGTATTTACCAAAATACATGTATTAATAAAAGATAATAAAAAAAATCTATACATATATACATACATGTAGCACTAAGTCAAAAAGTGTCCAATGAGCATAAAACTTTTTCACCGCATTTTATGTGCACTAAATTAAATGTCAGTGACAGCACCATACTAATGTCCAATTAACTGATAGATTTACAAAATTGGATTTCAATGATTTATTTATGATTTATTCCTTTCAATTTTTCATAAGTAAAGTTATCAAATCTGTTACTATAAGTATACTACATATGTATTGGAAAAATGTCGGAAATGAAAACTAAACAATGTCGGAAATGAAAAGTTGATAATTACCCAAAATTCCGGAAATGAAATGCAGCCGACATAAAAACCGAATCTAAGAACCGATTTAAATAATTAAACAAATTTTAATAAAACTATTTGTGGTTTATCTGAAATATTCAGCCATTTAAGGTATTAGTTAGTCTTGGTTATTTTAGAGTCCATATCTAGAATACAAGTCAGACAGAACTCCTCAGATCCTGCCATTGCTGGTCAGAACTATTCTTTGCTGTGCAATGTTGAGCCTCCCAGAGAAAATGGTCTTATACATTGGAGTCTTTCAAATGATTCAGCCATTGCTGAAAATGATGCTTTCAAGTTAGATGGTATCATTGGTCAAACGCTTACTATCGAAGATGTCAGTCAGTCATATTTAGGGTTGCAATTCATATGTGCTACCATAGACGTTGATAATTCAACTAAGAAAAGCCCGCCCTTTTCGTTAATTGTTGTCGGTAAGTGAAAGTTTAATTTAACCAATGAACGTCAATTAATGTCTTTCTTTCACCAATGTAAATGGAAGCTTAAATTTCCATTCTTTAAGTTTACTTGCAACAAGACTACATCATACAAAATGTTAAGTAGAACAAAAGAACGTGTAAGATAAAGAAAGATGGGATTAAATATATTAATTGTTGAACTAAATCTGCTTGTTTGTATTATAAATTTTGCTTTTCTAATAATATTTGTTATATTCTTTATTTTAGCCTCGCCAGTGATTGAATTTTTCGAAGACAAAATCTACTCGCAATCGGGGCAACCATTCTCTAAAGATTGTATAGCTTCCGGCTATCCCTACCCCGTGACAAAGTGGTACCAAGACAAGAATGAAGTACAACAAGCGAAGACCTCAGTGTTTCGTTCTGTTTTGGCCATCCCTACTGTTCCCCCGAATAAACGTGTAAATTACACGTGCAGAGCAACGGTTTCACTTGGAAGCTTTGTTTTGTCTTCCAACAGAACATTTACTCTCGTATCGTACGGTATATAAAATATTGAATTATTGAAAGGTAAATTTCGTTTTTTGTATTGAAGCATTAAATTTTAATTCATATAATTCGTTATATTATAGATAATAAAGGTGTGCAAAACCGAGAGGAAAATTTCACCAACAGCGTAGAATATAAATATTCTGTATTTATAGCGACTATTTTGGGAGTTGTTTTAATGATTCTGGTACTGACAGGTGTTCTGTGTGGATACTTGAAAATAAGTAAGGATACTTTAGATTATTCCAGTCATCCAAATCTTTATTAGAGTTTTTTTTTATTTGCATATCTGTAATGGGTTTGAATTTACATGTAGGTGATTTTTTTTACCAGGACTGGATCGGTCGAAAGAATCTGATATAAGCAAAAGCAGAAAGAAAGACGAGAATATACCAGGGTATAAATATTCGAAATGAAAGTTATAGATATGGTCCTGCTTAACGTTGACACAAAGGGGACATTTTGTTCCAATTTTTAAAATTAAGAAATGCAGTATTTCTTGTAATTTACGAAATGCATATGATTTTAAAGCATATGATATCGCAAGAATTACAGCATATTTTAATTTTATAGTAATTATGAAAGTACAATCTTCTTTTAAAATACGTTCCATTAATGTTAAAATATCTTTAAAAAAAAAAAAAGCAATTAAAATTATCTTATTATTTTGTGACTATTTATAGGTCATATGTGCAATTGGAGAATTTTTACGAAGTCATGAACGAAGAGGAATCAACAAACCGTAATAAAGAACAAAAGCCTCAGAAAAAATGTAATTTACTGATCATAGAAAATATGCATGCAAACGTATAAGTGTATAGTTTGTTATATTGTCCTTTTGATACGAACTGTCCAATGGATGAAAAAGTTAATGTGAAAACAAACACATCTTGATTAGAGTTTTTTTGAAAGGTTCTCTTTTTGAATAGTATGTGTAGTTTATATGCAGCTCTTTAACCTTAGATTAAAAGACATCGACATAAATCGACCAAATTAAATTGAAATGCCTGTTCTGTATGCTTTTTTATCTCCAACATTAATGATATATATTTTTACAACATAAAAAAGTAGTATTGCTTGAACGAATTTTATTTATTCTAATTTAGCAGACAAAAAGAAGAATGCTTCAAAAAGTAAGTCTGTTCAAACGATGTTTTCAATTTCATCTCTTATTTCCATAACGTTTACTGTCGTTAGAAGGAAGACACGTTTTTCCTTCAACGCAACAGCTCAATATCAATATAACGGAAAGTTTGATGTCTTAATAATTTTAATGGAATTTATTAGATGTGTCGTAGATATTTATGTATGAAAATAATGGAATAAAGTTTTTCTTACAGGAACTTAATGGAAAAAATATGTATATGAAAATCTTTTTTTTAGAAGAGGAAAAGTTGAACGAATCAAGGAGTGGGCCCTCCCTAAAAGACCCTGGAAAGGAAATTTCCATGTATGTAGTGCTATCCCTCATGGTCAACAATGCAAACTTACCACATAAGCATACAGCTTTATTTAATAGTTATATGTTTTCTGTACATAAGTTAATCTTCGTTTCAAAAGACGAATTATATATACATGTAGATGTAGCATTTAAATTCAAATTGATTTCCAGGAGGAATTTGCTGTCGAGGGAGGTATCGAAATCAGTCAATTAATTCATATACTTTTACATATGAAGAAAACTTTTACCGTTGATTTAAACTGCACATTTAGATATAAAGCAAAGATGCCTTTAAGTATCAATTACAATTAGTCACTTTTATTCATCTCGGTGAACTCGAAATAAAAAAACAAAGTCTGTCACATGTGCCCTGTACAGATATCTGTATTGCTTAATAAAAAGATTTTTTTCTGTATCTCCGTTTGTTTTTTTAAAGTATTATGGCTATATGATGTCTTCCGAATATGCTTGTATAATGCATGCGTTTCACATGAATTTATAGTTCTTGAAAGAAATTGTTTTTAGTATACCTGGATTCTTTATATTCATCTTGTATCATAAGATATATGTTAGATTTACAAGTTACAAATCATACAAGATGTAATTAATAAAATTTTTGAGACTATGTTTTATTGATTATCTTCATAATGAGTAAGACTGGTCTAAATTTTTAAGCTTTCTTTCTTTTTTATCAAATCAGATTCACTGAACTTCATTTTTACTTTGCATTGATCATGATTTGTTTGTTACTTTGTTTGTTTGATTTTGTATTTATTCAATTTTTGGACATCTGACATGTTGAAATAAATAACTTTGATTTTTTTAAAATTATGTATTTCAGAAAAGGTCAGAAAAATTTGCCAGGTGATACGTCTTATTATGAAACCCCTATTGAAGGAACAAATTCCACAACTCCCGAATTTGTTCAAAATTGTAAGAAATATATTTTCACAAAACTTCTTTTATAGGTAAGTCTTTTTTCACATTTTTTTTAAATTTGGACACTTTGTCAGATTTATTTTAGTGTTTATTTATTTTCTCACTTTGTACGATAGTCATATTAAGCTTTGAACTATTTAAGTGTATAATATGAAACAGTGTGACCAGCTCACACTTGTATTATTGTGCATTGATTCTCTAAGATGAATTTTATTGGTCTTAATGTTTCATACTTTATTATAAGGTACGGTAGATAATCATAACAGTCATTGCTGTTAACTTTTTAAGCTAAATTGTAACCACAATTTTTTTTATTTCTCAATTTCAGCAAATAAAGATAAGAAAGAAGCCAAAGTTGACTCTTCATCAAACACAAACGAAAAGACAAGCTCAGTTTCTCTGAAGTATGTTTTAAACTTCAAGTTCATCGCAACAAAAAATAACTAAACGTTTTACATAGTTTTTATGATTGTACCAGGTTTATGTTAAAAGCTATGTACCCTCGATTCTATACTTAATAGCAAGTTATTTTTAAAAGTGTTTGAACAAAGCAAAGACCTTTTACAGTTAGATTTAATAAAATATTTTTATTAATGAAATACTCTTTTAAAAAGTAACAAGCAATCAGCGATCTTCGTTTTACTTTCATAAATGTAAATGTAAATAATAATAATGATTGTACAGTTACAATAGGCAAAAGAAGTAGATGTTTCAGCAATCTCGTTTAACGTCAACATTTTCTAAATTCTATGGGGGTTTTATGATAAAATTTGATAAAATTACAGCAATTATTGCATTCTTTTAAAAAAAAAATAGACATCTGAAAACGATTTTAATGTATTTTCAGCAGCCAGCCCGAATTGATGGGTGATTCGTCTTACTATGAAGATGTTGCAATAGGTACAAATGAAAAGACTTCAAAACCAGTTAAAAATGGTAAATGTTGCCTCATGTGTATCTTAGTTTTAGCTCCTCTGGATCCTCTCGGTCCCTTCTTTTTCTTTCATCTGTAATAAAAAACCGCAAATTCTACATTGTTGATTTAATAGAAATATAAAGTATCAAAAGCAGACTTCATCAAGATACACGATTCCTTATTTTTATGCGCCCGGATCGATAGATCCCGGGCGTATATTGTTTTTGTCCTGTCTGTTTGTCTGTTTGTCTTTCTGTCTGTTGTCAACTTTAACCTTCGCCATAACTTTTGAACAATAAGAGATAGAGACTTCATATTTGGTATGCATACTCCACTAATAGAGTCCTTTCAAATGACATCAAGGTCAATGACCTTGTGACCTTGACTGTGACCTATATGCTAAAAATAGCTTTTTCCACTCTTTGTCATAACTTTTGAACCATAGGAGAGAGGGACTTCATATTTGGTATGCATACTCCACCGATAAAGTCCTTTCAAACGACGGCAAGGTCAATGATCTTGTGACCTTGACTGTGACCTACATGCTAAAAATAGCTTTTTACACTTTTTGCCATAACCAAAAGTTTTAAATATTTTATTGCAGGACACTTTTGAACCATAGGAGATAGGGACTTCATATTTAGTATGCATACTCCACCGATTAAGTTCTTTCAAATGACACAATGGTCAATGACCTTGTGACCTTGACTGTGACCTATATGCTAAAAATAGCTTTTTCCACTCTTTGTCATAACTTTTGAACCATAGGAGAGAGGGACTTCATATTTGGTATGCATACTCCACCGATAAAGTCCTTTCAAACGACGGCAAGGTCAATGATCTTGTGACCTTGACTGTGACGTATATGCTAAAAATAGTTCTTTACACTTTTTGCCATAACTTTTGAACCATAGGAGATATGGACTTCATATTTAATATGCCTACTCCACTGATTAAGTTCTTTCAAATGGCACCATGGTCAATGACCTTGTGACCTTGACTGTGATCAATATGCCAAAAATAGATTTTTTGAACTTTGTTGCCGCCGGGCGCATAGTGTTTCACAAACACATCTTGTTTATTTTAAGAAGAAGAGCTCGTTTAGTATTGCAATGGTCCCTGAACAAGAATGATATGTAAAATATAGAATTGTAAAATGGAAAACTGTTTGCATTTCAATTTTATGCAATGATTGTGATCATCGCATCTCCTGCTTTGGGATGTAGGTCACATGATATTGCTATTAATTAAATATTAAGACAAACTTTTTTTATTTTGCTGAAATTTTAAACACGTCCGTTGCACCCTATTTTTTTCAGCAGATGAAAAGAAGGTAGATAAAGTGTCCTTGCCGACCAACACAGGAAAGAAACATTCCAAGTATGCAATTGACATCTTAACCCAATCCTGATACCACTAATTGATAAACTGCAGCAGAAGCTGATTGTATAAGTTTGCGCGGGAAAATCATACTTTATTTTTATTACTGTACATATATTTAAATTGTGTTTGTTATTTTTAGTTATGTAAATTGTCACTAGTTGGCCAGTGCACCGTTGATGTTCATTTTTGTAATTTTTTCAACATATCAAAGCACAAAAATGTTAACATAATTTAATATTTCCAATATTGAGTAATCTTTTAATATTAAGTATGAATTTGTAAACTATGTCCATGTATGTTAAACAGTGAAATATTACTTTAACTATAATTAAGAGTTCAGCGCTGTTTATCTTATGTTTACTTTTATTGGCTGATCTGCACTTGGAAATTGAAGGTATCATATTTTTACATTGTATTTCAGAGAACATTCCAATGTGCCAAGTGTTCCATTTCGTGATTATCCCCAACCAGTTACAAATGGTAAATAAACAAATATCAGCAAATTTTTAAATGCCTACTTTCTAATTTGTTATAATCGATAAAAGGGTTGCTCCTTCTATAAGGTTGTTATCTACGCTCATCTGCATGATTCTCCTGCAACCTATCATCATAATTTTGCTGCCTTAAACATGTACTTGGTGGGGGAAATTTTCTCTTAAAGCTCTTGAATGTTTTTGGAGAAGGTGTTCATAGGTTTTGTATGTCTTAGAGTTGTTTTTAATTGTATTATTAAAATGATGTTTATTTTGAATTTATTTCGAACAATTAAATCCAAATCATTTTTCCAACAATAGAGATGTTTCCTCCTAGTGAAATACTCTATTCAAAATAGAAGTTTTCACTGAAAGCTTTTCATGTAGATTTTGAATAATTTCAAGTAAAACTACTTTAATATGCATTTCTTTTCTTCACTAATTAAAAAGAAACTGAATTATTTCAGTTGATGAAAGAATGCCAAAAACAATGATTGAAACGTCTATGGAAAATGCTGGAAAGAAAAGGCTAGAGAAAGATGGCAAAAGTCAACAGTATGAAATTTTTCATTATAATTTTTTTTCCAAAAATTACTTAAACACAACGATAAAGTAAAAGCTTTATTCGTGTGCATGAAAGTAATAAAGATGAGTTTTTGATTATTTTTTTCAAGTGATTGATAGGCGTCTCCATATGAGTGAAAATTCTCGAGAGGGACGTTAAATAACATACAATCAATCATTCAATCAATAAAGTGATTGATAACTGATCTAATCCTGTTTATTGTATAAGCCATGATGGTAGATGCATTTTATTTATTGGTTGGATTATACACCAGTTTCATGTGTTAAAATTTTCTTTTTCCCATCTTTATTTCATCAAATATGGTTTTGTTTTCAATGTATTTCAGAGATAAGCCAAGGGTACAGTCAGTTGAACATATCGACTATGATGACGTTCCCAATGAAACGACAACGGTCACTGTAACAAATGGTAAAACGTTAACACTTTAAAAGTATACCGTGTGCATTCACATGTGCACATTTTATTCGAGTATCATGCCCAAGCTTTTAAACTTTCATGAATTTTATGTTCTACAAAACTAAAGATGTAAGCTGCTTTCACCGAAAAAATAAATACATTTTGATCAAATTTGAAAAACGTACTTGTTGATTTCTTGAAAAAAAAGTATTGTTTGAGTATTATTTGAACTATGACTTTTTGGTGCAGTTTTATAATGATAATTATAATAATAATTTTAAACGTCTATAAAATGAATTCAATTAAACATTATTAAATGAAACTTTCCATTTTGCAGACGACTTGCTGTGTGTGCTAATGCTTAACAAATGAGCACTTTTTTCTGTAAACTTGACATTAAAATATGAATATATACTCATTTGTGAATGCTAGCTAAAACTCATGTAATAATAATATCTATCTTAAAACACCCTTTAAGTTGCTTACAAGATGTGAATGGTTTTTATATTTTTAGATACAGTAAATTTTTTTTTTCAAATTCCAGCTGAAAAATTCAATTAAAAAAAAAACAAAGAAGAAGTTAATTTTTCTGGAAAATTTCTTTGAAACCAAAGAAATGATAATAACTATAACATTTTGTAAAAGATTGTATCAACCAGGTTAAATAAATTGCAATGTGTATTTCAGTAGGGAAAAGAATGGGCAGATCAGGGAATCAGTCTACTATGAATTATGCTGCACAGAAAAAGCCAGAGACAACCGTCAAGAATCTGAGGTATGTAACTTTATTTCCGTTAATCGTTTTTTTTTAACAGAAGTTCTATCCAAATCTCTTTTACAGTTAGTTTTTAAAATTGTATTTGTAATAAAACTAGCTAAAACTATAAGGTGATATGAATAACTTAACATATCCTTTCCTTTTCATGTATGTCGTTTAACTGAAGCAATTTCATTCTTGTTTAAAAATCAGAGGGGAAGTGTGAATTTGACTAAAAATCTTATGTAGCTTGCTATTGCTAATTGATAAAAAGTACTCAATATATGTTAATGTTAAGCAAGCATTTTACTTTTTCTCATGCAGAAGTTTTGAATGAATTTTAACTTGGTATTTTCTTTCAACGCTTTATATAATTTATTTTACAACGTATTTTTTTCAAAATACAAAAATTTTGTCTGCACAAAAGATCTACATAATTTATAGGTTTAACAGAGAACAACTTGGAGTACAGATAGCTCAATTTAACCTCTATGATGATGTTCCAACCGAAAATACAAATGACAAGGAAATGCTTATTGTAACATATATAGTAAAATTCTTTAAAGGTCACCTGAAGACAAACTCAGGTGATTATATTTATTATCCGTTTTCGTCCAAGTTTGTCGTGTGTCGTGTGTCGTGCGTCGTGCGTCGAGTGTTAACAATTGAACATTTTCAGCTTCTTCTCTGAAACCGCTGAACTAATTTCAACCAAATTTGGTATACAGCTTCTATTTATATGGAACAAAAATTGTGAATTTAAAAAATCTTCTTCTGGGGCCTGAGGGGTGGGGCCAAAACCACTAAAATTATTGCAATCTTTAAAAATCTTCTTCTTTACTTCTGGACATCAAGCAGGCAAACTGTTGGCATGAAGTTTTACATGGAAATATATAGGAAAATTCTACCAAAATTGTGAAATTCATGGCATTATATTTATATGGAAGGTTCTAGTGCTAGGGCAGGCTATATAGATTATATAGTGAAAATGCATTAATTCTTTGAAAATCTTCTCCGCTCATGGGTATTAAATAAACTAACCAAGCGCATAGTTATGATAAGCAAGAGTGCCTCTACCAAAATTGTGAATTTTATGACCCCAGGGTCAGGGGTTCTGGTGTTAGGGCGGGGCTGTATCGATCATATAGTGAAAATGCATTTATTCTTTGAAAATCTTCTTCTCTACTTCTGGGTATTAAATAAACTAACATTTTAAGTACATAGTTATGTTGATCAAAAGTGCCTTTTTCAGCTAAAAATTGTGAATTTTGTGGCCCCAGGGTCAGGGGTTCTGGTGTTAGGGTGGGGCCCTATTTTATATAGTTTGAAAATGCATTAATTCTTTGAAAATCTTTTTCTCTGCTCCTGGGTATTAAATAAACTATCAAAAAAAAAAGCACATAGTCTATGATGAGCAAGAGTGCCTCTTCCAAAATTGTGAATTTTATGACCCCAGGGTCAGGGGTTCTGGTGCACCTAGGGCGGGGCTCTATTGGTTATATAGTGAAAATGCATTTCAAATTCTTTAAAATCTTTCAATTGCTCCTGGGTTTTATGCCAATGATCAAAAGTATATATATTGGTAACAAGATGAAGAAAGTTGCATCTAGCAAAATGTTTTTTGTTGATTTCCCTGTGACATCCACTTCGGGGGTTAAGGGGGGTAATCAATCCAATCAAACAGAATGGGAGATATAAATTAATGCTTTGAAATCTGCTCTTTGTTATTAATCAACCATTTTATGATAAAATTTGCACAATTTTGTCACACAATGTGGCCCCAGGTTCATTTCATTGGGATGAGGTGCACAACTGGTATATAAAGTGGAAGTGCATTTTCTATGAAATTATTGTTAATTGATAAAATTCCTATATGGATATTACAAGGGTTTTATTACAAATAGAGTTTTAAGCATGCTTATTTTCTTTAATTATGATAAATTTCACAATGGTATTTTTTTCAGAATTTTAAATTGTGAATTTCATAATTTATGGTTTAAGAACATGAACCAAATTTAATTGTTTGAAAGTTGTTGCACAATACAAATGACAAGGAAATGACCTATAAGGTAACAAACGGTGAGAATTATTTTGATGAGCTCATCTTATATGAATATCTATAATTCTACACAAATATTTTGTTGATTTCTCTCAACATAACATTAAATTTGATTAAAATTCTTGTTTCTTTTCAAAATCTATAATTTTATCAGGGACCTATAAATATAGGTCCTTGATATTTATGTTAACAATTTGCAATTTATTAGTAATTTTCTGTATCTAGGCTTTTGAACAATTTTTCACTTTTTCAACCAATTTCAACAATGCATGTCCTAAAAAGACTATAAAAATAAATTAATATTTAACAAAAGGAAGGGAATCATTTCCTCCAAGAGGGAAATTAAGAATTTGAATGAATTTAACCTTCCTTTCTAATTCAGCCTATCGTTGTTTCGTCTTTTAACCGATATATTTCATTCCATGTGTGAGACCATTGATTTACACTTGTTTTCAATACAGATGTCTGGTTATTCTTTCTTTTCCTACGCCCATGATCCCTTTTCTAAAATTTCCAGAATTCTGTTGACGATCTTATTCTTTAACGGTTTTATGAGATTGATGACTGCATGTCCATATCATGAAACAACTATTAATCTCTTATGTTAGACTTTTTTCAATCCTCCTTGTATTGCTTTCATTGCTGATAAAATCATTATAAGTGGGCACTTAGTCGTCCAATTTCGTAGGAACTCAAGTAATACCGAATAAAACAAAAAAAAATTCCAAGATCCTCTCCACTTGCTTAAAATGTCTAGGATTATATCTAAATGTTTCTTTTTATTTTTATACCGAAAGTAAATTATAATAAATATCAACTGTAAAATACTGTAAAATACCTACGGTTGCTTTGTGCAAAGCAATTATTCCTGAGATCTGAAGATTTCAAATACATTTTTTAATCTTGTTCGTTGAAATACCTATATCATAACTTCATGCAATAAGCTATGCTGACCAGATTAAATGATGAAATGATAAAGGTACCTTTTATTCTTTAATTTTAGTTGATGAAAGAATGATGAGACCTAAGAGCGAGTCGTCTCTGGTCAATGTTTTAAAGAAAATGCCAGAGAAATTCAACAAAATTCCATGGTATGAACTTATTCCCTCAAATATTTCTTTACCTCGTTAAATGAATCTGATTTTTTTTTACAATTTATCAGTATGTACAGTACAGTCTGATTTGAAAAATCCAGTGTATTTCAGCGAACGCCCGAGAGTACAGTCGGCTGAGCTTTACATTTATGATGACGTTCCTAGCGAAAAGAGAGTTTCCGTAATAAATGGTAAGAAAATTGATAAAGCTCATGTTATTTGAATAACTATATTATTGCACATATATGCTGTCACTTTCTTTCAGCACAATTTTTATCAAGAGCACATGTGCATCCTATATGATTATACTCTTAATTACTGTATAAATACTTACTGCAAAGAACCACTGTTGTTTTGTTGAATAGAAAGATAACTGTCAAACTATTACCATTTAAACATACAAAAAAATAGTTTTCGTTGTTGTTGCTACTGTTAAGAGCAGTCAAATTACTTTTGACACGTGTAAATATATACCTTACACCTTGAAAACCTGTTTACATCTGAAATTACAATGAGTTGTTAATTTCACAAATTATGAAATTCATCACTCCTTGGCTAAGTGTCAGGCCCTAGGATGAGGCTCAGAATGTTGTATGTTTAGACTACATGACATCTGTGAATATCTTCATTTGTACTCATAAACGTTAAGCTGGCTATTTGCTATTTTAAAATTGTTAAATTCCTGGTCCCTGGATCCGAGGTACAGGCATAAAGGTAGGATAAGGGGTAACATATTGGATGTCCCAGTTCATTAGATGGTGAAACTAAATTTGTCAAAAGATAAAGGTACGTTTCATCTTTGAAAATTTTTATTATTCTAATGAACATCTAGTAGATGAGAAATTATTTACACAGTTATCCCTAAAAAAACTCCATAAAATTCAAGTCCTCTGGTGTCATCAATGGGATACGTTTTTTAGAAATTAAATTTATTCAGATAATCGTATTTTCTTTACTCCCGGGCTTCTAGGAGAAAAGCTTTCCTAAATACATATATTTATATTTAGGGTCTTAACCAAACAATTTAAAAATTAAAGATTTATAGTTCCAATAGGCTAAAACAGCAACAGCTTGAGAAGCTCTTTATACACAGATAACCGTTAAGGTCCTTGGTCCTATTGTTGTACTAACCGATAATATATTTATTTTGTACTTTTTACTTTACAGATAATCAAAGAAATTCGAACAATACTGCTGAAAGATCAGTACAAAAGAGATGCAAGGAATCCACAAAGAAAGAAAGAGACCGCGCTACTGCATACGAAAGTTACAAGGAGACTGCAGATCTTTATGTGGAACACCTTTGAATTTTTTTTATATCATTTTAAGTGTTCAATCTTCAATATTAATAGACAAAAACAAAACATAAGTCTGCACTGTAGTTTCATCTATCTATTTTTTTGTCTTTCAATAGTGGGTACTAGTATTTCGTTCTCAGTCTACAAACTTTAAATATTTCATTTATAACATCTGCTACAATACCTTTTCTCTCTTTTGAATTAAGTAAGAGAAATTTATTTTTTAAATCAAAGAGTAAATATTTACTTTTACAATTAGATAAGTACAACTGTATTCTTGTTAGCATGATGTGCTTTCAGCTAACGAGATGAGACTTCATCAGAATCTCATCACAGATCTAAAGTTTGAATTTGTTTTTTAACATAACATGCATAAGATATTATTACGTCTATTATTTTGAAATGAACACATTTCATGAGAAGAAAGTGGCGCAAATGTATGAACAGTAACTGTTACAGATAATTACAGTAGGTACTAGTATTATAGAGAATGATTTCCTGTATAGTAAGCCTTTCCTACGAATTTTATACTGTAGAGAAGAATTTTCCACACTACACTACACAACCTAGAGCCACTAGAGCAAAATTCCTCTAGAGTCATTTAGAAAGGAAAAGCTTTTTAGGCGGCCGGAAGATTCGATTGGATCGAGATTTCAGCATAGCACCGAAAGAAAAGATTACTACTTTTAACGCTATATTTAAGGAAAAACTGTAAAAAAAAAAAAAACTGTAAAAAAAATTAATTCATGATGTGATCAAGCAAATGGCTGATGTGATAATTTGCATGCAAGTCAATTGCTCGATTATCGTCGGGAAACAAAAAAAATCAATATTTTACATGCTCTTGTTTTCGAAAATTAACGTGGTACAAGTCAAGCCTACTGTCTCTCTCGGTCCCGCAATACACATTAGTTTTCTTTACCCATGCTTATCGTAGAAGCAGTAGTTTTATGTAGTATACTGGTTATTTTTAGTTTTATCTTGGACAATTTTTTTTTAAATGTACATATTTCTTCATGGATAATACTGATACTTTTCAATATTTAACATATGTTCTTTTTATCTAATTTTTCCTTGCCTAATTTTATTATAAGATTGTCAACATCCCAAAATATACCAGATATGGTTCTTTTTTAAGTTCTTTAAAGAAAATTTTAACTGGATTCTTCTTGTTGATTTTAAAATATGTATAAAATTTTAATGAATGCATTTAAATGTAGTATTTTTTAACTTTTCACAAACATGTCTAAGTTTTTACCTTTGCTTGAAACGTTTTCTTTTATTATTATTTAAATAAAATTATATTACACACGTAAATAAATTGATGTATCAGTAAAATACCAGCACTTAATCAAAACACTAAAAATGTAATATGTATTTTTCTGTAATTGCAAGAAATATTCAATTAAACATTAATAAAACTCAAGATATATATAAAAAGCATTAGAGTTGCAGTGATTTGAACTAAAGTATACTGTAAAATCACATACTTTCGTGAAAAAAGATTGGGGAAACTCTGATCTCCTAAGACTGATAAGGTAGTGTCAATCAGAAAATCAAGCATTTTTTACCATATTACAAGGACGAATATGTATATTGCCATTCTTATCAAAGTAGTAGACTTTCTTCAACAAAACATGCACAACACTCTGACAAATCAAAATATACATTGCAGATTGTATGTTTCCTTTATTATAAGTGCAGTTTATTTCATAGGTATCTGTTTGCTCTGCACCTGATTTGTATCGTTGCAATGCTTTTTCGAGCTTGATTAATTTGTGTCATCTCCTTATTTGAATCCAAGCACGCAGTGGCCGGGTAGCTTAAGGGTCATTGATACTCTGATAAGAGAGATAACTCTTAATGACATAAATGTCTATTATTCCTATATATATTTGCCAAGTTGAAGTGTCTTTTTTATCCAATTTTGCCCCGCAAGCTATGCTATAATTGTCAGTATTTTGCTTATAAAATACATTTCTTTTGGAAAATCATTAAGGTTTAAGATACATTTTATATGAGTGAGCAGAGGGTTTATGAACCTTAAAAACGTTTGGGGTAATAGTGTCCACGACCTAACTACATAGATTACATTTGTAATCTTAAAATACATGTAGTCTATTTATTGTTTCTGGAATGTTAAAACAATACTCAGTAGAATTATACTGTGTACAAATTTGCATTTTATTCCTTATTTTGTGCCCAAGTTTCCGTATTATGAGGAAATTAAAACTTTTTTACTGTTTCCATTAAATATTTGATTCCCTTTTGAAGTATTGCTTTATCAATCATTTAACGGTTGAAAATTTAACGGATTTTAACTTAGTATAAGTATTTTATTTCCGGGAAGTAGTTTTATTTTTCGTTCTGTTTATAAAAAGAATTTTTGATAATAACCTTTTTTTTCAAGCATTGTATTTCAGTAATTCTTCTAGATATATGAAAGAGAAATGTAATCACTGGAAACAATGCTTTTGTAAAAAAAAAAAAACCCATAAGGATCTTTTTCTTTATTTTTATTTTCCCAAAAGTAATGAAGTCTCTGAAAAAAGGTAAACGTTCAATAAATGCCAAGAAATAATTAAGGATAACCTCAAAAGCTTGTTCTTATAGTCAAACTTTTAGATATATACGGTAATATAATTTTTTTAAATATACATTTATATATATAAAAAGAAACGTTTATAATTTCAAAAATTTGTCCATTGCTTTAATTCATTCGCGACTAGATAAACTGCAGGGCTTATAAATGAGTAGTCGTTTAGCAATAACTGTAAATCTCTGCGCTTCACAAGTAACGAACGATTTTTAAAGAAGTCATCTCTAGAATTTATTTGGGTCTTAGTAGGAAAACGAAAGTTCTCTCAGAATAGCCCCAGTGGGCGTCAATCCCGGATATTTTACAATGGTTAAAGGGGAAATTATTCTCTGTTGCATAACTTTATGTACAACATATTTGGAAACAGTACCCGGTTAAAAGGCGTGGCATGTTGATGTTTTCTCAGTATCTTAGCATACTGGTGGCGGTTGCTTCCCTCATGTATGCTGCTGGAGAGAGGAATAAAATATCAGGTAAAGTAATAAAAGGAAAACCAAAAATATTTTTCAAATTTTAAAAGAAGAAAAAAATATTTCAAGAAAAAATGTAGTTGCAAAATAGTAAAACTATTTTACACTTTCTACATTATATCATTTGAAAAAAAATGTTTTAATGCTAAATACAATGTATTTTACAGAAATCCATTAATGAATTTGTAAAATATTATAGGCACTCCGTTTATAGCCTATTGATAGAAAATATTTTTATTTCAGATGTCTTGAACACACCAGTGGAGTCATATTTTAATGGTATTGGCTATAAGTGTACCATGCTGGGTTTAACAAGTTTTGCAGTTGTACTAATGGTTATAACATTGGCGTGTTTTATTAGTCAAAATTCTAAGAAAGGTAAGATTATACATCAAAAAGTTATAACATTTTTAAAAAGATCAAGCCAAGATTTCATCGCATTAATAATATTTTTTTTATATTGGACCAAAACATTGTGCTCTTGGTTGTTGGAAGAAAATACAAGTTATAAGTTAACTGAACCTATATCTTTTTTTTTTCAATGTTTATAATAGCAATTTATTATCACTATTAATCTTAAGGTTAATGAAAAAATAATGCATGTGTTTTGTTTCTTCTGAGAAATTAACAAATCTTAAGGAATCGTTAACTTTTATTAAATACAATTCAAAAATAATTTTGCAGGGTGTTTTAAAACAAACATAATTTCTTTGATTAATGATGGAAAAATAAATCGCTCACTTTTAATAATGAAGACCGTTAGTACATTTGTATAATACGAGGGTTGTCCAAAAAGTTCGTGGACAATGTTAAAACATGTACATGTACTCGTACATGTTAATATTTATGGAAACATGTAAACGAGTTCAATGCAATGTAGTATGCATTTTCAAGGAAAAAATCATATTCTGGACCTAAAAGAAAAAGACCAAGGAACATTAAAACTAGATTCTATCCCTGATAGAAGGGAGAAAAAGGTCACCAATGTAAAAGAGATGAAAGATAATGAAAAAGATACAGAGGAACCAAAGTAAGGCATGATGTTAATGCAATGTAAATAGTATATAGTAGTGACATTGTCTGTAGAAATTAAATTTACATTCTTAATACAGTATAAATGTGCATCCACTGAATAACTTTTATTTTATTTATCATGAAAACCAATTGCTGTTTGACATCAGCAAAAACTGTATTGACCTCTTAGTTCAATCTAAATGATAGGTTTTTAGAGCTGTGGATCTTGAAACAATGCAATTCAAAGATCGTATGAACCATCAATATTCGTGAAATTGGTGTACCCCTAATAAAGCGTAAATGTTTCTCGAGTAAATAAGATGTCACGAAAATTAGTTCGTCTGAAATGCTAGGAATAACAATGAATTTATAGTTTTCTGCCAATTATAAAATTAATCTTGATCTTGGATTATTCTTTTTTACTGTACATAATATCTCAAAATACATGATATTGTTGTAAATTTTAAGAATTAAAGAAAACGATCATCTTTGCTTGGAAAAATTAATTAACCTTGTATGAAATAAGTTCTCCGCATCAAACACATTGAAAGCTACAGAGCAGATCACGAAAATATGCATGATTGTAAATGCATTTTCTTTATTTCTATGCTGTTATCTCTCTTTAAAAAAACAACTATTTGTAACTGATTTTTTTTACTTCAGACAAACTCTGCATCAGAATTTACAAGAACAACCAGAGGTTAGTCCGTGTTTGTATGATGAAATTTCAGAGAAAGGTGCGAAAAAGAAAGAAATGAAAGCATCAAATAAAGGTTTTTTAAAAAATCTAGTATTTACTTACATTTTCAGTTCTTTAAGCTATTTTCAAGAAAAAATATTATATTTTCCTTCATAAAGATATTTACAGTACAACTTCCATATTTTCTAGCTAAAAAGCCCAGTAAGATTCCAAAAGAACCATCGATTTCGGCTCTTTCTACCGAAGACGAATATGTTTCCATAAAAATGAAAGAGTCAGCAAAACTTTTAAAATCGCCAGAGTAAGTATTAATATTGCTATTTGAATTACTTGAAAATTTGTATTCTTGTGGGCCAAAAAAATTATACTTTTCTTATAATAGTTGAAAAACTTTTGATTACTTGCAATATTAGAATTGGAATAGGTTTAATATCAAAACGAAATATACATTTTAAGACACATTTTCTAAGGGCATACTCAAACTTGGTAAAAGAGTTTGTTGGGCCAGGTATTTATGAAGAAATTTCTATCATTGAAAACAGTGGAGGGAAAGCTGACTTCGTATTTCAGGGTAAGCCAGGCATTTCTTTATTTTCTGGGATATTTTTCAAACTTTTGGATTTCAGAGCATTAAATGAAATAAAAATATATTTTTAGATACATATACAAATACATCTCTCGTTCGGCCAGTATCCAAGATGTCTTGATCCATTGCACAGATCAACTGAAAAAAATCATTTTGTATTTGAATTCCAAAACAAAAAGTATCGAAACATGGTTTAACAACATAATTGCACTACCCTAATTACACTTTCTTTTACTCTCAACTTTTTGGTTCAGAATCCCATGGATTTGAAAAAATTAAGATCTTATCAATGCTTGAGTCAAAATTACTCATTTTCTTTTATTTCAGCCAAATTTCATATTAATCCTTCACAGCAAAAATACGCTCATAACCCGCAAATGTATGAAGGATTTGGCAATTCATAAAGCACTGTTTTTCTTTATTGAAATTTTGTGTATTTTATTAAATAATTTTGTTGAATTTACAAGCGATATAGAGTATATCTTTCACAATAGTAAGGTTTCCTATTCCTACTAAAATCTTGATTGGATTTTCCTCAAGGAGGAAAGATTCTCCCGGGAGGAAAATCCTTATCTAGAGTTTACTTTCCTTCTCTAATGAAAACCTAGTGGAATTTTCTTGGCCAGAATTCTGATAAGTAAAAATTAGACAAGTGGAAATTATTGGTCAAAATTGAAACAATGTCTAACTTTTTAAACTAGTTTGGGACGTTGGCTGTATTATAATAAAATATTTAAGAAAATACAAGCAGCGGAGAGGAGACTAGTTATAAAGGTAAGGGGCTTTAACCTACAAAGTAACACCTCTTCCAATCGAAAATCTGACACTGGAGAGTGTTTAGTAGAGGAAATTCTACTTTATAGGGCAAGTTTGACGTAGATACAACTATTAAGTCAGGATGCAAATCTTACTCGGGTTACTTTTCTCCCAATGTAAAAAAGTGATTCTTTGGGGACCTTTATACAATAACCTTATTTCCATTTTATGAGATGTATATATAGAAAAAATAATTGTTTATGTACAGTAACTAACCAAGCGCTTTGACATCTGATTCATGATATAATAAAACAAGGAAACAGTGTTTTTTCATTTTAATGTATTCAATCTCTCTCTCTCTCTCTCTCTCTCTCTTCACAATAAAATACTCCAATATAAACATAAAAAAGTCCAACAAGAAAAAAATGAGTACATTATAATAAATCCCCGCATACCGAGTAAAGATTTGCACCAAATTTATCATGATGGTCGACTTGATGATCTTATGATCTACAAAGATAAAACATACATGTCATATGTAATACTATGCAAGGATGCTCATATTCTGACCATTAAATATTAAACAATTCTTTACAGTTTAGTATATAACATGTTGGAAAATAACACATCAGTAATTGGGCTATAACTTCAAAGCCCTACCTGACAGTATCGACCAGAATAGTTAGGTTGGCATTTACATTCATTTGGTTTTATGCATTGGCCTCCATAACGACATCTTGGCCAACACAATGCTGCAAAAAAGGAAAATAAAAGTACAAATTTCATCGTTAGATTAATTATTGTCTTTGCAAAATAACAAAACTGAAACATCATGTTTACCATGTTGACAATATGAGCCCCAGTACCCGGCTTGACATCGGCACTGATTTGTTCCCACACATGTTCCTCCGTTCATACAACCAATTTCACATTTTGCTGTCAAAAAAAACAACAATTTTTTAAAATCATAAATCGATATATTTTAGTTAAGCAATAGTCATTTATCAATATTGCACCAATAAATAATGTACGTACGTATTTGACAATGAATACCCGTCCAACCTCTTGAGCACAAACACGAATTAAACACACAACGTCCACCATTTTGACAATATGTCCAACATGTAGCTAAAAAGTGCAATTTACAAACATAAGCAGTAGACCTTTCCTTAAAATAAGTTCAGTGATTTAAGGAGTTTATTTAATGTAGATCATAAGAATAAATATGGTGATTTGTTTTTTGTTAATATTGTTAGTATCTTTAATAAATAAACATTAAGATAATAAAACAATTCACTATGGAGTTAGAGAATAAACATAAAAGACAAAAACTTAACATGAGTCCCATTTTTGTTATTTACACTGATTTTAAACCAAAGAAAAATAAAATACTAACATCTTTTAAAATTCAGCTGACACAAGTATCTGCATCTGCGAAAGCACATAGCTGTAATAAGAAAGTCAGCAAAATATGACTACGCCTACTTCTACTTGCAAAAGAGGCAAAACAGAAGGCTATACAGTACTGTTAGTTATGAAAATGTACTGTGTGAAAGATACACCAACACCAGAAAGAAATTGAATAATCAAGTCAAAATTTGAAAACAACAGATTCTTGACTGAATAGGACCAACTTTAAAAAAAAAAGCTTGCCTGTCCTCTCCCGACTCAGGATAAAAACATTGGGTCGGTAGGTTGACCAAAATTTTTCCCAGGAAATTTGCTGAATTTTAAAATACAATTTTTGAAAATGCATTACAAATCTTTTTCTGGATTTTAAATAAGTTCCGAGTCTGGTAATTTTAGCCAGTCCGTCGGGTGAAGGCATTCAAGCAATTGTTTTTAAAGATATCCTGGAGAAAAATCTTATTTATTAATCTGGTGATTGAGTATCAAAGTGCATGCAATTCAAGACTTTTAGTTGTGTGCTATATGGTGCTTCATTCACAAGATACTCACTTCTTTCACATGTTGGGCCGTAATACCCAAAAGGGCAGTAGCAGGTGCCCGGGCGAGCACACATGCCGTTGTTTTGACATGGGGGATTACAGATGGGCGTCTGACAATAGTAGCCTGTGTAGTCTTTTTGACAAAGGCAACGATTTCCATTGTAACACTGACCCCCATTCAAGCATCTTACCGAACAAGTCTCTAAAATAAGAATATAATTAATTTAAGATTTCACAATTTTTACATGTGGTATTGATGACGTTTAAGGTTATGTTTTAATAGCGCAAAGGCAGTACTAAAATTTCGAAGTAAGACTTCTCGTAGCACTAGATATATAATCATAAAATTATTTTGTATACCTTTTTCACATGATACACCACCATAACCCGGCTTACATGAGCATTTGTTGCCATTTATACATGATCCACCATTCTGGCAATTCATTCTGCAAGGTGCTAAAAAGAAAATATATCGCATTAAAAATTTCTTGAAAATATAAATCTAGCCTAGTATAAATTCAGAATTCTATGTTAAAAATTCATGAAATAAAACCTGAGCATTTGATGCCGTCTCCTTGGTAACCCCGTGGACACGATGAGCATCGATATCCCGGAAACTGCGCAATGTTCTCGCACCTGCCTTCTCTAGGACATACACCATATTTACATGCATCTAAATCTGAACAGATAATTTTGAACTAAGTATACCTGCATAAAGTTTTATTTTATACCACAAGATTATTATGCAAGTAAGTTGAATTTTATAAATGTTATTCAAACAACCTGTTCTATTGCACCGTACACCGTCCCCTCTGTAAAATCGAGGGCAATATCCACATCTAAATCCCTTCTCCCCATAAAGATCATTAGTGCAAGTAACATTTTCAAAGCAGGGTGAAGAACTACACGACGGTCTACCTGGATTAAATATAAAATAGACTATGTAACATTTTTCTCAGCTCTAAGGACTCGTATCAAGACTTCCAAAACCATCAATCACAGAAAAACAGACCCTTTACAACATTTGAAAGTTTTCTGAAATTCTTGGTAGAAAAAACAAACTTTCATTTAATCTCTCTTAAGCCCTAGAATTTATCGCAATTCGTTGGAAAACATAATTGATTGATATTTAGCACCGACCTTTAAATCACAGGTCGTCGATATCAAACAGCAGTCAATCTTGGAGAATTTAGGCTAATCCTCCTTAAAAACTGCTGTTTGGGAAGGCATTACTTACAGATAGCGCCGTTTCCAGCATGGCCGGGGGGACAGCGACCGCATCTGTAGGAGGTATTCAGGTTCGTGCACTGGACGCCAGGGAAGCACGGTCGGGTGGCACAGAAGTCTGGCGACCTCTCACATAGGGAGCCTTTACGTGTTCAAAAGTGCAAAATTCATTAGTCTTTAGCATAAGTCACAGAAATCCTGTTAGAATTTTAATCTGATCTTTTTGCTGATCTTTTTGGAATTGTGCTTTTTGGGTTAAAGGCAGCAGTGCTTTAAAGATATCTTCAAAATCAACCTAATTTGGTTTTATGTCTGTAGAAAGCGACCCACCTGAGAATGGATGTTGACAGTTACATTCAGCAACTCTTGCTTGGTTTGGTTTTGCAATATCTTTTGCAATACAGGTTCCGTTATTTCGACAGTTGCACATGTTCACTGCCACCTAACAATAAACACAACGTGTAATTCCTAAAATGATTTTTATAAATTTTATTAAATGCTTTGTTATTAATGAAAATCCTTTCCTTGGAAACTTTTTTCAATAATAAATAATAGTTGTAAAAGGATTTTTCTCAATTTCTTATCATCGTGACAATCATCATAAAATCATCAAAGAATTCTCCACACACCTTCACAATTATAGAGGACTGCAAATCACATTCGTCTGTTATGGAAATGTTGAAGTATTCGAAGTACCCATCTCTTCCAAGGGAGGAAACTTTCGTCTTATAGAAGAATCTCCCTTCCTGCTGCACGGTGGCTTTGGTGCTGTTTATTTTGTACGTTAATTCAGACCCTTCTGGGTCATAGGCCATAATCTTACTATTAATGGTGTCTCCCTCCACGACCGAGAACTCGTAAGGGTCTCTTTGTAGAATTGGGGGAAGGTTATCTACTCACCAAAAGAATAAATTTAAAACACCTAAGTTTTGTCTAACATCGGAAATGAACGACAAAACAGTCTAGACATAGAAAGATCTGGGTAAAAGTATGGTAGTGCAGTATAAATGTTTTACAGTTTAAATTGCTTCCAAACGCATTTTTTCTCTCTTAGCGTTGCTGGGTTTCTCAGAATGCATTTGTTACTGGGATTATCAATTTTAGTGCGCATAACTTGTTAGCGCCGATCAAAGGTTCTTTTGCACTCACAATTAATAAAGGTTTATATTTTTTCTAATTGATATATGTTACGTACTTATGTTTACTATTTAATGATTTGAAAATTTTAGGATTCTTTTTGAATATTTTATCATTTTTTGTCCGTTAAAATTTAGATATTTAATTGATAGAAATTCTGAACTCTTTTGTTTTATTCTCCAAACATAGTTGCTTATTTATAGAAAACGAAACTGTCTTTAAATGAACAAATACAAATAATTCGTTTCTCAAAACATAAAATAGAAAGAATTTTATTGTTCATATTTTCTTTAAATTAATCTGAATAATTCGAGTAGTATTGTTAAAATTTTAATTGAGAGAACTGTGAAAAAACTAGTATTCATAAATATGCATACATGCATATTCAATTATGAATGAATTTTGTGATATTTCAACAAGGGTTGCCACCTTACAAAATAAGTCGAACACGAATAGGACAAACATTTAATTATTTTAGTTTTACCTTCACTCTTTGTCCATTGATTTCTAGATGAAGACACTAAGCAAACTTCGCATTTATTTGAAGGGTTTTTATCTTTGTGCATATAACACTTCCCATCCATCACACAAAAGTTACGCTGAAACAGAAAACAAACCATTACATGAATTTAAAACTGAGATTAACCATGTTTCTCTTGAAGATCTTTTAGTAAAGCCAGTACATTTATATATTACCCTTATTCGGCAACCCCGCCAATACGAACAGCTCTGGCACTGTTTATTCACTTTGGAAAACAATTTATCTGAGAGAACCTCATTACCAGCGTCCAAAACCTGAACAAAAACAGAAGGTATCGTAATGAAGTGTACAGATTTAGAAACGATGTCAGATAAAAGACCATTTACTGATATCCCAGAAGTTACAACAATGAAAATGTAGACAAATAGATACCTCCACTTTAAACACGGGATCGCCATCAGTTGGGACTGTTACGGAAGTATTAAGTAGACATTCAGCAAGCGTCGGGGTGACGTACCGTATGTTGACAAACATAGGTTGCTGCCTTTGTATCCATTTTTTATTGTTGAACTTAAAAATAAAGAATTTTATACAGAACAAGATAATACCAGACACTACATGACAGAAATAAACAAATCAAGATTAGCTAAGCTTCCTTTTACAGGAAAGGTCTCATTAAAGACGTCACTGTAATCTTTCATCACTGTGATTTGCAAACATTTGATTGACGACCCCCATGCAATTTTTACCTTAACGTTTGTTACACGACATGAAACTGGATACTGGTTACGTCCGATTCTGAGGTAAACGAAATTGCAACCAGACGATCTTGTGTCACAAGACACAAACATGGGGATCTTGCGGCGAGCGGTTGTTGGTGGTGAAGCTGGTGCTGGTGTGGTTTGCTTTGAGACTGTTGTTGATTTCAATGTTGTTGGTCTAGCAGTCGAAGTTGTTTTTAAAGTGGTTGTTGTTGTTGGGCTAACAGTTGTAGTTGTTATTTTCGTTGTGGTTGGTGTTGGTGTTTGCTTTGTTGTTGTTGTCGTCGTTGTTCTTGAAGTTGATGTTGTGGCGGTAGTTGTGATTCTAGTTGTGGTGGTGCTGGTAGTTGTTTGCTCCTTTGTTGTTTGTTCTTCAGCTTTGGTTGGATTAGCGTTTTGCGCTTCGGATGGACTTGTTGAGGTTAAAATTTCATCTGAGGTAGGTTTCACGGTCCGCACCTCTGTTGATTGGCTGGAACCGTCATTTGTTGGGACAACTAAATGTGGTCATGATATTTTCATCTAACACGTTTTTTTAATATTATGAAGTAATCTCATTTATTTTACATGTTCTGTTTTGATAATCAGTTCCAGAAAATTTACAATAATGGAAAATCAGTTGTTTGAAAAAAATAAAGTTTTTAACAAATTGCAGACATTTTTGTAGTATTTTACTTTAAACGTAAACTACCGGTATTAACAGTTTTTATGACACAGAATATAAAAGGAGTGAATAAACTAGAATTTACCTGCCTTGTTCAGACACTCTACACCTGAGTATCCTTTGAAGCACTCACATCCGCCTCTAGTACAAATTCCGTGTTCGAAACACTTTTCTGGACATCGAAACAAATCCTTAATCTTTGTCACTTGATCGATGCCAGAAGTAACATTCCGATCAGACAATGAAGTGTTTGATGTATAAGCAAAATTGCAAACATTTTCCATCAAACGCAACACAATGGGTATCCAGACGGATTTTTCTTGTACTATTGCAATTTTCTCACAAATTACGACGATATCCGTCAAAATACTACCTCTTAGAGGAACGCATTTACGGAAAAGGTCAGAATCACGAATGACCTCTTTGCACTGCTGTCTGGCTTCACTTGGTTTCGATACACGATTATCTCTAATATCACTTTTGGCTGATATGTTGTAGGTTTTTGTGATTATCGGATTCTTTTTTGTCACATAAAATTCCGATGTGATGTCTTTTTGATAAATAAAAGAATAGAATTCACTTTTGTTTTTGATTTCAGTGCATGAATTTGATGATTTCGTGGGTGAGCATTCACACTTTGGAAATGAAGCTTGTATTCTTTCATATGGATATGAAGGGGACGTTTGGAACAGACTCTGGTGGGGCTGCACTCTGAAGAATAAAAGAATGTTTTCACCTTAATTTTTTATCTTTCTTCGTGATGCATCTATACAACTACTTTAATACAAGAGAATTCTAACTATGTTCAAAGGACCAAAACTCATCATACCTCCAAACCCTTACACCATAACCATCGGTTACCGTGGATACAGCGTTCTTATTTTTCTTGCGGACAATGGTTCCACATAAACCTTCAACTTTATTGCTATGGAAACCAGAAACATGGACGGATGCCGATATATCTAATGAGTTAATATCAATACGAATATGCACGAGGTCATGAATATAAATCTGAAAACAAAGAGAGGAAATGATATAAGGATTGTCCCCAAACTTTAAAAAAAAATGTTGTATACTTGATTTACTAGGGTATATAATTTTATTGAATTGATGATTTTAAAAGTTCTTCTATAAAATTGACCTGTACGTTATTTTATAAGTGTGGAGAGGTGAAAAAAGGGAATTGTCATACTTCCAAGCAAAATTTTTTAACTACCGGTAAAAATTTTGGGCTTTTTTTTAAATTAAAATTTCCCATAATATTGGACTATATTCTTTATTGGAATAAAGTACACAGATATTATATACCAATGAAAATGCTCAATACAAATACCGTTAATAAATTTCCATTACGAGCTTCAAAAATTTTTATTCTTGAGTTATGTTGCAGTCCTTGGTACTGTAAGGTAAAGCGTTTGTTCCACAGACTTTCGGAACATCTATTTATAGTAACAGTTACGCCCTCATACCGTAGGGCAAGACCACAAAGACTGAAAATATCATGATGCGGGTTCTTCATCGTCTGGATATGAACCTGGAATGGAGTGAAGTAAGAGAAGTACTTAAAGACATATCAGCAGATCCACAACTTTGGAGACATACAAAAATTACAACTATTTGACAGTTTGGGAAGAAGGTTTTTACAAGTAGGTTTCGTTTTGAACTTCTTTAACAAAATTATAATATATATGACAGGGAAATGGCACTGTTTGAAGACTGAGTGTTAAATTAAACACCCTAACTTCAAAAAGGGCAGGATTGGAATTACAGTGGCTTAAGAGGAGTAGCTATAAAGGAAATCTGCATTAAGAAAAATATATATACAAACTCTCAAAGAGGGTGATTTACGCAATCTTAATGTTATTCAAGAGGATTGGTAAGTTGTAAATTAATTTTTTCAGACATTTTGTGACGTCAAGTTCTGATCCATGCAAAAAATCAGGACTCTTTAGGGAAAAAGACTCCAGATTTCTGTGCTCCATCACGACCTGTTTGCCTCTATAAACACTTCAGACGTGTGCAAACCTTGTCCAGACATTAAAAGCTATCGACCGACATTGAAGTGCTGCAATTTATACTGAATAAGAGGTTGGTGGACGTTTATAACAGTTCGATATCCAACTAGCCTCTTGGATCCTCCTATAAATCTACCTTTAAGGTCGTCTCTTCACTGCTCAGGAGGATAAAAGATCCCCTCTCCTGTAACCTTTGAACTCTGCAAAAGAAAAAAAATGTACCAATCATCTCACGTCACGATTAATAAAAGTTATTAAGCTGCACTTCTGGAAACTATGTACTTAACAACAAATCAACTCTCTGATAACGCTACTTTGGCCTTTGCTATTTGAGTTTTGTTTAAATTTTAAAGAACAATGACCTTTTCGGAAATTTTTATGTTTGCACATTTTTACCTGCCGGCAAATGAGAGAACGTGTACACCACTCAAGATGTAACAGCTAGCAGGTGGAAAGTCAACAACCTTCATCTGGAAAAGAGCGAGTTGTCGTGACTTCAAACGCATAGAAGATTATCATTTTAATGAATCTCAAACAAATTCAAAAACTCTTTTGTTTGCTTCTGTTTTTTCTCTAACTAAATTTTTAACTGCAAATTTCAATAAATATTGCTTTGTTGCACATTGGTCAGCTTTAAATTATGATTCATGGACAGATATTATTAAATGACCCAGTGACACATAAAAGTGAGTGATATTGGTCATCAAGATTTCTATTAAAGGCTAGAAAGTCAGAATAATCAGTACGATTGCTATATTGATTAGTCCTTGAAAATTCTGGAGAGAGTTAATGGAAAGTATCGTCCTACACCGGCCAGTGTCAATTAGGATACGGTGACTAATTAACAAACACTCGTCAATGCAGACCAGTAGTGTTCCTCAACTACACGACCTGCTTTGAGATACTAGTATTGGAAATGGTTTATATTATCTTGGATGGAAAACTGTAAATTAACTCTAGAATCCACCATTCATATTCAATGAACCTTATTACCCACAAGAAAATATACATTCCTTGCTATAAATATTACAATTTTTTATTGAAATTGGTTTAGAATAAACAAAAAATTCCATTTATCTTTGACCTTGGCATAGTTTTTGAGGACTTTTGCAATAATATTCTAATTTTAAAAAATCAAAACTTGTTTTTCCTACGGTCAGTCTTAACCAAATTAGCACTCATTAAACATATGGTCTCAACCAAAGTGTTTTATTTACCATTCCTCTATCACTTATCAAATATTTTTTATTCATCTTAGATCTAAAAAATTTCACAGTAATGTAACTGGCAGACCACTTTATAAAGTTAATACCTTAAACTTAATTTGATTCTGTTTCCATGACGAAAGTTTTGTTGTCGTAATCTGGCCATTGACGAAGAGCTTCTGTTTTGGAAAATGTTTCAGATTTGGGGCCATTGCCACCTGAAAGGTCTGTTCCTGGCAGATATTCTTCCGACACTTCCAACCCATTCCAAAGTGGATGACACATTTCTCAAATGTGATTTCAGGAGAAATGTCGCCTTTCATCAATTAAAAAACATTTCATTAATCACATCAACACACGAAAAAGAAAAAGCAAATACTGCCGTGTCAATGATATGGGATGGTCGTAGAAGATTAGGTGTAACTTAATTAAACATTACAACAGATTCTTTAAGAAATGTTAAAGGGATAATGTGGTAATAAAACAGAAATCAAATATTACCTTTCAATCAAGTTAACATGTTTTTTTTTTTATGTCTTCAACTTTTTTTTCGTGGACACCTGTGTTTAAAGAATGAATTTCTATCATTACCTGGTGTTTGCAGGGAGAGCCTAATAGTGATGCCACATGTGTGGGTGTTATTGTCACATACTATAGGTACTGTTGATATTAGGGATACGTTTGCTACCGGCCTGTCTTCTCGAAGAACTATTTTCTTTCGTAAAAGCTACAAAATAAATAAGATATCGAATTAAAATCTTTTATATAACCATGTTCATAAACTTTTAATGTCGTATTCCAAATTTAAAACGAACCCCCTCTAACACCGACACGCCCCTTTCCTATTACCTTAATATGAATACAGAAAATTCATGATTTCGGAGCTAAATTTGTATTTATCTATAAAATTTGCACTCCATGAGTTCGCACTTAATGAAAACCAATTCCTGTACGTAAGGCGTCTTTAGGTACGTATAGGATATTTCAATAATGTTTTGTACAATTTGTGAACATGAGAATTTTTTACGCATAAAATCATCCAAGAAAAAGCGTTCTCTCAAAATGATAACTTTGTCTTGCATGTATACATGTTCTCGGCCCTTGAATTTGCTCTCCACTCTGATGTGAAGTATATAAATGGGGTTAATAACCGCCTTTTTCAGTCAACATATGTATTTAGCCTCAAATTTCGGGTGTATAAACGGTGTGGATTATGTAGGCTTTCCATGTAAAAGCAAAGGATAGACAATCTTTTTGTGTTGAAACATTTAATCACTGATTTGTTTATTCGACGAAGGGATTTTTTCTAATTGCAGCAATAGAACACAACCTTTGAAAACTTAAACATCACATGAAGAAAAGATTAGGTCATGTTACAACCACTGAAAAACAAAATACCCGTCTTTAAGAACCACATCCAATCTTGGAAAATACACGGTGTACGGTTATTTGTTAGTGAACCTGATATGCAATATTTTCACTTGCTTCAAAGAATCGAACGAATCATTTTATTAGTTTGACCTGTTCTTGACTAAACCATAGTCGTTAAAAGTTTTCTCAAGTACTTGCTGCTTTTAAATCTTTCTCTAGAATAAATCAACTTTCTAACTAATCGACATTGCCATAAATACACGGGAACAGCGAAGATTCTTGTTAAAGGCCGTACAAAAGTGTAGGTCAATCAAGCTCACCCAACAGAAAGGAGAGCTACTCAACGACACAATAAAGGTGTGTCTGATGTTTTGGTGTGAAGTCTTTTTATATTTGAGAATTTAATTCAAAAGGGGCTTTTTACAACAGAGTAATATAACTAAACAATTTTGACAATGTGTACTTTAATGTATGGATCAAATATTGGGCAACACTTGTTAATTTAGTGACAAAGCAGTTTGCTAATGAACAGCATATACGATGCGTGACTTAAAATTCTTCCACTTCATTTACCTTGATACCGATGAAATAGGGTCTACTTTTTCGGCTTTTCTTGTCTCTCATTTGATAAATCTCCTCAACGCTACATATCACCTGAAATTCCACGAAAAAAAGGAACAAGTTACAAGGTTGTGGAACATGTTTATGTTATAGATATAAATGGGTGTAAAATTCGGTAAAGCTCTTACCGTATCGCCCGAAAAAGCATGTTCCCCGATAACTATGGAGTCTTTCGTTTTTCTGGTAAAAGTAGATTTAATCAGAGAAAGCCCGCGCTCTTTTCTGTACCAAGCTATGTAGAAGGTTGGTGACGTCATTGCAATCAGTTTATTGAGAACGCGAAAGGTACACGTTATCATGGCGTTCTTTCTGGACACGCTCACTTGAAGGGACGGCTTGCTGGTTCTGACGTTGTAGTCTGGAAGTTTATGAACTCATTGATAAAAATTAAATATAACTTTCATGACCTTGTATTTTCTTTTGCTTTTTGAAAATAAACAAAGGCTTCTTATGATGAAAATTACCAACATTATGCTTACCTATACATTTCTTTAAATGGCGTATGTACACTTGTCCAGTTGAGCAAGTCTTTTTTGGAACTGGAAAAACAATTCAAAGGCCACAAAATTGAGAGGGAAAGGTTCAATAAAGTAGAAACATTTTTATATCGTATTTATTGCTTCTGTTTAATTAGGATTGTTGATGTAAAATGTTGTATATTAAGTATCAAACGAATTACCTTCGAAACAGTTTTTAATTTTGTGGATTTGAAAAAATGTCCTTTATTATTCTGTATAAAGTTGTGAAAAGTCAAAGCTTTCATGATGCAAGTTTTATCTGTCCGTTTACTGAGTTTATAGAGAGAATGTGTTTTCTATAGCTACCTTCGGCACAGTAAGCTAGATCACAACCCCCTGTACTTGTTAACTTGTAAACAAAGAAATTGATGCAGTTCTTGACTTCTACTGGAAATTTGATTGGACAACATTCCGGACGTTCTCCTCTTGGGGCCCACGTGACACAGGCACTTCCGCTTTTGGTGGCTCCTGGGATTGGCATGCCTTCTTTTGGTATGGAGAGCCATATTGGAGCGGCTGTTCCACATCGTTTTACCTGAGTAAAAGGATGTCAATTTGTATTAAGATTCTGTAGATTTATTCGCTTCTCAATAAAGTGGATCACCGTAGTGTGTCTATACAATTATCGGATGTACTTAAATGAGAGTTTTAAAAAGATAGTTTTGAAAGTTTCAAAATACCGGGTAGATCAGATTCCTAATGAAGTTATTCAAAGCCCTCTAAGAAACAGGACCCCTGAACTAGTAGATAGAATTTCCCGTTTACTGATTGAACAGTTATTTGAAATTAAAAGGAGTGCATTCAGTATCGTATGATTGAAGGAATTTATATCTGAACTATTTCACAAATATTTGAACAATCGAAGTGCATTAAAACATCAATGTCTTTCTTATCGTCATTAAATCTATATAGAGTTTCAAATTTACATTTACTTGTTAATTGATGTCAGTGATCAACCCTTTACTATATAAAGTGTTGATGATAAAAAAAGGCTTTTTATCTTAATTGCTTCCACCCTTTCTCGTAATATACAGTTATTGGATTCTTCAAATACATCATGTCCGAGCTTTTCTTGTATGTTTGCATACAGGCAACTATGCTAATGTTATAAATATTTCTAACTCCATTACAGTATAAATGTCAAATAGGATCTGAGATAAATGTCACCTTAACACATTTGGTTGGCATGTCAGCGTCCGTCCCATTGATTTTGAATCGGTACCACCCCGGGGAGAGGCTATTGTCGCAGAGCCGCCGGTCGCTCGCCTTCGATCGGTACTTCGTACTTCTTCGGAAGTCATCGATAATGCTGTGGTGTTCCGGTAGGCAGGGATCTTCAATATAAAAAAAATCTCATTTCAGTTGATAGTATTAATGTACACACTATCTTTCAATTCTAAAGATTTGAAGATAGAACTTAGTGCGTCTTCATTTTTTTCGATATTGGCGATAATTTAAAAAGTATTAAACAGGAGTTATACGTAAGCTTTTTCTTTAATATTTTATTAATTTATCAGAGAGAATTTGGAACTCGGAATTGAAAGTTCTTTGTAATAAACGAAGCGAATTAATTGTTATCTATCATATTTCTGAAATATTTCAGCTCCCGAGTTCAGGCTAAAATAGATTCCTTCTATTCTACGTTAGATAATGGGGTATACGCTTTGATATTGTGATTGTGAACAGGTTGTCGTAAATTACTTGTCCGACAACAAAACAACCCAATTTCGGATCATGAGAAAGGTGAAAAATGTCAAAAGAAATTCAGGATGATTATTTTATTCGCGCCAATACATGACACCATAGTGATACTTTTATCTAATCGATCAACGCGGTGCCTTTAACGACGTACACTGTATTTGATCGCGCGCGGACGTCTTTGTAAACTACGATTTACGACCAATCACGACCGAGTAAGAAAGAGAATTATGAGTATGAAATTGGAAGAAAGGGTACATATATATAATTTATCCAATTATATCACTCTAATGTATGACAAAAATTACACGTTATTAAAGATTTAGTTCAATGTGCGGGTTCATCTTTTAAATTCGTATTAGGGGATTTTGAGACATTCCAAAGCAACGTGTGATCTTCAATTTGTCACACGAAATCAATAGCTACCCCCTTTTTCTCGATTATAAACGATACATGCTCACACTGGGTCAAACACAGAGGTACAACTATTTGTCAAACTAAGTGGGCAGGTGGTTGCCTTACAAATACTTCAATACAAGCACTCTTAAACTTAATCACTTGCCCGCCTTCTTCAACGTTTTTTAGGAAGTTAATTGAACTAATTTTTACATCTTGGCCAATTTGATCAAGCCAGAACCGAGTATTATACGCCGGTCTCAATCGTAGTCCTATTGTGTCTTAATGTAACTCCCCTAATGGCGCATTTCTCTATGACGTTCGTAACAATGTTGGCAATGAATTCATATTAAATATAAGTGATAAATTGCATTAATATCTGAATTCCCCTTTGTGACTGTTGGCATGCTCCTATGTCCCCTCAATCATTGACAAGAGCAGCTCATGGACAATCGATTATTGAGAAACAATATATGCTCAGTTCTTCTTAAACGAATTTTACGACTTAAAGGTATTTAGTCTGTTGACACACTTGTAGATCCCTACATTTCTTTGATTTATACATGCATGTACAGTGTAAATCAAAATATCTTATTCTGCTGAGACACTTAAATTAAAATGCTTGGCAGTATGAATTGAACTAGGAATTTCAAACAAATATTTTTTTCTGCATAGTTTAAATTCAGTATTTGAGTGTTAACAAAAGTTAGAACTTTTTGACTTTTTTTTATACAAAAAAAATCACTACGTTTATTATGTACATGCACGGAACTTTGATAAAATAATGGTGTCTAGGTGCTTCAGAAAATTATGATTATTAAAGTCCTCCGATGCTTTTCTCGGCAGGGGATTCCTCGAAGAATGAAGACAAGATAACCACAGCTTAGTAAAGTTTTCAATATTTTTTGCTTTTGATGAGCCTCTTTTTCAGAACTACTTGCAAAGAGCATTTAACCTCAAATTTAAGAAAAATAAAATTTTATTTAATTTTTCACCAAAAGTTTTAATTTTCACCAAAAATTAACTTTCTTCAATGAATTTTCACTACATGACACATTTTACGAAATATCTTCATGCATATCAACATTTGTAAGACAGCGTTTACCATAAACTCTCATCAGTTAATGAAAAAAGCCTTTCGGTGGTATCCAGCTTAACATAACTCTACATCGAAATAATAAAAAAAAATATGTGAAAAGACAGACATTGTTAATGCTTTAGTTTCTTACAGATGCGAGGTAAAACACTACGGGCAGTGTAATGTAATCTCTTGAGCCTTAGGTAAATGTCCACGCATAAATTTATAGGGATATATATCAATTTGGGTATTAAATGGAAAATTGATAACAAAGTATATTCGATAAGAATTTTACAACTTTCCCGCAATGGATAAAGGTGGGATTTAAAAGAGCCGAGACTGCCACTTATTGCATAGGAATTTTTTCGATATGTATAATCTTAATTCCTAGGTAAAAAAGAAAAATGTATGTGGATTTCTCGGACTACTATCGCATGTCTTTGAGAGTGAAAATGGTAAATAGCCATAAAAAGTCTGAATGCCGTATGAATGGGAAGAAATGTTTACTTCAGAGCGAGTTAATCTTTTTTGATGCTGTGACGAAAAATATGCAATGCATGGCAGCTTTTATTTCAGTCTGAAACTCAACTTCGTGTCCATAAAATTCTGTGGATTTATACAATAAAGGAATTCTCAGGCAATTTTCAGATTTTCATAACCCAAAATGTGTCGAAATGAGTATCTATGTGCCCATTTAACATGTATCAGAATGCATTCCAGAGCGTATAGCTACAAAACACGTACTCATATTTTTTCGCGTAAAACACTTACTCAAGTTTCAAAGAAATACTTGATCTTTCTTTATTATTCAATTTAACCTCTAATATCGTGCAGGTTTTTTAATTCGTGATTATTTGGACATTTTTTCCTATTAAAAAATCAGGCAAAGTAACATAAATTTAATAGTGGACACCGATTTCGAAGTTTCGTGATAAATCCAAATTTTGGTGTTACATTCACCTCGTTACAAAGAGGTCCACTTAGCCCATTATTATTCCTGTTTATTTGACACTCATTTAAGGGACAAACGCGTGTTTTTCGCCACCGTGAAATTTGGGAAGTAAAAACGACGTTTTCACTTGCTTGATTTTTGTTCCCAATTGTTGTTTGGGACAGTTTGATGTTAAGTAAACACTGGCAATTGAGACCTGTCACTTGGGTTTTATTAAGCAAACATTTCTAGTATCGATAACACATGAAAGGCATTCTTTAACTTTTAGAACAGATACCATGTACATATAAAGGACTCTCTCTCTCTCCCTCTCTCTCTCTTTCTCTCTCTCTCTGTTAGTACACTACTTAAAAGATAAATTCATTTTTTTTTAAGATTGGTAATTATAAAGTTTACCAAACAACAATCTAATTAGAATTAAATGTTAGTTCCGCTCGCATATGCGAGCGGATCTAACATTAAATTTTGACCAAACAAAGGCATCAACAAGATGTAAAACCATTTAAAGCATACTGTATAGTAAAAATTAAGAGTTACTCTTACATTATTAATTAAATGCATTTTCATACATGCATTTTCGTGTATTTACACACAGACAAATGTACATAATTTATAAACGATATATTAACTAGTGAGCTTTGGAGTGTTCAGTATGTGCAGTATTCTTTGCGTCCTTTTAACTTTCAGATTTATGTGTTTATTATACAACAACGCCTATTTCTATAAACAACGGTGATATCATTTAAAGATGGAATGCACGATTACATATATTCTTTATGTGAACAAATCTTCTGTGTGCAAATAATATGGTTCTGGGCAATACATTTGCAAATAAAGAGGATTACTCTGCTGTGAATATCAAGGTTTAGATAAATTTATTTACGAGCCAATGTAACATTTTAAACATCGCTACATGGGACTATCTTTTTAATACAGTTGCTTGTTAAGTAACCATTGAAGCTTAGAATGGCGTCGTAACAATCTTTTTATTGTTTGTAGAGATAAATTGTACCGCTAAAGTTCACCGGTAAAAATGAACTTTCAAAAACAAATCTAATTTTTAGGTCGATAAATAAAATGATATTTACGCACAAAGTGCATATTTTAAATTTATTCTTGATTTATCTTTATCATACTTCAATTTAATATATGCAGAATTCTACAAAAAATATTGTACCATTATATTAAATGTGTATGTACTCATTGTTTTATGTATAGTTTTATCTGTATGTGAAAATTATATCACAATCTTGAATAACCATATTCTATTGTTGCCCTTGATTTATGCACAAAATGTGACATGCACTTTCATTTTTTTTTTATTAATTGATTTACTTCCGTTGGGTTTTTTTGGGTGGGAGGGGTTGATTTTTGTTTGTATGATTGTTTGTTTGTTTGCTTGCTTATATTCGTTCGTACTTTAATTTTAGCTTGTTTTTTTTTTAAAGACTTATATCTTAAGCTGTTTGATACATTTGGGGTAAAACTGATTATTAATTAATTGAGATGAGGAATGTTGGCTCTCCTTGTAAAAACACGTAACCGCTCGTCTTTCAAAAAATGAGCTCAATCTTGATACAGAAGGATAGCTCCCGTGCAGATGGTTCTGAGAAGGGTGTGCATGACAGTTCCTTTTTTCCCATTCTTTGATCAGCAATTAATGTTGGCTTCAATATGTCTTTGAGCACATAAGAAGCAAACCTATCATAGTATACTTTTGCACCTATTCATACCTTCATATGCAATTTTATCATTGAGTCATTCTTCTAGCATTTTATTTCTTTCAACATTCCACATTCAATTAAAAAGAAGAGAAGTATAAAAATATATCAGACCATTGTTCGAAGAATATAGCCCCTTTTCAAATCTGCACAACTATTGATTGAAAAATTTCAAAGGTTATGCATTTGCTTATTTAACTTTTTAAAATAGTCATATGGCATGTTTGTCTATTCAAAATAAATTCCAATATGTTTCCATAAAATCGATAAATTTGATAAGGTATACAATTCAAAGCGATTTAATTCCTATTTGAAATTAAAAACATAAAAAATTATATACATGTGTAATTTTTTTTCCATTAAAAATTAAAACCTCACCTTTTTCACTTTGAATGGAACCAGCTGCTGTAAGAATGAGCGTGGCTACACATATTCCCAGTAAAGTCATAGTCCAGACAATGATTTGCATCTTTTGGGACACTGCTCGGAGCCAAACGTTTCCTTCTTATTTCGCATTTCAATGGCATTTAAAAGTCCGAAAAATGCTCCTAAATCTCACTAGCATCCTTCGTGGAGTGCAGACATTTCTCTATAATCAATGGGTAATTTAATCAGGACTGTCGCATTAGAATGAAAAACGAATCCTTTAAGGTTGCGCCGTTAACACCCGAGACTTCTCGAGGTTAATAGAAAACTGCCGAAAATAACAGTTCGCTGTATTCCAGGTTTATTTAATGCCTCCTCGCTATACTCGCGTCATTTATGCGATATTTATCAACTCCCATCAGTCAATCCTTTTAATAATCCTTTAATTATGATTTTCTTAATTATTTGATGGAGATCGTATCATCATGAAGTGATCGACGTAATGAAAAAATCCGTCCGCGCTACCCCCAATGTATTCGCTGCGTATACTATACTTATACGAATGTTTGCTTTTCTCGGTTTATTTAGTGAGCGCCGATGATCTATCGAAGACAAATTTACAAGCTAGCTTGTAAACATGTAGCCCAAAATATACATAAATATTTGGGCTAAAGGTACGTCTCGGGGAACATAAAACTGTACATGTTGACATTTTTTCAGCTCGAAACATTTGAATTCAAATTTACATTTTTTTCTTGTGTAAAGTAAATGTTAGTTGATCTGTTCATTTTTAACCTTATTTTTTTCTTCAAGTTTATACCTCGTATTAGATACAAAGATTTCTTTAGCAAACATGGAAAATATAACCTGTTAAAATTTCTTTAAATGTCAGCTGAAATCGAATTTTGATGTACACAAATACTTACATCTTAGTGTTTAGAAATCGAGGAAGGCTATCACCATTAATATATGTTAAAACAATTTCTGGAAAGGTACATACAGGAACTTCAGGGATTTTACCGTTGATTTAATTGTTCCATTCGAGCTGGCAGTAGCTACTCTTCATATTTTTTTTTTTATTTGTAGGGCATCTTCGCAATTTTATCAACTTAATTCTTAAAAAGAGATGGAGAAGTCTTAACAAAATATAGAGTAATATAATTATAAAATATAAATAAAATAATATAGAGTTTCAAGTGATCGTTATTATAAAACTACCTGTTACTTTATTTTTCCCATAACATGGAAATCGTTATTTCTAGACGGACCATGCATCGTACAAAACCCAGAATTAAAAACAAAAGGCAGTTTTGCAATCTCAACAAATTTTGTTTTGTTTTGTATTTTTATTTTTACGTACCGGTGCACTCATTTCTCATAAAAAGACTAGGTCAGTAAGATAAAAATTTCATGAAAATTAAAATTTCATAGGCAGCACACACCGCTGATTTTTTCCCTTAATTTCATTAAACTTTACCTACATTCCTCTAGTGTTCTCTGTACGGCTGTCTTTCCTTAATGAGATGCTAATATAAGATGTTTCATATCAAATATTTACGACTTTGATAGTTCGATATTTTTACCACAACGTGAGGAACACTAATTAACTTTATTTCAGAAAAACATTTTCTCAACATTAGCTCTCTAATGTATCTCAAAGTATATCGCTATGTTGTGTTAACTTTCGTATACATATATTTTTGTCTGTGTATAACGGCTACAAAACACGCTTGAAAAGCAAAAAAATGTCTTCCGAAAAAATTGATCTAAGGAGCTCTAGTCCAATTTACAAGTTTTGTATCACAACAAAACATATGGGAGGGTGAAAGATGTATAGATAATTAGATTGAAGTAGAGGTTAGTTTTCGAGAAAAAGGTCTGAAATTGAAAGAGGTGTTGCGTATCTCTTAATTTAGTTGTCGTAAACGACTTTGTCTGCATATTTGATATCTGTTTGCAGCATTGATGCATATACTTACTCGGGTGGGGTGTAAAGAGAATTATTTTTGAAGTAGATGTGGGATTTTGATGCAAAAAGGTATGGGATCGAAAGAAGTGCAATAAAGTTTCTTAAAATCTGCTTGCAATCATTTATTCTTGCGCTTTTGTATTTTACATTTTGGAGGTAGAATATTCAAACAAATCTTGACAAATCACAGCATTTTAAACAACACTTTCTAATTAAGTATTCAATTAAAAAAATTTCGTTATAAATTAGCTTTAAAGATTAGAAATTAGCTGTAATTTTTTTTCTTAGAATGTTTGAGTGAAGAGGGGGGGGGGTTACAAAAATTTGCGTTTCAGCAGCAGTATTTATTCTGTAATCAATTGAGTAACTTTAAATATATAAAAATGGCAGATATGAATATCAATATGTATTAAAAAAGATGTACACTATTCTCACAATGTATCAGAACTTGCAATCCTCGAACTTCGGTCACCTATCAAAGAGAGACAACTTTGATTTCACACAAGCATTAGAGGAGATTGCTAAAATTTTATCAGTCACTAGTATTGAAGAAACCGTGTAAAGATTCTACCTCCTATCAAACTACAGGCATAATGGTTCACACAAGCAAATTTGGCAGACCATGACTGGTATAGTTTGAATTGTATATGTATAGGTTGTCCGGAAAGTTCGTGGACAACATTGATAATAACTGAAAAACATTGATATAAAATATAATTATGAAACTATTATTTTCATTAAATTCATGTTTCATTTTATTAACATGCAAAGTTTTCATGAAAAAAAAATGCACAAATAGTTATATTTTTATTTAAAAATGAACACACTGTATACCATAAAACTTTTGAAATGATCACTTTAAACGAGACTGTTGATATTCATGTTTTATCAACTTGTTTGTCGATAACTTAACTCTTTAAAAAATGTTCATATGTAAAGCATGCTCTTGCGATGCTCTTACATGTAACTTTTCCCATATGCATGATGCATGGGTATACCGTTTAACTCAATGAACATTTCCTTCAATATTTGTCCCTTTATCACAAGAAATATACATGTGAAGTATGAAAGTCCTAGCATCAACTGTTCAGAAGTTAATGGTATGGTCATGGTAATGGAATGGGTTTTTTTAACAATTTTTGCATATAATATCCTGATAAAAAAATCCACCCAACCTTTAATAACGGGGGCATTAAAAACAGATTTTTTCCTTGAAAGGGAAATTCGAAGAAAAGAGACATATCTGCTTTGTAGAGAACACCATTTTATACCAGGAATGGGGAAGGGAGCCAAAATTTGCCATTGTATATATTTTTTACTGTTTAAATACTAAAATAAACAAATGTGCATGTCATCACTTTAAAAAAAAACTGTTCCTTCAAAGTGCGTTAAATATTATATCAACGCACTTTGAAAAAAATGTACGGCGTGTTTTATCAATATATTTTACCATGGAGACTTGTTTACAAAATGTTTTAGGAATGGAAAGATGTTTATTTGTTATTTATCTTTCAAAAAACTAACCCTAACCCTAACCTCAAAAAAGAATTGATTTACTCCCTCGAAAAGAGGAGAAATTCTGATCCGTCTCCAAATCTTTATCTTTTACATAGGTGTCAGTAACAAACAGGGGAGCCATTTTACAAAAGGGTTTGAATTTTCAAATTTTGCAGGTAATATGAAGTGATAACTTCTGGCCCTTCGGTAATATAAAATGCTATACTCAAAACATTCATATAATTTTTTACCTAAATGGTGTGACGTTGAAAACTTTCAATATTAAATGAGTTAATTAAAAAGTGAAAATAAAATTTTTTACAGGAAAACGTATGAGAGAGAAAAATTTTTCATAGTTTTGAACAATCAAATTGCCCCCTTTTTATTATGATAAATGTTAAGATGCTTAAAGCTGTCCACTGTTAGTGCCCCCTTTACACCTTTACACCTTTACATCTACTTATCAAAGACTAGAATTAAAAAAAGAAACGAATTAATGATCTTAAACAATCGTCACTCTTTTTTCAAGACCCTTTTCTCTTTTATTTTATAAAAACCTCAAATATTTAAAACGTCAATATCTCATGTCCTGAAGTGACTATCATAAAAAAAGTTATCCAACCAGGATCTGTTATTTATCATACCGATTATTTGTGAGAATATTGATCAATCTTTACATTTTTTTTCAAAGTGCGTTAATATGTGTGCTATTACGCACTTTGAAATAAATAATTGGAGTTTTTCAAAGTGCGTTAGCTTGGTCCAAAATTTAACGCACTTTGAAATTTTTTTTTTCAAATTGCGTAATTTTTCAAAGTGCGTTGTAACAGTGCCCTCTCAATAACCCCCCCCCCCCCAAAAAAAAAAACTATACTACAGAAATATTAATACAAGCTAAATGATCTTGAAGAATTATCATTTTAGCATAAAAAGTTATATGGAAATTAGACCATAAACTGAAATGAGTAGCACTTTGAAAAATTGTTGACGGACAGCTACCAACTTGTTTGTCGATAACTTTACTATACCCTTTTCTCTTGTCTCTGACCTGTGAACTAACAAGAGGCCCATGGGCCTTATAGGTCACCCGCGTATCATGTAACCACTTGTAATACCAAAGTGCAGATGTCAAAGCATTAATTTTTTTCACAAAGATGAAAGCCAGTACCTCTTTAAAAAATTAACCATTTTGGAAAATGCTTTCTTCATCATAAATATGTATTAAGATCATTGGCATAATACACAGGAGCAAAGGAAAAGATTTTCAAAGAATCATTCATGCATTTTCACTATATAAACATTAGAGCCCCCCCCCCCCATTACACAATAAGCCCTGACCCAGGGGCCCTGAAATTCACAAATTTCAAAGATCATAACTATGTACATAGTTCATTGGTTTAATAACCAGGTGCAGAAAAGAAGATTTTTAAAGAATTTATGCACTTTCACTATAGTCAATATATATATAATCAATAGAGCCCCACCCTAACACCAGAACCCCTAACCCAGGGGCTATGAAATTCACAATTTTGAAAGAGGCAGTCTTATTCAACATAACTATGTATTGGTTAGTTTATTTAATAATCAGGAGCAGAGAAGAAAATTTTCAAAGAAATAATTTATTTTCACTATATAATGGTTATAGCACCGCCTTAGCACTAGAACCCCTGACCCTGGGGCCCTGAAATTCAGTTTTAGAAGAGGCAGCCTTATTCAACATAACTATACAAATGGTTAGTTTATTTAATTTTTAAAGAATTTATGCATTTTCACTATATAATCTATATAGCCCTGCCCTGCCAATTTTGACCCTGGGACCACAAGATTCACAATTTTGAAAGAGGTAGCCTTATTCATCATACAAGTAACTATGTACATGGTTAGTTTATTTTTAAATGCCCATGAACAGAGAAGAAGAATTTCAAAGAATTTAGGCATTTTCACTATATAATCTATGTAGCCCCACCCAAGAACTAGACCCCTGACCTTGGGGCCATGAAATTCAGAATTTTGAAAGAGGCAGCCATTTTCAACTTAGCTATGCTAACTAGTTGAGTTTACTCAGGTGACCTAAAAATCAGTTGCTTTAGTCCCCCGTTTTCACTGAAAGTGGGACATTAATTCGCATTTTTCTGTCACACTAAAGATTCTGTGCAATATCTCCAGAACCCTTTGAGCTTTTGCAATGAAATTTTACATAACAGATCCCTGTGACCTAAGCAAGATTCCTGTTGATTTTGAGATCAAAAAGTCAAAGTTGAAGGTCATATATTCATAGATTCTGTCTGTTTTAACACTTTTGTTTCCCTTGGATATCTCGAGAAGACTTTGACTTTTTGCAATGAAATTCTACATACAACTCCCTGTGGCCTAAGGAAGAGCCCTATTAATTTTCAGGTCAAAAGGTCAAGGTCATAACTTCATAGATTCAGTTTGTGTGTAAATATTTCATTTCCGAGCGACTAGTCAAGAAGCTTTTGCAATGAAATTTTTATATCATAACTCCATATGGCCCCGCCTGAAAAAAATAAAACAGTAAATACAAGCTAAATGGTTCCGCACATACTCTCTCATGAAGAAATATCAGAATTAGTTTGTTTCAATATGATTTGTCTTATTTCATTTTTAAACTGTAAATCACAGGCAGTTGTTATGTACATGTATATACGGGGTACCCCTTGCATATTTTTACCATGTAAAAATAAGTAGGGGGTGCCCTATATATGAAACAATTGCTTGTGCTGTAAATACTTCATACAGTATGTCATTATACTGCAAAAAGAAAACTCCAGTCAGTAACCACATTACGTATTAATTAGCATCTAGATTTCAATGAAAACCACATATTTTACGACATATGCAACTATCTATAATTTCTTGTCAGTGAAAGTATTGTTATTATTCTTAGCAATAGTAAATGTATTATGATTCTTACAAGTTACCACCAAGTCTATGTAATGAGTAAATTAACATTCCTTCATCCATGCCACTACACAATAAATGGGTTCATTGGCAAAAATGCTCACCTATAAATTGGATGTCTCTCTATACAAAAACTCCTCTTGTGAATCACAGCCAAAAAGCAAATTTGTAAGGACAATTCATTAAATAACATTGACCAAGTGATCATCAGTTCTTATATATCACTAATGAAAAGAAACCGATCTTGATATTTTTTAGATCATTACAATTGTAAAAGTTATTATTTCTTAACATTATACACAACACTTGCTCAAAAGTAATTTTTGACTTCAATGTTCTCATCAAACAAAACTAGAACTCCCAGTGGCCTAAGGAAGACCCCCTATTAATTTTCACTTCAAAAGGTAAGTTTTTCATAACTAAAGATCATGTATCACACATGAATTAAAAATTTTTTTCCAGTGACCTTGAAATTTTGCAATGAAATTTTATATCAAGGTCATGACATATGGCCCCTTGGGTCAGCCCCTTTGTGTGAAATGAGAACATACGCACATGTTTATCAATAAAAAAAGATGGGGGACACAGACTTTTTCTTCCAGTGACCTTGAACTTCCCCAATGATTTCAAGGTCTTGACACATTTCTGTTTGTCAATCTTTGTGTGAACATACTACCAAATTTATTTTTTTTAAAGTAAATATGGACATCATTATGAAAATTTTCTGCACAAGTGAAAACTTCCCCAAATGACCTTGGGTCATGGTTGACACACATTAAGTATTAATTAGCATGTAGATTTCAATGAAAACCACATATATAAAGACTTATGTAACCATCTATAATATCTTGTTAGTATTGATATTATTCTTAGCACAAGTAAATGTATTATGATTCTTACCAGTGTTACAACAAAGTCTATGTAATGAGTAAATTGACATTCCTTAATACCACTACACAATAAATGGGTTCATTGGCAAAATTGCTCAACTATAAATTGGATGTCTCTCAAACAAAAACTCCCACAGCCAAATAGCAAATTTGGACCGGACACGAATTCATTAACTTTAACATTCCAGTGACCATCACTTCCCCATATACCTTGGGTCAAAAAGACACACTAAGGTCATTGCAATCTTTGTGTTTTTTAAAGATCATTATAATTGTAAAAGTTGTTATTTCTTAACATTATTCACAATACTTGCTAAAAAGTAATTTTTACTTCCATTTTCTCATCAAACAAAATAAAGCACCTTGCCACTGAACTGAGCCATTTACAGTACTATTGGCTGAAATATTAGTCTTATTTGACCAAAACAAGTAAATATTCAAGAGTTAAAATGTATCCATTAATAGTTCCATGGCAGTCCTTGGGAGTTTTTGCTTGATTTTGAATTCAATACAATGTGAATTCTGGCTTTTCAACCTTTTATGCAACAGTAGAAAAACTTTTTTAAAATACCACATCAACAAATATATGCTTGAAAATATACCAGTAAATTTATTTCAAAAATTTTCAGAATTTAAAGCTTTGGTTAAAATAAAATAAATTTTAACAAAATGAGTATTGGAAATATTTGTTCGAAACAGTTTTAAAATATTTGGAGAACTTTTGTCATAAATCATAATTCACTAAAAAAATATTAAATTCAAGTCCCAAAAAGTGGAATTGGAGTTAACATCGTACGAAAGCCTAGAGATATGTCCGCGAAACCATTCATCACTAGAGACCTATCCAAATCTGCAGTCACATGATCACAACAGCATGAGATGTCCAAGTGTCCATCTAAAGTCCAGTCACCAACCGTTTCCCTGGTATCACAGAATCGGTCCGGTCTCCCAAAGTCCAAAGTCTTCCCAGCCTCACAATGCTTACACCGTGTATCAGTTCGCCTTTGTTCATAGTCCTTTTGAGTCCATAGAGAATTGATCAGCCAGTTGCCTTGTGGTGTGGATACATTCTTACAGTTAATATTTTGTCCACTAAACAAACATGGACCTTTGGCACACACCATTTGATTTGAACTGGTTTGTGGAAGATCAGGTATCGTAAACAAAACAATGTCCTTGACCAAACTGAACAAATTCATTCCCTCGCCTTCTACGTTGGATGTGTCCTTTGTCTGTTCATTGTCCAAGCCGTTTCCAACCCCAGTAGAGTTACCATCTGAATTAGCAGACTTTTTAGCACCAGTTGTTTTTTCAGAGAGTACAGGATGTGACAAAGACAATATTGAGGGTAGAGTCAAGAGAGTCCATAATGACGAAAAAGCTCCGTCCAGCACCTTTGGTTTGTTTTCTTCAATTGTAACAGTTTCCATCTTTTCCTGAGTGATTTCCTGACTGGGACTAGACACAGGCACATTGTTCAAGGTCGGAAGCATGGAGTGCTCCTTAACGGGGAGGCCAATGGGGGTCAGAGTAGCCAGGGTAGACAGAGTTGTGGTGACCAGGAGGGTAGAACCCACCACGGTTAAAAGTCCAGCCACATAAGCTACCATTGACACTGCCAACATCTGGAAAAAAAGATTATGATTAATTTGGGGGACAAAATACTTAAAAGAACAATTTAAATGCCTTTGAAGTCAGTTATACACAAGACTCAGGTGTTAGAATTTTCCTCATCTATATTGACATAATTTTCCAGTTATTCTGGCATTGTCCCTTCAATCCTCATCAGGGGAGGAATCTAAGGCAACCTTCTACTTTTAAAATGCCCTGTCTATTTCAATTTTTTATGGAAAACTTTGAGTCAGGGTGATTTAAATAATCCTGATTTTTAAGTCATTGCACACCAGAGCGTGTGTTTTGCAAAATTACAGAAATGCATAGAAAATATTTCCTTTGTCATAACTATCTCTACTGGGGTTTATGCTTACCTTGGGCACCAGAGCAGATAATCCTGTAAAGGTCTGTAGGAGTTGTGGGTCTTGGCTGATTGCCCATAAATCTGTGTAGGAGAACCACCCTCTTTCAAGTCCCTGGTTAAGTGCAATCCTATAATAAAATGTACAGATTAATTATAAATCAATAAAGTTTTTCATCAGCAGATGATTTGTCTTTTCAGTTATTGTTAGTTACTTTCAAAAATGTGTTGAACTTTGACAAGAATATCTCCAAAAACATAGGTATAAATCAATATTACAAAGCTCTTTTCTGTAAATGTTTTCAACTATCAGTAACTTACAGTAACTAGATTTACCATAACATATCAATGATTAAGAGACATTGGCACCCCAAAAATTTCTCTATCATTGTTTTGAAATATATATCTAGAAACAAAACTACAGAAACCAAATATATATCATCACAAGAACCTTGTCATTCTTTCAGAAGAGCTAGAATATAAATTATAATTATCTCATTTTTCACATTACATGTATATCAATCAAAAACACGGACCCCTAACTAGTGGTGACTAATAATTCAAAGAAGTAGCTCAAAATATAATTTGCATTTTTATAAGTAAAAATAGATCAGAAAGCCTCAAATACAAACCGTCTTTCCACTTGTTGTAGCACCTGATAGAATTCTGTTTCATTTACATACAACTGCCAGTCCTACAACCAAAGGAAAAGAATATTTTATACACAAACATTTCCCTTATTTGTTCAACTAATTCAACTAAAAGAAAATATCTTCAGTAGGTAAGTTTTGCTTACAATTGCCGATAGGAATTTCCGTTCCATTTCATTGATGTCCTCGGTTTCCAGGTCTGCTGAGGCTGCCCATTCATCATTAAATACTTCATCCTCAACACCTTCATCATACAGAAACTTGGAAGCCATCATCTACAAAATTTTGATTACAGTCAGTGTTTACTGTATTGAAAATAAGCCATATCCTCTACAAAATTTCCATTGAATATTGCATTGCAGGTTTGAACAATTGGTAAGATTCTGTTGTTGTCTCCCTTCCCTTGACAGCTAGAGTGCATTACAAGCATTTAAACAAGGACCATCCTACATTATTTACCAGTGATTGGGAAGGGCTTGCGCCACGCGCCATAGTCGCAATGAAGTGAAAAATGGCGCATTAAATCAATTAATCATGGCGCCAAGGTGCGCATTCCATTTTTAGCGATTTATATGAAAATTTTGTGTACGACTTTCTTTCTTGTTTTACTTTCGTTTTGAATGCAAAATTTAAAACAATAAATCTCATTGGTTGATATGTCAAAAAGTACAAACGGTTCACACACATGAGGTACAAAATATTTTTTTAAATTGATTTGAGCTTATTATGTTAGATTCGTTCCTGTATTGTAATGTGATAAACGGGCAAACATAGTGCATTTAATAGGAACAATCTAGAGAAGATGTAAACATGGCAGGTAATTTGAATTGCGACAAAAACGTTGAAAATTAATTGGATTTTCGTATTTTTATGGATTATTTTTTGGGATAAAAGGCATAAGCAATCTCAAGAAGGTTTGTTTTGATTATTTTGGTAGTTATTCCCAGTGCAAATCATTTTATATTCTTCAAAATGGTTGACATGCAAGAATGTACATTACAAGTACAATATACTGTGGTGAGGGCCTGTACCGAGACACAGTTAGATTATTCTAACTAGAGGTACAATACTTCATTCATTTGTATGGTAGGGCTGTTCCCTTTCCAAAACTGTCGTAATTTTATCACAAAATACAGGTCTGGTATATTCTAAGCAAGCTCCTTTGAATTTGCTGCATTTCATGCGTTAAAAATCGGATTTGGTTAATTAAAAACGTGTTTTCTCTCGTACCTCATATCTGTTTGTCAGTTTGTTATTTCTTAAAATGGCCCTTCAGATTATATTTATGGCCCATTTATTTTCGAAATGGCCCATCAAAAATATTAAGTATTGACCATTTTGGCCTTCCCAATCACTGATTTACTATTTTTTTTGTGTGTATTCATAAAAACTTACATTTACATTTGAATTCAGGAATCTCAAAATTTGATATCTCAAATGCCATGGTTTTATCAAAGCGAGAATAAAATAAGCCCTATTTCTTACACCCAGATAAATGATGAAGTTTTTATCTGTCATTAAAAACTAAATGAGGTTTGAATCATATTTGTAAACAAACATACCATAGAAATCAGGAAGAGGTCAGAGGAAGACACTTGCTGCATGTAGTCAGGCTTCTTCTTCTTCAGTCTGTTCACGTATATCATCCCCATCATCATCGAACATGGTGACATGCAAGAATGTCTGAAATCAAAATTCTGGCCATTAAACACTTCTTAGTGGTACATGTATAAAAACAGTTGCCCTGACATAAACAGGAATGAATGATGGACAGGTCAAAATTGTTAGTGTGTGCATTATGTCACTCTTACTTAATTGAAAATTTCAAAATGCCTATTAAAATATTTCATCCAAACTTGACAAGAATAGATTTATAGAACTGCCACTGAAGTTTCTTATTAATTGTGCATCTCGGATAATTAAGTACAAAAACTTCACTTTACAAATAATTGTAACTGTTTTAAAAGAAATTGATTACCGGTACATGGAAATTTGGTGAATTAAGTAAACCTAGCTCTCACACCCCTGATAAAATACTAACTCTCAGTGAACCATGCTACATGTACATATCTCTAAGAAAAAAAAGAATTTACAAACAACAAACCTGGCACTAGAAGCTGCAAAATAGTGATCAATCTTCCCAAGTTTCTTTGGCACTGAGGCATTCAGGAAATCCACAGTCAGGTCTGTGATGAAAACAGAAAAGTAGTTATAGCAACAAAGTTTGTCACTCCAAGTCAAAATTGCTGTAGTGTATATTACTATTACTACTGAAATGAGAATACCCTCCCACCTGTCCACAGAAAGTCCATAATTCTTGCTCCCAAACAAAGAAGGAAAGAAATATGCTTACACAAAAATGGACATTAAAAATTCACACACTGTGCCCAATGAAGGGTTAAATTGACAAAGGTAGAGAAAGTTAAATTTAACAGAATCTGGTTGATGATAAATCATCAGAGTATCTTAAATACAAATCAAGTAAGGCAAGATGTGCAAAACATTGTTCATGCACTCTTTTGATGATGCTTGGGCAGACCTGAGTTATACATAACCATGATAAATCTAGTATTAACTGATCTCGCCCTGATGGTTGCACCTAAAGCTGCATTACTTATCAAAGTAAATCATGTCTACTTCATTATCATGATTATTACTGAAAATCATTTAAAAAAATTGAGGCCAAGACTGTTTACATATAGGACTTACACACAAAAAGTTTATGATTGTCTCAAACTCAATCTAGTTACAAATCAATCCTGTATCTCCCTGGTTTTGTTATGTCACTCACAACACTGTATGGCGACATAACAAAATACAGGAGCATAAAGGATCTAATTTCATTAGATTATCTAAAACTACGAAATTGAATTATATACTTTTCAATGACTCTATCGTAAAATCAAAATCAAACATTATTCTGACTCTCTACCTCTAACTTTATCAATGTGTCAATAGATAAATAGATGTAAACTAAATATACTTGTAAGGGGAAGAGATGGGCGGTCTGTGGTTGGTCGTTTTCCATAATAAAGAGTTTTCCTTAGTCTCTCAGATAATTCCTCGTGGTCCTGTGAATATAAATATACCAATTACATGAAGTTAAATCATATATATTAACAGTATTTAAAAAATTGAAATATTGGTTATGAGCCAAAAACTGTTTATTATCATGGTATTTCGTAGCCAAGGGCAAATTCCACATAAAACATTAAGCTTTGTCATGCTATACGATTAATTTTCCTTACCTGAAGTTCGGTGTTTTCGAAATCATTGTATCCATCGTGTCCCCGTAGGAAGGGGAAATGGAAAGCAGACATATTCCCCTCTTTGTGACCAGTTCAGGCAGTTACACCAGTTTTAGGTAACACTTTGGATGGTGCGAAATAGATCCGCGCGAGAGCAAGGTGTGGCGAGATCTCGAACGAGACTTCAGTGTTAAAAATGGCGACGGTGATTCATAAATGAGGAAAATGACAGATGAAATTCATTGCATGAATTTAGCATAATATGATGGCGGATAAAACAGTTGACATATCTCGTCTTCCAGAAGATGTCAGACAAAAACTTGAAGAGCTTGATATAGAGCTTGCAGAAGGTAACTCCATTATCTGATTGATTTCTATTGTTCGCAATGCTTTTTCATAGTTTATTGATGTTCATTTTGTGCTACTGTTTATACAAATTTACAGCCCAGCCAATCTTCTTTTTCACTAGAGAGCATAAAATCAAATGAGAAAATTTGGGAATTGAAATGGCAGTGAATTTTTATGTTAAAATTTATAGATTTTTTTGTATTTTTATAGATTTGTTTACATTATGGTCACTTTTTAACATGTGAAAAGTCGCAAAAAATGTATGTCGGGTTTTAATGTCATACTTTAACAGTAATGCAGGCAACTTATTTGTTATGAGATCAAGAATAAATCATTTGTCTTAATCATTCTTTTTAAGAAATACAAACAAAAATGTTATTCGATCCTTACACCTGAATCTCAATGTGTCACAAAAAATCAATTTATTGACCACAGACATCATTGTTGCATAAATTGCATGTACTGATGGGTTTTTATTTATAGAGCAAGTTCCTGGCATGAAGTTGTCTAAAAGTTAAAGCTACTCACTTTTCAATTCTCTAATGATATTCTTAAAAGGAGGCTTTGTTTTGAGAATGAAATATCTGGTACGAAACATGACTTCTTTATAAACAGGTGTCCTCTTATGTGTTTTCACTACAAATGGGTTTAACTGTATAAATTATACATCATTGGTGAAAGCATTAAGTGTAGTTAGTTATACAATCATCAAGAGATTTAAAGAATAGATTGGAGAGAAAAAAACTGCATAGATTAACAATTACATGTACATTAGGCCAAAATAAAAAATATTAAAAGTTTTTATTACATTTTCATTTTTGGGGTGACACTAAAATTTTAAAGTCAACCAACAATATTTACAATACATCACAAGTGTACAGGATACCTTTACTTTATAAATCTTCATTACCAAACTTGCTCTGTAAACTGCAAACATATCATTTTCTTGTTATTACATGAAATATGTTTGCATCCATTGAGGTTTCAATATAAAATTTTTTCTCAAAATAAAATACCTACCTACCCTAATAAAAATTTTCTTTTGGCCTTATAAAAGGGACACATGACATGTCATATCAATGCTCTCATTGCTCTGATATTAAATTATTTTTAAAACATAATAAAAATTTGGGATAAATGAGAATATAACATATATAAGGAAAATGGATTAAAAGCATAGAATTTTTAGTTAATCAATTACTAAAATAATATTATTTCAAAGTAATCTCAATACATGCAAAAATGCTTTAAAAACATCGATGTAACCTCAGATTTTGCCAGGAAATCAGATCAAGGCATGATTGATTTAGTTTGGAAGCAGAAAGTGTAGGTTAAAACATTATTGTGAGAAACATGGTTCTACTTTGTTGATTGCTCAAAAAACTTTGAAAATTAGTGGAGAATCCTCCTGCTGGCAAGTCATTGAAGAAAAAGAGAAACATTCATACAATAATTAGCATTATTAGTTTGTATAATTTGGAAAAGGGTATTTAAATACAACACAGATTTCCAAAATAATCTTTAGTTATAATTGATCTCTGTAGTTTGGTGCATCAATGCATTTTTATTTTTTGGATGTTCTACTGTGTGATTGCACACTTTGACAGGAGTTGTAAAAATCAGGGTTTAAGTGGATACAATCTGCATTATCCAGCAATTATAGTTGTTTTTGTGTCATTATGTTTTTTAAAATTTTGTCATTTTAAGATAATTATTCATAGTTTTAATGTGAGGGTTAGAAATAAACACACAATTGCTTTTAAAGGCCTATCTAAAGAAAGATTCCAAATTCTCATGAATTGGATCTTTGATATTGGTATGTTCTGATCATTATTGACTATACAGGCACATTGTTTTATCCTTATAATGTGATCAGAACTAGTGTGATTCAGATGTACAGGGATGTAGGCATGCAGTATTCATCACCCACTGTCCATCTGTACACATCTGCTTGGAATGATGTTACTCAGTTTATGCAAATAAAGAATCATACTTTAAAACACATCACAAATTTCAGATGAATGTTAAAGACCAAGGATCATATGTATGGGCTATTTATGCATGGAAGCAATATTAGGTCATAAATTATTCATAATTAAAGGTTGAAAATCAATGTGGGAAAATTTTTATACTGTGTTGTTGTAGCTGTATAATAAGTAGGTCACCCAAAGTAAATAGAGTTGTGGCTGTAACCACAATATTTACAGAACTGTAGGACTACTGGTAGAATGTCATGACTCATATCAAGTCAGGAGGAAAGTGGTCAGCATGTTATTTGCTCGAAATTTAAAAGGGTCCACGGCCACTTCGCACATACATAAAAATCCTCCTACCACGAGATGAAAGATAATTTTTTTTTGTGTGTGTTGTCGGGGGCTAGGGTCAGGCAGGCACAAACTTTTTACCAGTTATAAAAATTCAGGAAATTAAATGGGAGAGCTAGAACTACTTGAGATCAATGAAGGCACGTAGTTACACAACACCGGCAAGAAATGAGAAACATATGACTAGGGCTGGGTATTACACGATATACGATATTTTAAACTGTATTGCGATATGTATTGCAATATTTTCAATTGATAAAAATAGCATTTTCTTACTATATTTACTTTAAAATGCAGAATGAGTAACCAAACATGTTGATTTCAAAGATGTCTGAAATGTTACCACAAAACAACTTCTGACTTACTGTTTGGCTTAATAAAAACTTTCATCCAATCCATTAATATTGCCAATATATCGATATTACAAAATCGTATTGCGATACGATATTTTTTGTCATTGTATTGCAATATATTGAAATATCGATATTATTGCCCAGCCCTACATATGACAAAGATGTCTAGCAGGGGCAAAAAATTCCAGTCACAAAGAATGGGCTGCTAATTCTGTAAAAGAGAGCTTGCTAATTTGTTTGAAGGAGAGACTGTCAATACACCATTCAATGCATTCATCTTTCATCCTATTGTGTAAATCTGAGTACTCTGAATTTTAATTAAGTAGAATAAAACCATATTACATTATACATGCATATGTATATTCTGTTTCTTGATCTATAAGGATACAGGTCTCTGATCTAATAAAGGATTTGAATGAAATACCATAAAGTTCAATGACATTATGTTAACTTATAACTTTTAATTAAAAATTGTTACACAGACATATGTATGTATGTTTGGTGACAGTCATTTCTGCATGATTTTATCTCATGAAAGGGAGATATTTAAAAGGTTTAGGGATGTAAAGTGTAACAATTAGAAATACTGCATAAATTACATTCTGTGGATTAATTTAAGTAATTTTTCATAACAATATGCATACACATATCAGACAAATGTGTATATATAGACAAAGTTGGTCAATTGAAATCTCACTGAATATTTAACAATTGACCAACTTTGTCTATTTTTTCAATTGAATATTTAAATATGTACATTCTGTATTCATAACATAGCATCATAACATGAAATGTATCATTTAAAGTATGGTTTATATACCTTAGGGTTATAAACACTTAACTTTGTTTTTGAACTGCTTTTTTAGTATCTCATTCCTCATCTCCCCCCCTCCCCACCTTTACATGAATCAGAATATTGATCTATAACTCACAGCTTTCTCTGATTAGGTCTAGACAGGGATTACTGCAAGACAATATTTTGAGGGTTGTAAAAGTAATGATAAATATTATGACCACCAGTGAAGAACTGACATATATTTCTACACCAACAAAAAATTCAACTCTGTATCTTTATTCTTCAAACCTATCATCATTCATTTGCATTGTTAAGCACAATTAACCTGGGAAAAAATGAATTATTGTAAAAGAGTTGCATGGGGAATGTACTAAATGTTTCCTTAGAAACACATTTAAAGATTGACACGGTTTGAATTTGAGCTGTTAGGATGATACTTTGGAATGTTTCCTGGCCCTAGTCTTTCTTCCCATGTATCGAGGATAACATCATAATTCCGTTTGATAAACTATAAAATATGTTAATGGTCTGTGTGTCATAGAAAAGCCATCTGGTTTGTTTTAAAATATTTTCAAGAGAAATCCAGACTCTCTGCTTAAAGTTTCAGTTTATTTTATTCTGGAAGGCTGAGGGTGAAACATGAAAGGTATAATTATGAAAAGGAAAAAAATATCTGTAAAGGCTCTGCATTTATTTGTAAGTGGTATTGCAAAAAGTGTAGGTGTTTTTTCTAGGATTGCACTTTTTTGCAGATCATTAATTTTTAATGGTGACTTTGTAAAGTATATATATATCTGTACACCTGGCAGCTATATTCAGATAAAGGTGTGAAAATTTGCCTTTTTCTCGATACAGAACATTGTGAGAGATTTGTGGGATTGATCATCAGTGATGTGACATACATGTAGAAAGGTAGAAGACACTATAGAGACTGCATGACTTAACAGAGGGATTGGGTCAGGCAATCACTGACACACTATAATTCACTAACGAAGAAATTCATTAGCTTTGTTAACTAAGACAAAGATTTGTTTTGTATCTTTCAGGTGACATCACTCAGAAAGGCTATGAGAAGAAGAGGAGTCGTCTATTGGCAAACTATGTCGCTCACTCACCTGCAGGTAAACATCGCTAATTACGTACCTATTAATTAGGAATGAATGTCTTTTACAGGCTTATAGTAAATGTCATGTTATTATATATTTCTGTTATTTTTAGGTAACATAATAGATTTTTTTTTCTCCAAATCGCCCATGTCTGAACTTCAGGGGGATATTAGGAAAAGAAATTAGTAGGGAAAAGTACAGAGAAGTTCATAAAGATAATTTTAGACAATATCCTTTAGTTTTCACCAATTCCTCCCATATCCCTACTTCACGCCTCCTCTAGGTCTTTCCCCTCTTGATTCACCTCAAATCTCCTCCTCTACCTAGGGATACATTCTACCCCTTTTGCCCTTTTCCTACACATCCTAGCCCTTACCCCTATTTTAATTTCTTCCCAATGCCTACTCATTCGTTCTACTTTGTTTTCTTACACATGCCTATATCACCTCAATTGTCATGTGTCTCTTCCCCTTTATCCCTATATTTAATCCAGCTGTTTTACTCTAATATCCCACCCATCATCTCATCTCATATTCCTATATCCCTCCCAAGGCTCCCATGTCATAATCATTCCACCTAGCTCCTTCTCCCCTCCACCTAACCTAACTAGCCACTCCTACCATCCTTTCTTCCCTGATCATATGTGACATCTTCAATCTTATTTTCTCTCCATCATTATTCCACACATCCTACCAATCTATGAATCTACCCCTTACTTGATAATCTCCCTAACCCCTCCCTCATCTCTCCACTTATTTTTGTTTTTCTTGCTGATTTCTGCTGAGTGCATCATTAGATCTGTATTGAGATTTGAGAAATTCTGTCTGGTCAGAAGATAAGTATAAATGGGAGTTGACTGTTTGTTTTTGTGTATTGTAATGTAAACATTCCTAAACCTCACCAAGCAAAAGTTTGATAAGCTGCAGCCTGGATCTCGTCAGAACCCCCCTAATGGACTTACAGGCATGAGTCCCCATCTTACATGGTCAGGCTAATGAGTCAGAATTAATAATTAAGCACTGATTAAAGATTACGGCATGATTTTTCCATTATTTCAATACACAATATCTTGGTAAGATTTGCTGCATGGTTTACAGTGGTGTAACAAGGAGGTGGACAGAACCACATATGTGTTTAAGCCATGTAATTGAAACAAGGCCTGGAGATTATTTTGTGGCCCTCCACTATTTACTTTGTTTAAAGATGCAAGATATGATCATGATGATAAGAGCTTCCTGCATCTTTGTTTTTTTTTTCCTCTCTTGTTGTAATGAAAAGAAAGGAAACTGCTAATTTCAGACATGGTGTTTTCTAAAAGTGTCTCTGAAAAGATAAGGTTCTTTTATACACGTTATCTTGGAGGTTAAACAATTAGGATTTGAAATTAAATGGGATTCTATTGCGGGGAAGTGTTTGCGGTATTACGTAAATCAAGTTTTAATTTTTTTGTAATAAAAACTAACTTCTGAGGAATTGTTTGATTTTATCCGAGCAATGAACTCCCTCTGATGGTATACTGTTGGTGGCGGGGAGATTTATTTAGCATGTGTCGGTGTTTGCTGATGGCTATATGTAACATTTTCTCTCCGTGCTGTATATATTTTTTTAGCAAAGAAAATCCCAAGGTACTGCCATATTAATGAAGTTGTTAGACTATATATTAGTGATTCTGTGATTTTTGGTGGGAGTTATGCATTTACATGAATTACATTAACATAATTTGAAAATTTACTCTGAAGGATGTGAGTACTTCTTTATAAGTGATTTCAGTAATTGATATGGATGATACAGATCTCTGATGATGGCTGAACCTCCATTAATTTTGTGTCTTAGTTTGTTTACGTCAACATGTATTTTGGGGGGCTGAAGCTTCTACCGCAAGGTCAGTGACACGTCTAATCAATATTTCGTTTATATCAGGATGCTCTGTAATTTGGTCATTCACTTTATTATGAGGATTTAAGAAGCAAATCAGCCTCTTTGAAAGCATCCAGTAAGAAATATACAAGAAGTGGTGGTAGTCCACTTGATAATTTTTTTCTCCCATTAAATGTTTTAATGGTTTAGAACCTGTTACCCCTGCAATCTAACACACACTTCGCTTTCCCCTGTGGGATGCATGAACTTGCAGTACTGTTTTATCCTATGTAGTACAAAGGCTGTTGATGCATGGCACAAATTCTGCTTCCTTTTTGTATCCGTGCTTTGACTTCTAATCTTTTCCAGGAAAAACCAGATTTACTCTTGTAAATGTTTTTTTAAGGGTAGGAAGCTGGTATATACACATGTATGATACAGATTATGTGTTGCATGACTTTCTTTTTTCATGGTTTTAGTATCAGGATCAATATAAGATTATTTTACTTATATCAACACTTTTAGATTTAAATGCTTTATTACTGTAGATGGAACCTTTTGTGTTAGATATAGTCCACTCTACAAGCTTTCTACTACATATTTCATGCATATAAAGGTTCACACACCCCATATATTGTCCAGAAGGAACAGAATTTATTGGATTATGATCACCTGCCCATAATATGCACCTGTACGATCTCTCTGTAGTCTGTAGTTCACCTGTTGATATTATGACAGATTATGGGGTAGTCTGTAGTCACTCTGCCATGAACCAGGGACTTGTCAGGTGAATCAGATGACATACTAGGATGTACTGTCCAAACTGACCAAGTTTTGTGACTGCAGTGTATTAAGACATTTTTTTCTGGCCCTAGCTCTGTTAAAATTAGTAAAACCATTGTTTATTCTTTAGATCTTTGTGAAGACAGTTATGAATACATGCATATGGTCTGCAAGTTGTTGCATATCTTATGATGGTACTTGATTATATTTTTTCTTGCGGGTAAGGGAGGGGGGAGGTATATATATGCATATGATCTACCAATTGTTGCATATTGTATTTAGATACAAATATATACTGCTTTTATTTAGGAGTGAAAAGTTTCAATTTTTCCTTCTTGGCATCTATGGAATGTAGTATATGCTAGCTATTAATAAATAGTTTTGGCCTGTTGTCCCATTAGTAAAAAACACAACTCCAGACCTGTGATGATTACTTAACAGAGTGTCTGGGAGATAGATAAAGTTGTGTGTGCAGATATTTTGCCAGACTGAGAGATACCATGCACTATAACTGGGCTTACTGAATCATCTTATTGCATAATATTTTCATTCAGATTTTTGTTTAGAAAAAAATACCTCATAATGCAACTTCAAATTTATATTGTGCACAACTGAAAATTGATCCACCAGGGACCGTGGACAGATCTTTGGATTATTTGTATGGTAATAAACCAAATATGAAGAAGGAGAGCCACATAACGTGCATAAAGAAAAACATCACCTCAGCCAGTGAATGGTTGCAGTGTGTTTTCACACTTTATTATCGATTATCATCATAAATAAACATCAACCTCTTAAACTCTCTATAAAAACTTCAGCGGATTTGATTAAAGGTTATCCACATGGTATCTATTACGCCTCTCTCCGAGACGAGACCTGTGAAAGGCTCTATTTAGTGCAGCAGACTTTCTTGAGATTTTTGATGAAGGAACCTGGATTAGCGATTGTTGATTTTATCATGTTGCTCTCATTATGTAATTATTTTCAGAGCCAAGTGCACCTAGCCCCCAGACTGCCGCGCAGAGAAAGGCTCACCGTAGGCTCACAAGGGAAGACAACCGCTACCATTCAGGTACGCCAGTTTACCTTGAGTTTGAAAATTTTTCATGAAATTATTCATCATGATCATAATTAAAAATGAAAAGTCTCAGTGCCTTAAAAATACTGATAATTATTGTGAAATTTTTATTTATCATTTATTTTATGTAATTAGCAATTAGACTAATCAATGTATGTCTTTAAAGCCAATAGGAAAATAATGAGAGCAAATTTTTTTTATTATTCAAATTTACATGAATTTCGTGTCCCAAAGCCTCTGAGAGAGACTTCATTATTGTTTTACATAAATTTTACATGCCAAAAATGTATGACTGTTGACCTATTACTGGCAAATTTTTTGACCTAGTTTAGACAACACTTGTTATTCTGGTATAATTAGATACAAAAATTGCTCACTACTACATTTCCTTTGAAGTAAATGTGGAAAGAACCATTCTGAAGCCTGAACAACTGGCCTAATACTTGGGAATCACATTTATTAATATAAGAAAGTCATGCCATAAATCTCTCGTTAAGGACCTAAAATTCATGAAAAAAATTACATAACTGAATTATCAATGCGAATTTTTACCTTGTTTGATATTTTTTATTTCCCCCAAACACCATGTGTGTTTACGTTTTGTATTTTTTGGCACTTGCTCTGAAGTCTGTGGTTTTGAGACCACAGACGGAAGCCTCACCTTGCATTCCATTTTAAATTGATAATCATAACATCAAAATTAGCATAGGCAACACATTTTAACCTACAAACATAACACACATGTAAGAGTTACACGGTATAGGGAAACCATGTTTTTGAATGTTACAGAAATCAGAACGGAGGCAGTGATGCAGGCACTGGCTCTACACAACAAGAAACCTGTGGTTCCACTGCCATCCAAACGGACATCTGTCCAGTATCCGGGTCAACAGCAGAGAGCCAGAGAAAGACACGGTATTGTACTCTTTATATCCTTGTTGAGAGAAAAAGGATTGGCTAATGAATCCTGTTTAATTTTTTTTTAAAGAATTTATTGAGAAAAAAGATGGGTTTTCTTGGCTTAATGATTCTTGTTTAAACTTTCTTTTGAAGAATTTGTTGAGAGAAAAAGGGATAGGTTATCTTAGCTTAATGAATCTTCTTTAATCTTTCAAGAATATTGTGTAGGAGTTGATCAAAAATCTTTTATAAAAAATAATTGATCTTGGTGAGACTTGTAGTAGGAATACTCAGTGATGAAAATTTTTGCCTTACAGATTCATCATCAGATGACGACGACAGTATTTTTGGTGATGACCAACACAGAGATTTTCAGCGAGGGGGTCGATATCGTGACAGTGGGGCTAGCTCCTCCTCGTACTCTGATGCCAGTGCCTCTCCCCATCACGGGGGTCGGGGAGGGGACAGTCGACCCCACAGTGCAGCCTATGCCATCCCTGGGAATACCTCCAGACATGCATTGGCTGACGTGTTACAGAATGCCAGGCATTGTAAGTTTTACTCATTTGTCAACAAATAGCTTTTATTGTGGTTTAATGTGTGATAAATTTTCATTCTTACCTACAACTTATTAGTGTTCACTCAACAGAAAAAACTCTGAGTTCCAAAATTTTAAAAGTAAAGTATGTGTTCTGAAGAATCACATTTTAGTGGGATCAAATTTTTGTGGTTTGATAAAAACTGGTTTGTGAGAATTTGATTTTTGGTTGAAAAATTGCAAGCAGCAGAAGTAAACATGATATTGCTGTTTGAAATTTTTACATTTCATGGAAGATGTGAATTTGTGGGTCTCCTTGTACCATGAAAACAACCAAAGTTACCCCCCCCCCCAAAAAAAAATTTTTGACTTCACAGTGTTTAAGTATTATATAAAGTGTTTTACATTAAAAATACTCTGCTCTGTGTTTTTCCTAGCTCAGCCAATCTCCCAGCCACCTGATGTAACCAACAATGCTAAGAGCACCAGACAAGCTGATAGGGTTGGCCATTACGCTCCATCACACATATCATCTGTCAGACTGAACAATTCAGGAAACCTCTCAGGCCTTCAGGATGATGGTAACTACACAACCATAGAAAAAATTCAAATTGTTTCAAAAGAGAGGACTCTTAAAGTGAATATTAAATGTGATGAATAAGGCAGAATTTTGATTCATTTTTTTTTGGAAATTTCAGAAATTCGACATCAGGGGAAGGTCTCAGCTAAGATACAGCAGTTATTGAATACATTAAAGGTAACAACCCACAAAAGTATTAATACATGTAGGAATAATGTGTGTGATTTTGTTAATGTAAATCACTTTTTATTCGCGAGAACTTTATTTTCACGTAATTACGCGAGACAGTGTGCTCACAAAAATTTAATTATGCGTTTAATAGTATTCTTTAGCAATAACCACAATTCGTGAAAATTTTACTGCTACATTAAAGGTAACGTCCATCCACTAAAATAAGGTGTTGGGCATAATGTGTGTGATTTTGTAATTGACTTAAATAAGAATTAATGCTGCTTTCTACCCTTGAAAAATATTTCATTTATAATGCTATAATGGTATTTCTCAATGTTTTTTTAGAGACCCAAAAGAAAACCATTACCAGAGTTCTTTGTTGAAGAAGATGATGCTCTTGAAAGTAAGGAGAATGGATTTCATTCATACCATTATCTTAATTGATTCTTTGCTACATTTATTTACTGCTTTCATTTTGTTTGAATTTAATCACCACACACATTTTTAAATGCATTTTCACTTGCAATAATGGGGCTTGAATAAAATGGAAATAAAAAAAGATGGGGAAAAAAATTTCTCTGTATATAGTAGTTAAAACTAATAAAAAAGCTGAAAGCTAATGCAGGAACTGTTTTATTTGTAGCACCAGCACCTGATCCCAATGCACCAAAACCAGAAGGCAGTGTCATGTCCCCATTTCCTGGAGAACAACTTGTGGTAAGAGTTTTTGAGCAGTTGAATATTTTTTTGTTCTATGGAATGAATATGAGGAAATTTGAACTTGATTATTGAGATGTGCAGTTAAACGTAATAATATATAGAGTGTACTTTATTATGGTACAGTTTTTCAGAGCTCATTGATATAGCTAAAAATCTATGTTCAATTCTATTAGTCCTATGAAGTCCATATTAAATTGAATTTTTTTTTCAATTAATGCTTTTAAAGCTCTCCTTCATGTAAAGACAAATCTATGCATACATATATACTTGTAGTAAAATAATAAAACATAGTATTTCATAATTAATTTCTATATATTTGTCAATATAATCTATGTTCTACCTGTATTTTTATGTATACAATAAAACGTCAGTTTTATTTTGATGTTTGTTTCATCATCCCTTTATAGATACCAACAGGTTTGCCTCGTAATTTAGAGTCAGCATTACAAAGATATGGATCATCTAGTTACAAAGCTAATGCTGTGACTGTCCTAGACCAGAACGGAAAACCATCCCTCACACTTACATATGGTAGGTCATTTAGAGTCAGCATTACTGTATGGTATGTGGCATAAATAGCAAGCATGGTTAAGGTCAAGATCTAGTAAATGAAAGGTGCCTACAGATTTATCAACTTGAGAAATAAATTCCTTTGTTGATGCTTTACAACTTTAGCTTGGTCACATAACCTTGCATAATTTGTAGGTAAACTGCAAAACTGTATTTTAAACTGTCATTTTCAATGAAAAATTAAGAAAACCAGTTATGAATATGGGAGTTTTTTTCGTATTCGGCAAAGGAAATGTATCCAGATTGCCTACAGTCTCTCAGAAAACGGTAATTACAATGTAGTACGTTTATGGCCTCTTCTGTAAATCAGTATCAAATTTAATATAGGTATCCGGTTTACTTTTCAGATGATTTCAAATTGAATGACATGAAAAATTTTCACATAATTTCTAAAATAAATAAGTTGAAATTGATTATTCATAATGGATCTAGCACCAAAAAATTAGTCTCAAGTTATTTAAAGTTCAACTGTGAAACAAAAAAAAACTTTGATAAGGATTCAATATAGTGAAGTTTAAAACTTAAGAAAAAGTAGATGAGTCTTAAAAATTACTTCAACTTATCCATGGAATTTGAGATATCGGTGTTGAGGTACTCAAATTCAACTGTAGTAATAGTATGTAACTTACTGAAACCTACATTTATGCTTACCACTGACACAATCATTGTTAACTGCTTATGATTTGTAACTTAGACAGCATCTGTCCCATAAAAATGAGTTTAAAAAATCATTAACTAAACTATCATTCTGAAATTGTTTAGATACACATTTACAGGCACCTTTACTTATCAACAATAAATCTTTTCCACAATAAAAAGCCAAATATGACAAAGGCTTTATTGATTTTAGTTATGTATTATTTGCTGGTACAATGATGTGTTTTAATTAATTTTTTTGCAGGAAAACTGCTGGCCAGAACCCAGAAAATAGCTTACAACATGTTACAGAAAACAGGTCATAAAGGGGAAGGTGGAATTAAACCCAATGACAGGGTAGGTGTTACATTGGTATTAGACATTAGATGCTACTAAATGGTTTGCTTGAGTCACCCATTTATATTTATTTAACCTTCTTGATGTGAATTCCATATTTAGGCAAATAAAATGTGATGTTAAGACCTTGTCTGTCCCCTTTTGATAAAAAGATGCTATTGTTGTGCAGTAATATACGCAACCGCAAATGTGAACATGGTGATGTTGCATGAACTCTTAGATCTTGTGTATTTTGTCTGTTCTGGAATGACTGATTTGATTTATTCAAAATATATGCTTAATTTATATAGCCTGGTAATTTTATTTTTTCCATTTCAAAATTCACTGACCAATTAAGTCTATGATTGGTATTAATGGTATGTGTTTTACAAGTTACTTAGTATACAGTGTTTCATTACTTTTTTCAGGTGGCTCTCGTTTATCCAAACAATGACCCTATATCTTTTATCAGTGGATTTTATGGCTGTTTACAAGCAGGTGTAGTGCCTGTACCTGTAGAAGTCCCATCGTCCAGAAGGGTAAGTCTTTCTATCAGAAGGTCTATCTGTGAAACTTTGTATTTCCAGCCAAAATGTTAATTCTTAAAAGGAAAATTATTTTTACATTTATTCAAGAAATTACCAAAGCTATTCTTAGAGAAATCTGAAAGATTATTAAAGAGACACATTTGCATGTACTTATCTTGGTTTACTTAAAAATAAGTGAAACTTTTCCCCTTTAAAGGATGCAGGAGGGCAGGGTATAGGGTTTTTATTGGGCAGTCTCAATGTAAAATGGGCCCTCACCTCAGAGGCGTGTCACAAAAGTCTGGCCAAGACGGCCAGTGGAGAAGTCGTACAGTTTAAAGGTGAGTTGTTTTCATTACAAAAGATATGTCCAGTCACTAATTGTTAAAATTTTTATTGAGGAGTAGAAAGCTCTAACTTAAAAAAAAAAATTATCAAGTATAGTTTGAATGATAAAAAATGCATTTACTCTGTGTATTTGTTTCGATGGATGAGTTTTGGATTTAAGGTTGGCCCAAGCTGAGCTGGTTGGTCACTGATAGTTTAAACAAGTCTTCAAAAGACTGGCAACCCCCTCCTAAACAGTCAGAGGATATTCCTGCCTATGTAGAGGTAGGATTCAGAGTAATTTACCAATGAGGGATACAAAGTACATTAAAATTCATTTGGAATCATTTTGTGCATGTGATTAAACCATAAATTTGTCGGATTGTCTTGTGGTTAACCGATTAGCAATTTTGTAAATGATTGCCATCCATAGTGCAAATGAATCTTTTTTTCAGATTATCAATTTCTTATATGTAAAGGCAATATATTGAATATTTCAGTACACACAAAGTAAGGAGGGAAGTACAGTGGGTGTGACAGTGACTAGAAATGCCATGTTGTGTCACGCTAGGACCCTCACACTAGCCTCTAATTACACAGAGGGTGAGTCAGGAAATCCTGTGATTTTCCTTGTGTTATGGCACTTTAAGGGCCAAAAATAAATGTATGACTTGTAGCCATCTGAAATGGAAAAAAATGAAAGGACACTATACCTGTAATTATGAAGTTATGAAAGGAAAAAATTTCAAAAAAGGTATTCTCTTTCCAGGTGAAGTTATGGTCTGTGTTTTAGATTTTAAAAGAGATGTGGGTCTCTGGCATGGTATATTATGTGTAAGTATAAGAAAATATAATTAAGCTTAGAGGGACAAAAAACTTGTCATCATCTTAAGTTGTCTTTAATTTGGTACCTTTATGTTCATTGAAAAGTTTATTTATTTACATGTATTTATTTTTGCTGATTTCAGAGTGTGTTTAATGGCATGCATGTGATATTTATTCCTTATTCCTTGATGAAAGTTGATCCAGCCTCATGGATGAAAATGATCACCAAATACAAAGGTATCATACTAAAACATGTATGATTAATATGATTGCAGTTCGTTTCAGTTCCTGAACTGTTTCGTAAAGGAGTACTACTATTTTTACAAGACTAGCAGCAAAAAAAGTTTTTAAAAAAAAAACTTATGCATATATTACATGCACATGTATAAAAAAAGAATATTAATCTTTTAATTGCAAAAAATCAAGCTCATTTTCAAAACTGTTTTATTTTGACAGCTTCAATAGCTATAGTGAAGTCCCGGGATATGCACTGGGGACTTCTAGCTCAGAAGGATCACAAGGACATTAGTTTTGCCACACTGAGGCTTTTGTTAGTAGCGGATGGAGCTAATCCATGTAAGTCTGACAAAGGCAATGTTGTGATGTAATGGAGATATATGTCAACCTTTAAAGATAGTTTCAGCACAGTGTACATGTATTATAGAGATTATTATTGATGGATTCAGTTAAATAATTCTTGCGTATATTAGTATTTCTATGGATTATATAAAGCAATCACCACAATTCGTGAAAATTTTGTCGCGCTTATAAAAAGGCAATGACTACAGTAAGGTGTGAAAAAATAGTAAGTTATAAATCACCTGATTTTTAAAAAATTTTTTTTTGATGGGAAAGGAACTCTGTGATAGGGGAGATAATTTTAAGTTGATACTTCACTGATTTCCTCTTTAGCAATGATTAGTCCCAAACTTTGCAATTCCATCTTATTTTTGCGAATATTTTGCAAAGCCTGTCGCAAATGGACGGTTTCAAGAGTTTATTGCACCATTAAAATAAAGGCGAGTAATTTGATTTCGTGTGTTTTGAAATTTGATAATTAATTCCATGCTTATATTTAGGAATCTACAGTATTGAATCTGCTTTAATTTTATTTACATTGTATATAAAAAGACAATATCTTAGATAAAAAGACATTTTAAGATGGTCATTTATGCTATAAGAAAACATGGTTGTTCAAATTTTGACAAAACATTCTGTTTATTTTTAAAGGGTCTTTAACTTCCTGTGATGCATTCCTGAACTTATTCCAAAGTAAAGGATTGAAACCAGAGGCCATTTGTCCTTGTGCCAGCTCCTCAGAGGCATTAACTGTCTCAATTAGAAGGTAAAAGACTTAAAGTCTCTAAAAAGTTTACCCTTACTTTAGAGGCAAAAAAAGCATTTTTCTCAGTTAATGTGTATAAATGAGCCTTACAGAGTTTGAATTTTTTTCAGGCCGGGGCGGTCAAGTGCTAGTGCGACTGGTCGAGGCATCTTATCCATGCAGGGTCTGAGTCACGGTGTGGTGAGAGTGGACACAGAAAATAGTCTGACCTCCCTCACCCTACAGGACTGTGGACAAGTCATGCCTGGAGGTAGGAAATCAGTTATTCTGTTAATCAGAAACAAAGCATAAAACTGCAGATTGTAAAATGATTTGAGAAGCAATATCTTATTAACTTAAAAATGCCCCCTAGGTCTTTTTCAATTGAGGTGATTAAAATTTTCAACAATTTGAAGAAAGTTAAAATGTCTATTATCAAATTTCTAGTGGAAAATGAATAATTTAGCATATACTTAAGGTAATTCTACTATACGAGGTGAAACATGTATATTTGCTTATATCTTATATATTTGTAAGGAATTTAAAAGAATTTCTCCTCATTACTCAAATTAGAAATGGTAAACTGTGTTTGAAAACTAGCAGGGACTATAAATATGGCATATGAAAATATCTTCTTTTCTGCCTCTCAAAATTATAATAGAACAATGAATTCAGTTATAATTTTTACACAATCGAAGACTTGGAGAAATTTTCAAATATAAGTTAAATTAATAATGAGGGACTAAACTTTCAAAATATATCAAATTATTCTGATTTTTCAAACAAACTAGAACTGCTTTTGTTTCAAAGTGCAGATTTCAAAAAATATACTCTCTCAAAACTTTTTGTTTTTTTCTACACTTTTATTATATTGAAAATAAGAAAAAGTTAAATATAGGAAGCATATGAAAATAACTAAAATATCCTAAAAAATTAAGAAAACCTGAGAAAATTCGGATTAGGCAATATCCAGTTAATATCAAGCTATAGACCCGATATAGTATTATGTTTTTATGCAAAAAGAGCAATCTTTAAAGTTTTGAAATAGAAGTAGGTATCACATGATTAGCAACAATATTTTTTTATTCTTAATGTTAAGGAAAAAGAAATGTGACCTTCTAATATGTCAAATTCAATTTCACTGATACTATCACTTACTGATAGATTCTTGAAAATTTCATTAATTTTTGAATATTAGAAATGTGAGAGGAATCCTACCTTAAAGTAAAGTAAGACATTATTTTAGTGGTACTTTGTATTTATTTTTCAAAAGATTTTTTGAAGTTAAAATATGACTTTAAATATTATAAAAAGAATACCAAAATAACCGCCCCCTTATCGCAATTTTCTAAGTGCCTGGGGCGGTTAATAGGGATTATACGGTATCTTAGATCATACAGTTGAATATCTTTAATTTGAACAGGGATATCTCTAATACAATAGATTTGTCAAATTCAGTTGGAAGTCCCAGCTACTCATTCTTTTGTTTGTTTTGGGGGCTCCCTTCAGTTCTAGATAATAAACTTTGACCATATTTACTGTATATTTCTAAAATTATTTCTCAGGAAGCCTTTGGCACATGTCAGGAAATATAAAATTTTCTTTGTTTTTTAGTCACAATCAAGAGCTGTTATTTAAATCTGTGATTGCTTTCTGTTTCTTGGTTTTGTTTCCCAAAGTCATCACTCAAATAGAGTATGTGTGTTGTTTACCCCTTTCAATTGTGAGTTGCATAAAATGAGATAAGGATGGGTATCCCCAAAAATTTAGTATCGCAATGCAACATGATTTTTTCCCAGTAAAATGAAATACTGTAATTTTCAAAAATATTTATGGATTATGATGTTGATTTGTTTTAGGTTCAACCACAACACCCAGATGGAACAGTGATTACTGACAAGAAATATGTCAGGACAGGTCTCCTAGGGTTCCTGGGTCCAGTAAGCCTTTACAAAAACCATGATAAGTGATTGTTCAATTTCACATTGTGGCATTCTTTTGATATATAAAAACTGTAAAATCTAATACTGTCTAATTTTTATGGAACTGCCATGGGTATCAATTGTGCCCATTATTAGCAGAACTCTTAATTTTATTCATGTGTAGAAGAATTTATTCAAAAACTTAGTGTGTGCAATCATGTATTTTATTTTATCAACCTATTCATCAAAATCATGCATGACTGGCATTCTTATTCTCAGAGGAAGCTAAATCTTAAAACCTTTAGTCACATTTTAAGTCAAGCCTGTTCTGTTTTTGTGTGTTTGACAGGGCGGGCTGGTGTTTGTATGTGGAAGTAAGGAAGGCCTGATGACTGTGTCTGGACGTCGCCACAATACAGATGACATCATCGCTACAGTCTTAGCCGTGGAACCCATGAAATTTATTTATAGAGGAAGGTAAAATATTTGAAGAATATAATTTGTCGGTTTACACTCGGACATGAATATATGTTTAACCTTGTTTTGTTTTTGTACTATTTCACTAAACAAGTATTTTTGATAAGTATTCTTTAATAATTAAAGATGTTTTTTTGTGAAGAAAAAGGAAAGCTTTTTCTTCTAATAAATATAAATATTTTCACATATTCTGAACAGAATGCTATTCTTTATTTCAGAATTGCAGTCTTTTCAATTTCTGTTTTGAAAGATGAAAGGATTATAATAATTGCTGAACAGCGGCCAGACTGCACAGAGGAAGAGGTAAAATTCAAATTGTATTAAAATCAGATCATAAAGGAACTTATTATGAAATTTAACACCATTTCTGCAGTGGAAAGAGTGTTTTGGGGGCAGGGATAATTTATTTTAATATTTCATTCTTGTGCTTTAGAGTTTCCAGTGGATGAGCCGTGTGTTACAAGCTGTTGACAGTATCCATCAAGTGGGTGTCTACTGCCTCGCTCTAGTCCCTCCCAATTACCTACCCAAGGTCAGTACCGAGATGTGATGTTCTAGTTTTATTTTTTGCTAATGCAGTTTAACACATGCTTGTATTTAGACTTTGGCAATGAAATGTTATTCTGACTGAAAAATGCCATATGTTTTGACTCAAACTTAGATTATTTTTAAAACGAAATTTTAAGCAGTAATATGCACACTTGTATTTAGACTTCTGAAATCAAATGTTATTCCAACTTAAAATGTTGCATGTTGGAATTTCAACAGTCATTTAACAAAAGGTAATTGTGGCTCATTGGTGTTGTTTTCAGGGCCTCTGGGTAGAGTAACACATTTACCCCATCAGTTTGATTAATTGTACCTACTTTGTGTTTCTAGACACCTCTAGGTGGTATACATTTACCAGAAACCAAGAAGAAGTTCCTGGAAGGCTCTCTTCACCCTGCCAATGTCCTGATGTGTCCCCACACCTGTGTCACGAACCTCCCCAAGCCACGGGAACACAGACCAGGTCAGTCTTAATTAAGTCAAGGTCGACTGTCTGAGTCATTTGTTAAGTAAGAGGGATTTTTTCCTTTCCAATGTTAGTTTGTATTAGGTTTAGAGATGGACCTTCCTAACAGTCTTTAATATTAGTTTAATTTTCTTTTATAAAACTATTGATTTAATCTAACAAAATACATTGATGTGAATAAATTTACTTACAGATAATATTCTAAAACATTTTTCCTTTTGAAAACTTTTTAACATTCATTCTTTTGGTTTCAAAATCTCCCTACATGTGGGGTTTTACGATTTAACTTGGTTGTTGACCTATGGGGTTTAAAGATCTAACTTGGTTGTTGGTGTTTTAGACTATTTACATCCTACAGCTGCTCAGTGTAAGTATCACGCCACAGACGATCTCCGGCATTTATGTAACAGCTATGGCTTCAAAAGACTCGGACATCAAACTTATACATTTATTTGTATAGAGATTGGACACATTATCTTCCAGCATGACTTACTACCTTTCTGTGAAATGCTTTTTTAAAAAATCAGCTATAAAATACATTTCCTCATTTTTTTTATTAAAGAGCTCAATTACTTTCAGTGTATTTAATTTTACGTACTGTTGTTTCTTTTTTATCATCAAATTTTCTGACAGTCTATGTTTGAAACTTATTCTCTTTTTATATATTTTTTCAGTTGAAACTTAACATCTTTATTTTTCTATCTTTCTTTATTTTGAATTTATACTGAGTGACAATGTTTTTGGATTATCTTTTTCAAGGAGTAGAGAATTTAGTGAAAACAGGGATTAGATGGCAAATGAAGGTTAAGACAGATTATTATGTCAAGTTCTCTGCTTTTCTTTCCATTATTTTAAAGCATGCAGTGGAGATACATATATGTATGGGAAGCACACAGATCAAGTTATATCAAAATGTTCACCCAAATCCTACCTGGGCAAAACGTGATAATGATTCCTGAAAAATTATACAGTGCAGGCATGCAATAATAGTCCTATTTTGATCTTTCAAAGCTTTTGAGGTATCTTTGTTAATTCATGCTTAAAACCTTAAGAGGCTTTTAATCCAAAAATAACCAAGCAGTGAAGGTTTCTAATGCCAATGTAGGTTTTATGAGGGTTTCAGCTACTGATTCACAACAGACTGGAAAACAGGTGCACATATCTGACCATCAATCACTTTCAAAGGACTTGATTTTTATAGACAAGATTTGATATTTACTCACAAGAGTAGTTACTTACATGACTCATTTGTACAATAAGAAATACATGTTCCACCATTCAACTTTCTGTTTTCTGTCCTGATAAAGGTTTAAAAATGATACCTTCTTTCTGCATTATACAGTAAGTTGTTGGTACTGAGGGAAAATGCATATTCAAGACATTTTTACTGAGTGAAACACTAGGATAATCTATACAGAATCAATATACTTAGATTGATTTGTATTGAAAGAAGATGTATATAAAACATGTATTAAGCAATTGAAATGTCAAGCTCACCAAATTTCAACCAAAGGAGATACTTTTGGTGAGGAAACTGGGTACAGTATCATAAAATCTAAAGAGTTTTGTGTTACAAGACATGGTGGGTTTCCCTTCATTCTGCTACTAATACAGTGAAACATGCATATAGGCACATTAATATCTAATTCATGCTGTATAGTTTTATACGGTATTTTAATTTTTACGGACATAATGAATAACTCTTGTAACAAATCAGAATTTCCTATCCCCTGGTACTTTGCTGTAAGTATGTTTCACTGTACTCTACAGGAATGAAATATTTTGTCCATAACTTACTGATTCAGAAAATGATGATAGGGTTGTCCCTAAGAATTCAAATAGCAGGGGACAATAAAAATGTAGACAGGGATCTTGGATTTCTCCCCTAAGAGGGAGGTGAAAGGGAATACTAGAGCAACCAGCGTTTACGTCATTATAGACAGGGAAATTCCCCAGCCCACAGGTCTAAGGAACGACTCTGTGGATAATATTTTTGCCTTTCATAAATGGGAAAATTTACATTTCAGATGTCACACCTTCTGCGGTCCACGTCGGGAACATTGTACAAGGAGCCCGCATGGCCCAGGCCCAGGGCCGAGAACTGGGCAGTACTGACGAGGAGTCAGACACTGCCCGTAAAGTAGGTCCTCAAGTATGTCTCACTTCTATTTATAAGCATGATGTAGTAGAATTCTGTGTGATAGTTAACAGTAGCTGCTACTCCTAACAGGTATAGTTATTTTATTTTCGGATAATTTACTCTTTAGTATTATTATTTAGTTTTGTATGCATGTATAGTTTACTTAATTCCTCTTTTTATTATATTAATTTTAATAAGCTTTATAATCTTTTTATGATACCATAGTTTATTACTATTTCTTATGCTTTTTCCCTTTCATTTTAATTTTTTGATCATTTGAAATACATGTATAAATTATTCAGATATGTTTATTTACGAGTCAAAGTAGTGTATATATGTATACATCTTTGATGTAACATTAACTAACAAAACATAGACAATTTTCACTCAATGCTAACATTCCTAAGAAAGTAGTAGATAACAAATTATATGTACACATGTATTTAGTTTGTATTTAGCCCTAGCTAGTATATGTAGTTTTAAATAGCTGTAAAAAAAAAAATAAAAATCTGTTTCTGTATAGTGTGATTTACTTGAAATTTAAAAAATATGCCACTTCTTTAACAAGCTATTTCTTTTGTGTTTTCAGCACATGTTTTTAACAGAAATCCTTCGCTGGAGGTCTCAGACAACACCAGATCATATTGTGTTCACATTGCTCAACTCCAAGGTGAGTCTAATGACCCCATAAATACTCCAAGGAGATTGTGTGCAATATGGGAATGAAAATTAAAAAAAATATGACTGAATGGCTGAATATTTTAATGCTGGTGTTTTTTGTAATATTTTAATGCTCAGTGTGTTGTTTGTATTTTACGCATCTAAAATTACCTTTTACCCCCAAAAACGTCACCTATATCACGCAGAAAAAAATATGAAAACAAGTTTTAAAATCCAATTCAATATTGATGTTTTCATAGAAAAAGATATTTTATATGCTTAAATAGAACATATTTTGTAGAGATGGCGTTTTGCGTGAAGGGAGATGATACCCTTTTAATACATTTAATCTCAATTTTGCAATAGATTGAAGGAAACAGTGTATTATATGAAAAATATTCTGATGCTCTCTCATTCAGGATTTGATTTTATATTTTTGATACAAATATAAATAGAAGTTCAAATGAGTCAAAAACTAATATGCATTCATAGTTTGCAAAGGTTACTTACTGTATTTATCTTAATATTATTACGATGATGAGCATGGCTAGTGAGAAAAATCAAGAGCATATAGAGGTTATTCAATATAATACAAAAGCAATTAAATCTGCTTGATTGAATTTTAGATACAAGGAAAATGGCCGTATCAGGTTTGTATCATTGTTGACTGGGAGTGCTGGCCTTGTATTACAAAACATATGCTATCCATAATCCTTGAAACTATGTCAGGTCTTTTATCAGTTTTTGTATTGCTACATCTATGATTATTATATATACTAGCATCCATATAGTAGATATAACATGCATTACATGGATATTGAGGCTGCTGTACCGTACCATTATATTGATATGCAAAAATATATTGATACTTTGTAAAGGTTGCATGGCTGTTTCTGGCTGTCTTAAAATGCCCTTAAGTCTTGGTTGACAATTTGCAGCATGTAATAAAGTGGTAAACTATTGAAGATAAAGGTTCATAGTTAAAAGGGCAAGGGTTTGCTGTATCAGTTTGCAGTCCACTGTATTGGTCAGCTCTTTCAGTTTGTTTTTGTTTTGAACATATTCTGTTGACAATATGTCAAAGGGATTGGACACAAGTTCCTCTAGATTGTATGGTTTTTCCATGTCTATATAAAGTTTGTGAAATTCTGGTATCTCTTGGTGCCTTCTTTCACAGAAAGAAATTGTTGATAGATAGTTTGACTTGCTGAAAGTTTATATGTAAGAATTCTGAAATAAATCAGACAAGTATTTTTAAATTTTTAGATTTAGATAATAATGCATTGGTAGTTATAGTCATAAAAATAAACTTATCTTTGTGATCATTTGATTAAGTATGATTGATAAAAGTGGTGGTCTGTGTGAATTTTGAATTACTTCTGGGTTGGATTTCTTGATTTTACTAAAAAGTAACAATTTTTTTCAACTGAATACATCTGGTGTTAAAGAGTCTACATCCATGCATAATTTTAAATTGTAAGGTACATATAATGCTTTCCTATATCATGCACTTCAAAAGCATGTGCTCAAAAAAAGTGAATGAGATTTGAATGAATGGCATGTTCTTTTGCTGCACTAAATGTATCACTGTATTCAGTATTCCTATATAAGGAACCTAAATCAACTGTTGAGTGTTTGAACAAACAGTTAGATTTATGTCTGTTTTGCTTTGTAACATGTGTCTGGAGATTTGCCAGGAGATCCTGAACCAGTGACATTTTTCAGGTTCAGCCCCAGGTACAGATGTCCTGTTCACAGCTCCACAAGCGTGCAGAAAGGATTGGCTGTATGCTGATGGAGAAAGGCAAACTGAACACGGGGGACCATGTGGCTCTGATTTATCATCCAGGTAAATAAGGACATGGGCTATGATTTTTTTCTCTGTATTGTTTGGGATCACATACCATCTCTGTGAATTATATTTTGGCTTATATTTTCAGATTAATTCAGATTTATACATTCCATATTTCACTTTATTTCTGTTTACTTACAGGTGTAGATTTGATAGCAGCTTTTTACGGGTGTTTGTATGTGGGTTGTGTCCCTGTCACCATTCGTCCCCCTCACCCACAGAACATAGCCACCACTCTCCCCACAGTCAAAATGATTGTAGAAGTCAGCAAATCCTCTGCCATTCTTACCAACAGTATTGTACATAAATTACTCAAATCCAAGGTAGGTTCAGGATCTTCAGAGAAAGAAAATTTTATAGGTGTCCTTCATTGGCATCAGATATCCATTGCTTTTAAAGTTCAGCTACTATATCTAAGGTGTTACAACTGATCAAACATGAATTTTATTAGTTATCCAGGTCCAATCAAGGGTGTACGGGGGGGATTCCATACACCCTGAGGCCGCAGGCCGAAGGGTGTATGGAATAAAACCCGGGGTAAATCCCCGTACACCCTTGATTGGACCTGGATAACGAATTTATTTCCTTTGTACCCATCAAAATGCTTTGTAAACATCAGAATGTGTCTCAAACTATCGATTAGATAACTACGTACTACAATGCATCGTGACGTCATGTTATTTGGTTTTTATCATAGAGAATGCATGCATTGTGACGTCACGTTTTATTTACACCCGGCTCAAGTCGGGTGCACGGATATTTACACCCGACTTTGTAACCAATCAAAGCTCGTGTTACAAGCTAGATAGGAAATAAGATAATTTATTTCAGGAGGCAACACAGATATTAGAGTCCAAGTCCTGGCCCACTATCTTGGACACAGATGACCTTCCCAAAAAGAAGTTAGCAGCCATTTATCGAGCCCCCACCCCAGAGATGATCTGTTACCTAGACTTCAGTGTATCAACCACTGGAATGTTAGCAGGGGTCAAGGTCAGTGAAACAGGAAGTTGTGAAAAGCAATTCATTTTTAGTGAAATGCAAAAAATAAATCTTAAAAAAATAATTTTAAATGAAAATTTTAATAATGTTTGTGTGGTGTATTTGAGGTGGCAAAAATAAATTGTTTATGTGTTATATAAGGTTTTCAGTTAAGTACATGTACAAGTGTTGCAAGCAACACAACTTAAAATACTATCATCATACCCATATGTCTGTAACACACAGTAATAAGTAGTTTGTTATATATAAATGCTGAATCATTTCAGATGTCTCATGCCTCGGCCACTGCTCTCTGTCGGTCCATTAAGTTACAGTGTGAGTTATACCCTTCAAGGGAAGTAACTCTGTGTCTGGACCCATATTGTGGACTAGGCTTTGTCCTTTGGTGTCTCTCAAGGTAAAACGTTACTCTTATATTTGTATTTTAAGATTTTGGTTTTTTTCCCCATATAGGTGAATCTTAGGGAGACTACTGATTTTAAAAACCAGTCAAGAGATCTTTAAGTAAACTGTATTGACCTCTTGATGATTTCACTTTCAGTATATACTCTGGTCATCATTCCATACTGATCGCTCCATCAGAGGTGGAAACCAATCCAGCTGTTTGGCTTACTGCTGTCAGCAATTATAAAGGTAAGTTGTCATGTCTACTAATCAGAATCTTCTTAGAGATACACTCTGTTAAACAAGAGGTTATCTAAACAAGATGTTATCTTGTGGAAAAAAAAAACTTCAGTGAAAATTAGATTTTTTTTCTGTATTATAGTGCGGGACACTTTCTGTTCATATGGAGTGATGGAATTGTGTACAAGAGGGTTAGGCACATCAACTACTACATTAAAGGTAAATTAATGCAAAAGAAGTACAATGAGTTACAAAATAGCAGTAGTGCATTCAGTCCAACTATTGTTAAAAAAGCTACAAATTCATGTTCCATATTTTTTTGGTTTCCAGCAAAGGGGGATTAATCTGTCCTGTGTGCGGACATGCTGTGTGATAGCAGAGGAGCGACCCAGGATCCTACTAACGACGTCTTTCACAAAGTTATTTGCTAACCTCGGACTTACCCCTCGGTCCGTCAGCACAAGTTTTGGCTGCAGAGTCAACCTAGGAATGGCATTACAGGTATTGTATAAATAAAGAGATAAAAACTTGTCCATATATTCTTGTATTGCTGTGAAACAGACCGTATAAAGTAAGTTAAAATGTTGAATATGTTGTTGAACCTACCTGTACATGTAGTTGTCTCAAACTCAATATGCTGAAAAAAATTGTTTAGATATCCCCGGATTCAGGATATTCAGGTTAAAATACATAAAGAAAAAGTGGTTTGAACTACCATCTTACTTGAGCACATGTATAGTATTCAAGATATTGATACTCCAGAAAGATGTCCCCCAGTTCAGCTGTGTAACTTTGTCAAAAATAACGTTTGAAGTTACATAGGATCTTTAAGGTAGATACAATTTATTTGTAGGGAGCCTCCTGCCCTGACCCCACCACTGTGTATGTTGACAAGCGAGCAATGAGGAACGACCGAGTTACTCTAGTGGAGAAGGGAAGTCCTCACAGTCTTTGCATAATGGAATCTGGCAAGGTAAAAAAAATCACTACACTCTAATTACTGTATACAGAGTAATTTTTGCCCCATGTTATTTTTACAAACAATTTTGCCCTGTTTTATTACCCAATTTTAAATTCACCCATAAGCAGGGCAAAACAAAATTAAAAAAATGGGGGGGGGGGTTAAAAAATTCCCTGTAAACAGTATATAATCTACCAAAGGTTTTGAGAACGAATCATTAAAATTATTTCTTAACATATCAAAGTTTGCCTTGAAGGTAGTGTGATGAAATGTTTTATATGTTTATTACAGTTGTTGCCAGGTGTCAAAGTTGTGATAGCTAATCCAGAAACAAAGGGACAGTGTGCTGATTCCCACCTAGGGGAGGTAAGCTTACACATTTACCTGATCAAGTCTTTATCCCCATGTAAGTTAAGGCTTTGTACTGGACTCATCAATCATCATGATTGTATATCTCTGGTCTTGACAGATTTGGGTAAACAGTCCCCACAATGCATCAGGGTATTTCATGATATACGGTGATGACTCGCTGCACGCAGAGCATTTCGACTCTCATTTAGCGACAGGTGACACCACAACGCAGTATGCCAGAACGGGATTCCTCGGCTTTGTGCGGCGAACAGAGCTCACACAAAGTGATGGAGGTAAAAAAAAATAATTATTAAAAAATGGGTTTGTCCATATCTGTGCAATTTTCAAAAACTGCTATTTTAATTTTTTTTCAAGAATTTTTACTTTATAGCCTGAAGAACTTTTTTGACCAATCATTTGTTGTTTTCAGAGAGGCATGATGCAATATTTGTTGTGGGTGCACTTGATGAAACCATCATGTTGAGAGGAATGAGGTACCATCCGATTGACATAGAAATGAGTGTCATTAGGAGTCATCGCAAAATCTGTGAATGGTAAGTGTTGCTACATTGTCATATTGGTTTCCGGTTATGGAGCAATAGGAAAATTTATTTTCACATTGAGATGGAATAAGGAGAGCATCTGACATATAAAAAATGTTTTGTAAATTGCAGTGCTGTTTTTACCTGGACAAATTTATTGGTTGTGGTGGTGGAGTTGGAAGGAAATGAAAATGAGGCTTTGGACTTGGTTCCCCTGGTAACCAATGTAACACTAGAGGAACACTACCTGATCGTAGGGGTGGTAGTAGTGGTGGATCCAGGAGTTATTCCAATCAACTCGCGGGGAGAGAAACAGAGAATGCACCTGAGGGATGGTTTCCTTGCCGATCAGCTAGACCCAATATATGTGGCTTACAATATGTAAATTACTGTATTATGCAAGAACTTGGTGCAGCTCTCTTATTGTTAAGCATAGAGGATTGCATACTTAAATGAGTGGTGTAATGGAAATATGCCAATACAGAAAAAAAAATCAGTGTGTGTGTGTATTGTATGCATATAAACCATGTTCTACCCCCCTTCCTAAAGAAATTCCATTTTTTCCTAGTAGTCAATCAATTGTTTGTAGTTCAAACCCGTGAAAGTGTGTGTTATTTTTTATGTACAAGTTGTATAATTTATGTTATTATAAGTGCTGCTTTCTTTACCTGCTAAGTTTAGTGTTTTACCATTTAGAAATATTTATCCATGAAATGGAATACATTCTAAGGAATGTAAATAAATGAAATGAATAGATGTGAACAAAAGAAAAAAAAAGCATCATCTGGTCAAGCACATAATTGTGATAGATTGTTAACTGTAGGTCATAGATCTGAAGGCTTGTGCTCATTGTATTGTTAGAGAGCATAATATAAATGTAGTAACATAAACTCTACTATAGGTGGCATTATTTGGTTCAGTATCAAAATCTTTATAAAGATATTTATACCTTGTGACTTTATACAAGTATTTTAATCAAACTATTTTGATTTCATTATGTGATTACCAATGCATTCAAAATTAGGCCAGTTAAGCTTGTTCCATTTTGCTCTTTAGTAGTCTCTGCTTATTTAATATAAAAGAAATACATTGGTACATGTATTACTAATGTGTGTTTACATCATTTAGGTATTGGTCATACTTTTAAATTTGTATTAGTTTATTTTCCAAATCAATTTTCTCATTGTTTTTTTTTTCTTTCTTTCATAACTTCTGATGCTTAAATTTTACAGATTAGAGAATACCAGTATGTTCCCTTCAAAAAAAAAATATTTTGTCAAAATCTATTAAAACTTATAAAATATAGTAATAGAGTTCAAGCTGTAGAAAAATGATGCAGAAAATAAGTGTTAGTGAATGATTGAGATTATTTGTCTATTAAATCAACATGACAGAGGTGCAATATATGATTTAAGAAATTTTTGGAGCCCAGAGCAGAGTTTTATATACTCCAACAGGAATTCTTGTATCAAGAGGGTATATTTAGGGTGAAAGATATTACCATGAATTGCAAAATCCTAGTATAAATCTCAGCAATGGGCACGTAAATGTAGATGTACATATAGCTGTATTGAAAGGCTAGTGTTGAGTGATTTATAAGTACATGTGCACTGTGTTTATAGTGTTGACATTAAGTACATGTGTACTTTACTGTGGATCTGTGTCTTAGATGTGTTTGTCTAGCTTGAATGTGATAGAGAAGGAAGACGTTCCTGTATGTTTTATATACTTTACATAGGTTACTAAGGAAAGTCATACATTATTACAAAATATATTTATTTATTTGAATTGTGCAGTGTATCAAGTAATGGATTATATATGTGATGTATCTAAGAAGTGCTGTTTTTTTTTTATTATATCATATACTTAAAAAGAGAGTGGTAGAAATAATTACAAGAATATTCTTTTTTTTTTAATTTCAAATTTCTTTTCAGGCTTTCAATATTTATATAAGATCATTTTTTTTTTAATATCGTAGGAAAATATTTAGTGATGTTTCTATTCCAGAATTAAAATCTGTAGATGGAATCAAATTTGCAGGTGTTTAATCAGAAACAGCATGTACTTCAGTTAACTGTAAAGCAACCATTATTTGTCCTACTTTTATTAATGATTTGAAATCAATCCATGTCTTGTTAATTTTTTGTGGTAAAGGAAATGCTCTATGTTCACTTACGTAATTACATAACTACAGAAAATTTTCATGGGAAGAAATATTTGCAAGTTAATTAAAGAAAAAAAGTAAGCTGGTTTACAGTACTTAAAACTAATTTCTCTTTTTAAAAAAATCCCATTTTCATGAAACACAGAAATAGCAAACAAAAGAATAAGCAAAATACACATGTATTATCATATTCTGCTGCTATTTCATTTGTCTGGACTTGCTGATGAAATGTTGCTATATGCAGATATTAGTTTTACTCGTTTTTGCTATAATTGGGTTCCATTGTAACTACATCATAGCTTCATATTATAAATCATTAAGGTGTCAGAGGAAATAATTACTTTCTAATGCTACTTAATTTTTCATAATTACAATGTACTAATATAGCCAATGTAAAATTAAGTTGTGAGTCTTCATTTATTTTTTTCTTTTTAATCTGAAGCTCACAGAAACTATAAAGTTATTAAGCTTATGCTTCAGAATGTGAACTGCAGTGTATTTCAGCCTGAAATTTCTGTAATGAATATGCTTATGTTTACTTTTCATCAAACAATGGAAACAAAACATGCTTATGTTAACGAAGTTGCACTCTCTCCTGTTTATAAATTGAACTACCCTAGATCAGACACTTGAGATGTCTGCTTATTTGTACAACTCTTGATAAAACATTTGTTTTCTCTTTTTATATGGCTCTGTATGAAGTAAAATGTCTTTAACAAGTAAATTTTACAAACTCTGTTGTTGTTGTTTACTTTCTATAAACTCTTCTAAACTTTTGCTATTCTTTACATTTTGATACATGTAGTGTCATACATAAAAGAACCTGCTAACCAAGAAATTCTATAATGGGAAGAGGTGCAGTTCTGTCCATCCATGGGTAATTCATAAAAGAAATTTAATCATATTTAGCATTTACCCTGTTAAGAGTAGTGTTTAGCTGTGAATGCATCATTCCTGTTAGGGCCTTAGCTCTATGGGTGCCATATAGTGATCAGGCTATCCATCCGTCTGTCTAGCTGTCCATCTGGATTATATCTTCTCTCCCCTTGGTCCAATGTGGTTCATACTTCACTCGCAGAGTGCCACTGGTCAATGGATGTGCATTGACCTTAAACGAAGTTTCTAGGTCAAGGTCAAAACCCCTTTCTGCTGCCTCACATCGCATTAATTGCTGAAAGCAGGGCCTTTTACATGGCCACCATGATGCACCATCTCTACTATGATATTTAGTTAGCCAGAATTTGAGTCCATTTTAAAGGTGGTGCTGGTTATAGATGTGAAGCTCCTCTGGGTTACTGAAAATGTGAAGGTGTCCATTCATAATTTAGTTTTAGTAATATCAGTAATTTTTATTCTTATCCCACATGATGCTTCAACTGACAAAGATCTTGGATCATGAAAGACATTACTTGGACAAAATTTATGTATAGCTTTACAATTCCCAAATTAAAATGACTTACTTGTAGACAACAATCCTCCCCCTCCTCTTTCAAAAGGTGCATCAACTGACTAGGTTTAATGGACCATTGTCATAGTATGCTAAATAATCAGGATGTAACCATCACCTACTTTCAGGTTGCAAAACAAGTCCCCCTCCCATGCTGTATCATTGGTTAACAAAATGACTCAGACACACATTCATTTGTTTCATACAATATGCTTGTTTACTTCTATACAATATACAAGTATGGAATTCAGTGTAGGTCGATATGTGGTTATAAGGACTCATGGCAATTGATATTGACCGAATACACAGAAAGTGATCACGACAAAGCCTGCAAGGTCACTATCATTTACTGTGTCTGAGGTCAATATCAATTGCCATGAGTCCTTATAACCACATATTGACCGTTCACTGAAGTCCATAATAGTTATATATTATATAATCACTCAAAAAGAATGCACTGACCCTAACTAAATAGACTTGGCCATCATTACGTCACAATGGTTAAAACATGCTTCTTTTATTATGACGTCACGTTCTATGTAACTTCAGTGCAACGGAACGCTGTGTCGTGCGATATCATTATCCGCCGACGCACTTTCACGTCGATATCACAAAAGGAGGAATATCACATGATGTCCTTTCAGCCAATGAAAATTACGAAAATAATCTTCTTATATAATATCATTGAATAGTGGTAAACTACCATACTGTATGAAATAAAGGCCTGTGCCCAGACATGAAAAACTTAACAATAAGATAGGAAAGCCCATAGCATAATTCGACCTATAAAAGGATGGGTGTACAAGAAAATTATCTTCTATTTTGACTTTTCTCTGCCTCCAGTAACTTCAATTTAGTCCAGATCACAACTATCAGGTTTTTACACAAGTTAAAGGAAATGCTCCATATTGCAGTTATGCCATTTCTGGTGTACAGGATTGAATCAAAAGCAGCCATGGGTCATTATTGAAGTACTTTGGTCAATGAAATTTCTTGAAATTGGCTACAATTCTATTTCAAAACACCAATTGAAAATTGAGCTATGTTACTTTTTAAAGAGAAAGTTTATTCAGATTTAACTGAAATAAAAAAAAAAATTAGGAATATTACATAATGAATGATGACATTTAATCATAAGTATGCAGAGTATGTAGACATTACAAAATGTTAATAAAACAACAGATTAAAGTAATTCCTTTCAAATTTCTTCCTTACTTCAAGGGAATACATGTACACTGTTTAAAGTTACATTGTACTTGTCATTTAAAATGCCAACATCTAAGCAGTGTCTACATATTTATAATTTTACAAGCTGTATATATTCTACTACATTTTTGTATATCTCCCATCAAAGAATGGTTTTTTGTTCAGATAGACACTTGGATGTTTGTGGAGCAACATGTCGGCATGCACCAATAACAGAAGTATATCACAGGTAATCTGTCTTTCACGCCTCTAAGAATGACACATAGTCTGTTAGAACTGATAACTGCTGCTCACTTAAAAGTTCAGGATCCTTGGCAGGCACTGCAAGAAGTAAATCATAATTTTAAAAATAATAATAGTTTTCTGACATTTGTTGAAAAAAAATAATTAAACTGAAATTACAACAGTGAATATTGGTAAGTGATCATATAAATGTCACAATAATCATTAGAAAAATGAATTTATTAAAGAATGCTCTTACCTAGCTTTTTAGGTTTAATATACTTAGTTGCAGAGTCATATGTCCACCCTTCTTGGGTTGCCGCTGTATATGACAAAAAGAATTACTCAGATTAAACCAAAACAAAGTTTCATTTACAAGCTACCTGTATAAGCATATCAAGCATAGCAGTTAAGCTCTTAAGAATCTTAAGTCTCATGTTTTCTTCTCTTGTGTTAATCACTTTATTGTTAATGTGAAAAATTCCCCATCAGCACCAATGTCAGTAACAAGATAAAACATACTGGGAAAATTCAGAAGGGCAAACCTTGTATAGCCTCATTTGAAGGCATTCCCATAAAAACAGCCCACTCTTCAGCATTGATGGAACTGTAGGCTTTAGATACTAGTCTCATGGCTCTTTCTCTTGTGGCAGCTTTCAAGAAGAGAGAGAAATGACAGATTTGAATGCCAAGACTTTGTTAAAATGATCAAGGATAATTTTCCAGATACAATTTATAGTTGAATATCTTGTTCAAAAAATGAGTGTGTATTATTTTACCTTTCACTGCCTCCATTATTTGTAGCACACTTTCTGACCATTCTTTCTTTAATGCTTCATAGATTCCTGGGTAGTCCCTCAACCACAACTTCTGTCCCACTGCCCAAATATGACCTGTTTCAGGACTCGACTACAAGACAAGGTTTAATAATTAAAAGATGTTTAGTCTTGTATGTCAAGTATGAGCAGCCTAAGATTGGGACTTCTTCTTGGCAAAAATTTTAAGGAAACTGACTTACGCTCTTGACTGACTGTGGTATTCTTTTCCATAAAAATTTTGCATTGCACCTGGAATTGAAGACATTAAAATGACATAAAATGAAAATAATGTAATAATCATAAAAGCCATAGTAGACCTTCTTACAATATGACAAAATCTATACAAGGTCCTTTCACAATAACTGTGGTAGTACTCTTTTGCAGGGCAAAATGATATATTTTGGTGAAATATGACATAATTTAAGCAATTGCTTAATAGGGGCCCAGAGATAGAGGCCTATAAATTAATTATCTATCAATATTAATTAAAATTATCTTAAATTACATTATCTATCAACAAAATCTTCACCAAAAGTTATTAAATCGCCCTGCAAAAGAGTACTACTGCAGTTATTGTGAGGGGCTAATACTATATATCAAGAAAAATCATTAGAAATATTATGTCTGTCTGTTTTAAATCATAATCTTACATGTCATTGTGAAGAAGGTACAGGGCTAACAGCTGATTATACACCTGAGGTGATGTCCCTCCTCCTGCAGACTGAAATGCAATGCACAAAATCATGAACATTTATCTTGGACCAGAAACCAAAGGTATAAAACAAGATGTTGTTTATGCGGACTTCAGATTATTCCATTATTTAATCACTGTTGTACAAAAATTTTTTACGAACATCAAGTGTTAATTCTATTCGAATAAAAAGAGTAAATATATGTTCACACACACCCATTAAAAATAAACAAATGAAGAGAAAATTCGAGTTAACTGAATTTCGCTTCATTACTGGACAATACTGAAGTTATATCGTTTTATGTATTCAATAAAAATGCTGCAATTAAATTATCACTGATGTCTGTCTTGGCACATTACCTCGAGTTCTTGTTGTTCTAATTCGATTTGTAGCTTTTGATAATCAACATTTTCTTTGGCCATTTTTACAATGGACCCCAATGCGAACGAAACTTTATTTTCCGAAAAAATGAAGACTTATGGGTGCGTCATGAATCCGGTCTATTTGAGAAATTTTATTGGGACGTACATGTAGCCTCCTTTTTGAAAGTGAGTGAGTGGGGGCAACCTAGAGAAAAAAAAACTTACCCGAAAATCTTTACAAGCTAAACATGGGGGGGGGGGGGGGGCTGTGTCAATGAACATTTTCTTAATCAAAAAGTTATGTCTGGAAAAAGAGTGGACTACGTATACCCTCCCCTGGCCCGATACTACGTGCCTGATATAGATTGAAGAAAAATAATTCAGCGAGTTATTATCATATACGGTGGTAAGTTATTTTTTTAAGATGCGAGGGAAAATTGTCTCGTTTAACAAGATTTATCTAGTGAACACGACATATTACTTCGTGAAAACGAAATAACATACCGTGAAAACGACATAATATCTCATGAAAAAGAGATATTATCTCGTGAAAACGACTTATGATATCGTGTCAACAACATAATTTGTCGTGAAAAGTAACGCGATATTACGGAATTGTTACGTTTTACAACTCGAAAGTTGCGCGTTTATTCGCGAAAGTTTTAGCGATATAACGCGAAAATATATTTTCTATCCTTCGAAAATAAGTGCAATGGGATTTCGTAAATAATTTCTTACAATATTAAAAAAAACTTTGAATTTGTTACCTAGTATGTTTTTTTTTGGGGGGGGGGCACAACTGACTTTATACATTAAAAAAAAATGTTTGACAAGTAATAAAAGAGGGAAGAGAGAAAAGATCATTTTTGTTCAAATTTGTTATAATTGGTCAACACCAATTCAGTCAGTGTATAATTGTGCGAGATCGTATTATACTATAGTCCATCTGGACAGTTTAAAACATCATAGTGACGAAATATTACGGGTACCGGAAAGCCAAATGCACCTTCCCATTTAACATGGTAAAGTACAGTATATGTTTAATCCAGTTTCTTTAAAAACATTTTATATTCACTTTCAAAGTAATAGTTTTTTATATAAGTTTAGCAATGCAGCGGTTACATATATAAATGTATATAAATATTAAATTTTATCAGTGAGTGTCCTATGAACGTCATAAAACATATAGGTCTCTCTCCAAAAAAAAGTTCTAGAAATTGATCCTTGTATTTTTCTTCTAAAATACAACCATCGAATTTCATACATACAAACTACCAACTTTTACGTCAAGTTCTAGATGATTAATATTATTTAAAATATTGTTGTTGGCATTTACGATATACAAGAGCCCATGCGTGCAAATTTTAACTATAACAGACGTTCCAAATATATACTTTTATACATGTACCTCTACTGATTTTTCCCTACATAACATTAGATCGATAGATCGATATGATTATTATACCTCTACTGATTTTTTCTTATATAAAAATCAGGCAGTAAAATGTGAATAATTCCCTAGAAATCTCTGTGAATGGACTAATCTCCATGCGTTAGTCAAATGAGCTAATCCCTAATTTCCCGGTTATCCGTAATCCTCTAGATTTAACTTTTGAATCGGTCTAATAATTATGTTAATGGACTAATCCCCGTGTGTCTAGTCAGGAAGCTAATTCCCCGTCATTCGAAATCCTCTTTTTTTTTTACTTTTGTATCGGTATTATCAGATAAAACAGTTAAAAAGTATATCATTGAGAGAGTTAGCAAGATTCCAGTTCCCCTCGACCAGGACTATTTCCCGAGGCGCAATCCCCGTGCGTTCGTCAACTGACGTCAAGTGAGCTTGTCCCTGCTTCGAAAGCTACAGCGTAATCACGGTTATCCGTAATCCTCAAAATTTTACTTATATATTGGACTAATCCCCGTGTGTTAGTTCAGTAAGCTAATCCCTGCTTTGAAACCACACTATCTGAATCCTCTAAAGTTTACGATTGTATCGGTGAAATAAACAGTTTAAAAGTATATCATTGCGGGAGTTAGCTTTGCTTCGGGTAATAGTCCTGGCCTTGGGAAACTGGAATCTTGCTTACTCCCTCAAAGATATACTTTGAATAACTGTACAATATCAATCTCCTACGCAGAGTTGTCATTCGTTCCTCTCTCAGACAATGAATGTATGAGCCGATGGTAGAGAATGGTATAATATATAGTCAAAATAGTAAGCAAAATTCCAATTTCCCGAGGACGGCACTATTTCCCCATTCATAATTATTGAACCTCTACTTTTCCTTTTTAAATTTAGATCGATAGATATATTAATAGTTTCCTGTGAATTCTGTGAACGGACTTATATAATCCCCTTTTTGTCATGCGCCATTAATACATGTAGTACTTGTTATATAGTCTTCAAAGTCTGATTCGTATGTAGATATACATGTATAGATTTTACTTTTGTGTAATAAGCAGACAAAAAGGATTTAGCAAGATTCTAGTTCCCAAAGTCAATGGAACTTTTGCCTCGGGTTTTTCCTTGGGGAAATCTGAAATAGTCCTGGCCTCGGGATACTTGTATCTTGCTATCCCCCCCCCCCTCCTTCCCCTTGCAACGATATACATGTACTGCATGTTGCAACGATATACATGTACTGCATGTATCATGCGGTATGTATATAATTAAGTTAAATTTGTCAAGTCTCCAGAAAAACTACGCATGTATGTCGTGTTAATTTTATTCCCGATATCGTTAATATTTTGTTTTTAGTCTACAGTAACAGTTTAAAGGATCGATTTTTTTTAATTTGTACATGTATCTTACGGAAGCTGGTAAGGGCAGCAGTAGTACCTTTTCTTTATTTGCCCTAGCCAATTTTACAACGACTATAGGAATTTGGAGCGTATTAAAGATCTGATTTAGTATCTACATGTCTTAAATGAAACAATAATTTTAAATTGCAAATACTGTAAATTGCGATTGTTCATCTGGTACATGTATCTTTATATGCATACTACTTTAACACTTGTAATCTTACAGGAAATAAATTTCTTTTTTAATATGTAAATTACATGTATTAACTCAATCTGTTCAAAATCAGATCTTTAATACGCTCCGAAATTCCGATAGTCGTTGTAAAGCGACTATTAGAATTTTGGACCCTAACAAAGAGATTGAGAATAAACACGTCATATTCAACATTTTCAACGATATGCTCTCTGCTTACATTTTAGGTGATGGGAATATTTAAAGAAGCTATAGCAAGAAATCTGAGGCACCCAAAAAGTGGACCGGCAGGCTGGTTCGTCAGCATAAGCTTCCCAAGTTCTTGTTCAGATCAATTTCATACATCTAATATTCAAATACATGTACATGTACTTATTATGACGATTCACTACGCAATTTATTCATTTTTAGAAATACGTTTTTGAAGAAAAAAATAAAAACTTGGAGAAAAACGCTGTCAACGTGTGCAACATTTCTAAAGATGATATTGTTCTAGAAGTGGGATTTGGTCCGGGGTTTGGACTCGAAGAGGCACATACTAAAATAAAAGGTTATTAATTTAATTATAAATGATAAGATTATTGTTATAAATGTAAACTCATCAAAAAGAGAAACTGGGAGAGATTAACACTTGCAGGATACATTTAAAATTTAAAACTTTCATTTCTTTATTCCTTCTTTATTCCTATAATGTCATATTATAAATTTTGAATTTACCGGGTGGCAGTAAATACGAAATTTACAACATGACAACTTGTAAATTTTGTATTTACTGTCATCTGGTAAATTCGAAATTTACAGCATGACACTATCCTACAAGTTCAGTAAGAACTAGTTATATTTACCTAAATACCCCCGTATTATACCTTTTAAAATATATATTGTGTTTTATCTTTACAGATGGAAAGGGTAAGGTCTATGGAGTCGAGATCTCCCAAGCAATGTTAAAAAAGGCGGGACGTTTACTCCAGACTGAGATAAACTCAGGAAAAGTTGAACTAATACTGGCAAATGTCGCAAAACTGCCTTTCGAATCCGACATGTTTGATCACGTGTTTCACTGCAACTGTTACTATTTTTGGGATGATCAGGTTGCGTGTGCTGGAGAATTGCATAGAGTAATGAAACAAAATGCAAACATGGTAGCTGTACTGAACGAACAGGGTCTAAAAGTAGCGGAAGAAGCGGGAGTCTTAAAATACGGAAACACAGACCCACATAGATACATGGACTCTTTAAAGAAAGCTGGATTTCAGGATATAGATTTCAAGAAACTGAAAAGTGCAAAGGGTCATCCATTTAGTGCAATTTTTGCTCGAAAATGATTTTAATAATGGCAGCTGTGATTCCATGTCATAAAATTGTATCTCCATTAATATTCACTATTCAGGGGGTCCCAAGTTGAATTTATACGAGTTTTTTTTTAATATTTATGATTGATTAACATAACAAGATTAAATGGTTCTAATTGTGATATTAGATTTTTAATACAAAGTTTATTATAAAAAATTATTTCACTGTTTATTTAGTACATGTATATGAGATCTACAGACTACATATGCGTTCATATAAAATTAATTAATTAAGAATTATCATTTTTAAGCATGGGGAAACATCCTCGTTTTCCATCAGTTAGTCAACCATGCTGAGCTAATCAGATTTTGTCACGTTGGCGAGGTGGGCAAATGAAACTTGGTCATGAAGATTTGAATTTTCTTGCACGTGATTTCTGTAACATCGTTACACTGGCGAATAAACCTAAAAATAAATTTAGAAGGCGTCAAATCATACGATGTTATTGATAATGCAAAAAATACTTTCAATGAATAATAGACAGATATAATTTTCTGCATATTTTTTATCAATATATTTGTTTTATCTGATTTTTTTTATTACCTATCACGATCAGACCGATAACTCCAACCAAGAGAGGGATGGCCACTGCAAATACTTTTGGCGGGAAAAAATTCTGTAGGAAGCTGTCCTTTTCTACAAACGGCTGGAAAGAAATGAGAATGTCATATACTTCCATACACAGAGAGAACTCGAAGAGATAGTCTCCAATGCGATTTTTATATTATCATTTTCGACTAAACAACACTTTATCTGTATTGATAAAATATAGAATGCACAAAACAAGTACCAGTGCGTACCATACTTTTTTAATCTTAAAACGTAAAAAAAAAATCACATCTGAAATACCGGTAGCTTACCAGAATGATAACCCATACTGTGTAGTAAATTCCAAACGTCACGGAGCCAGATATCAGGGACAAACCAAGCAATCTGTCCATTGCATCTCTGAACTGAAAGAAAGACATGAGACCCATGGGGCACAATGCTCGCAACAGCTTTGAACAGCATAATATACGTGTGTTCGAACGTAAAATTTTGATTCTGTAATTTTTTTTGGTTCCACCCTAAATACATGGGACATGATTTTAATGAATCTATGATTCTATCTTACAAGAGGATGCTTCCACCTTAATATTTGTTGTTCTTCAATCTTGAGTGAACGGTTTTTAAAAAGACCCCCCTGTGTAATTCCTACTGTGGTTCTGCCCTCCGTTCCCTGCCCCCTGGGACCATGATCTGAACATGCCTAATCGGCTAATGTTAGGCCTGGGTTCTTGAAAAGAAGGTAAAAATGTGAAAAGTTTACAGACTGACATATTGTAGTTGCAGAACTGTAGCTCTCTGAAAAAAATATATTCAGAGACCTGCAGAGCTTTTAGCTCAGATGAGATTATGCTTTTAGATGTTAAAAATCTATCAGGCGCATTTGTTCCTTAAATTTTTTTTTTATGACAAGAACAGTCCTCCATACCTTGACAATACCGATTTGGGTTTTCTCTTTTATAATCCGGAATATTCAAACGCGTGCAACGTCTTCGGGATAAATCCGATTATGCACATGTAATGATTGTATTGGTTATTTTAATATCCACCTTGATGAGAAAATGTATATCTAGGCTGTGCATCACTAAAACTTCCAACAAATCAGTGCAGGTTTGTGGTACAGAGCTTGATGTGGTAGATTCATTGCTGAAAGGTATGGTGCAAAAATTTTTTTGACTTGTTTAAAATCTTTTTAACTTCTTACACAGAAGAGCGTTTGTAAACAGAGTACATTGCCCTTTTATCTCATAAAATAGATAACTGTCAAAATTAATTATTTCACAGACCGGTGTCCTTTTACAATGATTGTATTTTATATTTTAACCTTCTGACAGCTGAACAACTGTCTAATATTGCAGTAATTTCCGTGGAAGATGGTCAGAAATTCATAAAGATAATTGGATCTGGAAAGAGAGGTATGCTTTGTTAAAAAAAGACAATCTGAGCATCAGGTATCTAGTGTAAAGGGGGAACTTCTCCCCTATTATGTCCTTGAATATTCTGTTTTCAAACTAATATGTTGACTGTGCAATGGTTAGGGCTCACACAGATAGCTTTTCATTTATAAACTGTATTTAGACACATCTCTTCAACCCAAATGATGACTTTTTGTTATACCCCTTCTAATCAGTCCCTATATGATTTCTTACTTTGAAAAGTCCAACAGTCCGACTGTCTTCCCTGACTGTTGGTCCAAGAACTGTTAAAATTGACTGTTAAAAAAGACTGTTGCCCGCTGACGTCAGATGGCGCTAAACTGAGTTATCTTTAAATTCGGTAAAGGAGTATAACAAAACAGTTGTTGAAAGGAGTCTCTGGAAACAGTCGACCTGCTGGACCAGAGTGCAAACTGTTTTCCCTGGCCTTGGGCAACAGCTTGCACTCGGTCCAACAGATCGACTGTTTCCCTCTACCCCAGTCAACAAATGTGCAATATGTGACATTTGGTATCTCTAGACTCTGACATTGTATGTAAGTGCATTACCAAAGATAAGCCAGTACGAAAGTGTCTAGCTGTGCTAGCTATTAATTAGATATAATTATTTATTGCAAATTAAACTTTTATAAATATGAAATGAATCAGATCTCATTGCTTGATTTCAAAATTTCTTGATATCTTATCTTTCTTTTTAGGTGAAAACAATCTTACAGGAAGTTTTTCACAACAAAGACAATGTTTCCACACAGTTCCTGCATGCTTTTCTGACAAGTCAAACAACACAGATGAAAATGGTCATTCTAGGGATAATTTTGGAATAAACAATAAATACCTAAACTCCAAAAAGTCAAACACCATGTGTGCAGATGGTGCCAACTTTGATGCAGATGCATTTAAGAAAGCTAACCCCAAAGTGAAAGTAGGATGGGCAATGTCTGCCATGAAGAGTGGGGATGAGGCCAAGAGACAGCAAATGAAGGCCTGCTCAGATCACCTTCAGGAAATGTGGCAAGAAAGGAAAGACAAGTCCCCAGTGTTAAAACAGTTTAGAGACTATTTGATGAAAAGTGATAATCCCTATGCATTTGTTGTGTTCCTGTTGAATGACTCGCATGATCTTCACGTTCATAAAACTGCGACTTTTTCCTATGCAATTTGTAAGGAATTTGATGGTTGGTTGTCATCTCCTCATTGCAATATCAGGAATAAGGCACAGGTTTTGACACCAGAGATAAAACTAGAGGCTGTGAGTGTTGCAACAAGGTTAGTGTCTTTAGTAAACTGAGAAAGCTTGGCAGTATTGAACTGTTCAGTAATTTTAAGAAATTTTTGCAGCATTGAACTGTTAAATGATTTTAAGAAATTTCTGCAGTATTGAACTGAGCAATGATTTGAAAAAAAAAAAGTTTGCAATATTGAACTGTGCAATAATTTTTAAGAGAAAGTTTGCAGTATTGAACTGCACAGTAATTTTACTCAGATGGAGAATGTATCAGGATCAGGTATGTGTGCTATTTGAGACTTGTTAAAGTAATTTTTTTTCTATTTTAAAGAGCTAATAATTTTTTTTTTTCAGGTACCATACAGTGATGTTTCAACTGGTATTTAAAACATTTGAGCTGAAGCACCAAGGGAACGGTTATATGTTGCCAGAAATAAAGAGATTCTTAGAAGGGAAGAAATATAATGAGGTTCTTAAAGCCAGAACTACTATTTTAATAATTTTACTTATTTTCTAGTTTCTGACATCACAGGAACTAATACTGTACATGTACATTTTTGTTTTATTTTTAGTGTGCTCTGCTGGCAGGGCATTTAGGTCTTCAGGACCACTTCAGAATTGAGGAGGTAAGTTTTGATCTCTCAAAAAATTACCATTCAATTTGATAAACACACAAGCACAAATATAATTTTACAGTAATAATATTGGGAAATATTGCATAAAAAAGCTTTTTCACTCCTTCATTGTAACCTTGTTTCAGATAGCAGTACCCCTGATTCTACAGAATAAGTTAAACCTTCTAGAGACCTACCTCAGAGGAAACCAAGGACAGCAGACACTGGTTGTTCAGTTCCTAGATCATATGTGTGATAAAAGCTACAATATTAACAACCTTGTCAGGTACTAAAGAAATGAAGCTAATTTCAACTTTTGTTATATGATATAACTTAACTTGGGGCAGTTTACGCTTTATAATCCGTGACGCGGTTTATAAAAAAGCGTAAACTGTCCCAAGTTATGTTATATCGTATAACAAAAGTTGAAATAAGCTTCATTCCTTATAATTTAATTTTAATGTAGACAATGAGACAATTTTTCCATTTTTTCCTTCAGAAAAAGGCTTCAAATATAGCATATTTTAAAATTAACGTCAAGCGAGTAATACGTTTTTGACGTAACTCATTGTGACGTAGGCAAGTTATGTTATACAAGATGGATAAAACCGTTTAACCAATCAAATGACATGTTACAAGTGAAATTAAATTATTTATACATGGATGTTTTATATTCTCACAATCTCAGACAAGTGTCAAGTTCTTGCAATGTTATGCATGTATTATGATAAAATCTCAGACATGTCTAATGTTCTCCTAATCTCACACATGTCTCATATTCTCATAATATCAGACATGTCTAAAATTCTCAAAAATCTGGAACCTGTCTCATGTTACAGGCTCAGACATGTCTTGTATTCTCATAATCTCAGACTTGTCTCATTGAAAAATATACATTTATATTGAATTGTTGAATATATTATATTTACGATTTTCATTTCCAGTTCTATGCAAGTCCCTGATGTGAAGATGAGTCATCTGCAGAAAAAGTCTATCAGCAAGCTAGCTACCAGACTAGCCAAGCTATATGAGATCCCTAATGGTAATATGATTTTATTGACAGAAAACAAAAACAACAATTTAATATCTTATTTTTGTCCTGTTTGTGCTATTTCCACCCATTGTTATTTTCACACTCTTGGACTTTTACACACATGTATTTAAAACTTGTATGTCAGCGGACACTCACAAGACACTGACCCATCTACCGGTTTTGATGAAATGTTTATTTTTTTTACCTGATTTTAATAAATCTTTAGACTGTTTTGCTTTCACATCATGAATGACTTGGTATAAATTGAAATCCATCATTCTACACTTCTACAAAGTACATGCATATATGAATGTATAAAGAGCTAGGTTTACTGCAATTTTTCTAGATCTTATACCCAATATAGTCACAGCCAGAGGTCTTGGAGCATTAAAATTTCTTCTTTATAAGAGGTATATTGAGGTAAGAAGTTCCTGATTTTACACAGACAGAATAATGTACTGAATTTATTGTAGCAGAGATTTATGCTTTTGATACATTTGTAAGTTAGTGTAAAATTATTAGCACCTCCAGGATATGGAACCTTGTACATGTATAGTCCTAATTCATTATTGCAACTATCAATTGCCTAAATTTGATCAAATTTTGAATACATTGAAGAACATGTATAGTGAAACTAAGTGCATGTACTACCTGTACTTGTACATATGTCAGTTTTAGGTGTGATAGCTCAGATTCATTATGATCAATTTTACCAGTTAAGCCTATATATCATTTGAAAACTCTTTTTAAGAAAAGTTAGAAAAAAAATTTTGCCTGCCAAATGCTGAAAGAGAAGTTTTTTTCTAAGGTTTCTTATTCTTTATTTTATTAGAATGGCATGGCCACTGGGAGTTGGGAAGACATGGTGCAGAATGCGGTGGGTGACAATGAAACTTTACAGCTGGAGCTAGTGGAACAGCTGCTTTGTTATAATGAGGTCAAGGCCTCAGCTAAGTGGGCCAATTTCTACAACCTTCCCGATGACAAATTATCCATTCCGGTGAGAGAGGAGAGGAAACGCTTGGCTGAGTAAGATGACTTCTAGGTTTTTTGAAAAATTTCTCTTCCAAGGACAATTAGGTACCTTTACAATATCAAATCCCTCGAGAATAAAAAAGGTACTCAATTTTTCATTTAAACCAAATATTATTCTTTTCATCTTTTATTTGCAATTTGTCAGTTTGAAATCAATCTATGACAATTAATATTCGCAACTAAGGAAATATTCTCTATGACCACAAAACAAAATTAATGGTTCACAATGATTAATGTTCACGTATTAAAGTAAGTCGCAAAACTTGTGGATATTTCTCAATGTGAATAAAATTGGTTTGCAGTCAATCAGTTTTATCATGAATTAATCATGATATTCAAAAAAAACACACGGTAAACTTGTCATTTCAATAATTCAGGGGTCTTGGCTCAGAGCCTGCTGCAGGGCCTTCGGAGGAGAGCTGGGAGGATGAACTAATGCCGGTGGATGATATGGAGGCTTATTACTATAAACTCAAGCTGGACCCCTCCAATATACAGTTTGTGGACACCAAGGAAAAATACCAAGAGTTTATCTCTGTTGTGTCCAAGGTACTCAGAGGTTAAAATTTTTTTGTTATGAGATTGGATTGCAGTTTTTTTTCATATGTAAAGTAAATTTTGTATAAGCAATACTTTATTTACAGCCAGACAATGTGATTGGAGTTGACTCTGAATGGAAACCATCATTTGGAAATTCTGTTCAAAGGTTTGCCACCCAAATACATGTACATGAGTTATGCTGTATTTTCGTCAAAATTTAAATGACAGCAAAGTTTTTATGGCTTAATGGATAGGTTCTTCACAATTAATTTCAGAAATTTTTTTTTGTTTTCAAAATATACATGTACAATGTAATGCATTATAATCTCTCTGCAGAATAGCCCTTATGCAGTTTGCCACAATGAATCAGATTTTTCTGCTGGATATGATAGCTCTCAATTCAGTGTTGTCGAGCAGTGACTGGCTTTTATTGGCAACAGCAGTGTTTTGCAACGAGGACGTTTTAAAACTTGGTCAGTGTTTGATGGTTTATTTTAAATCATCAAGTCTAAAATGTGTGAAAAAAGCATATGCACAAAACAGTCAACCAGTTATATTTACATTCAGTGTAATTTTCTTTATGAAATCCATTAGAAATTCAGGGTGTTCAAATCTCTATAACACACATGAAACCTTGTCACCACACGTTAAAATACACAGTAGGAACTATATGCATTTTCAATACTCTAGAATATCAAAATGTACATTATTTCGACTGAATTTAGTTCAAAACTATAATCCTGTTACATTTACGTAAAAATACAACAAACGTGTGTTTATAATTAATTTGTCACTTTTTTTCCTCGCAATGTTCGTTTGCGTTATTTAACTTTGCAACGTCAAAAACGGCTGTTACGTCTATAAAGCACACCAGTTTTGCAGGGCGCTAAATTCACGTTAAAGATTACCGAAATAAACAGTAACGTTATGGAGAGGAAAAATTAAAGAATGTAAATACGGTAAACTTCGTTATCTCGACATCGACGGGACAGTCGGAAAATGTCGAGATATCCGAGGTGTCGAGATATCAGAGTTGAGACTCGACGTCCTTAATTTTACTGCATAGTAAAACGAAAGACCTAAACTGAATAGACGTGTACCTACAGGTACCTATATGTCTTCAATTAGACTGTAGCTCGGTTGTTTCAGCTATCATTCTACATTTATTAGAAAATCTAAGAAGTTATTCACAAATGTTATTTATGAAATGCTTTCTTTTTTTATCGAAATCTTCTCATTTCACTAAATTCGTTTTCCATCCAGCATTCGATCCGCGTGCCATAAATAGCAGCCATTAGCTCTGTCAGAACAGGATACGAAATGCGCTTTATAAACTCCGAACCGGAACGGTGCAAAGTCGACTTCCGAGATACGGAAAAAAATTAATGCGTATATTTTTTAAATTATTTCATTTCACATCTTTTTTATTTCATAATCATTCATCATTTATTTTCAATATTAATTTTCAAACCAAAATTTAAATGGAATTGGGCATTTAACAAAACTTACCTATGCATCCATATTACGGCTGATGCAGTAGTCGTGCATGTCGTAAGTTTGATTGATTCGTGTTGAATGCATTTTTACCACAATTTTTAAGTTAAATTGAATCCAATGTGTATATGATTTATTGTTATTCAGTTACCTTTTTTTTAAATAAAATGTTTAAGTTTTGTTAGATTTCGACAAAAATAAACGGTTGTACATTTACGCCGAATTGAGAAGATTTACCAATGATAATTACCCAAGCTGAATATTAAACAATTAACGTATTAGAGACTCCCAGTCTACAAATACATTTTTACAGAGCAGTACGTAGTCAAAACATGGGTGGGAAAGGTGTGAATTTCTTACGACGTCGAGATAAACGAGGTCGTCCGTGCGTGACGAGCGACCAGCTGACAAACAATTAGGTTAAGTAGAGCAGAAAATTGCACCGATGTCGACATATACCAGGTAAATTTTCCTCTTGGGGCTGTGAAATACGTCGAGATAAGCGGGGTAGTCGACATTACCGAGGTCGACATATCAGAGTTTTTGCACATCATTTATATAGTAAATAATGTCGGGACCGCGGACCGACGTCGACATATCCCAGGTTGTCGATATATCCGATGTCGAGATACCGAAGTTTACCTGTATAAGCAATGAATTCATATTTTGGGATGTCTTTGGTCCTATAACACACCTGGCCGTGCCGACAAATTATCATACTACTAACGCGCGATATTTAATTTGTTGGCACGGCCAGGTGTGTTATAGGACGGAAGACATCCCAAAATATGAATTCAATGCTTAAATACAGTGTACTTAAGAAAAAAAACCCTTTTCTTTGAGTGATCTACAAGAACGAATTTTAGAGGAGACTGCAAATAAAGTGCTGTGTGGTAGATTTCTTAAATGTTTATTTATTTATTCCATTATTTAAATGATAAAGAGTAATACATCTTTATAGATTATGAAGAATTTACTGTTGCTAATGAATATTTAACCTTGATCAAAGGTATGAAGAACTAAAATTAAAAAACCATCTGAGTATCTGATTTGAAATGTAAGGAAGTAACCAGTCACTATGAGTCATCCAATTTGACTAATACTGATGAAGTAAATTTTCTTTATTTCCAGGTTATGGATTTGATGCTGACTTGAAAATGATGGTAAAATCGTATCCTTTCTTGAAAGAACCACTAACCAAGATGAAAAGAACAGTGGATTTGGAAAAGTTAGCTGTAAAGGTTTGTTGGTCTTCTCTATAAGGAATCACATTTTCCAGGAAAAAAAAAAGATTAAAAAAATACAACTCCCTGCTCAGTGGCCATAAGTGCCAGGACCTTCCTCTTACAGTTGATGGAATCGTGATTTGAGTGTAATATACTAAATGGAACTTAAAAAAAAACATCGTTTTGCAAGTTGTAAAAAAAATAATTTTTTCTAAATAAAAGACTATAACTAATAAAATAACTACAGATTAATTTCATATTACGGACATAATGGGGTACCTGTTTCTTAAACATTTCTTAACACTCTTTTTTATAGTGTGAAAAATAGAACCCAAGTGATGAAATGTTGCACAAATGTATCTGTTTACTTTTATACATGTTTTGTGGCGTCGGTAGTCTAGTGGTTAAGGTGCCGGACTCTAACCGAAAGGTTGCGAGTTTGAATCCTGGCCGTGGCAAGTCGACATTGTGTCCTTGGGAAAGGCACTTTACACAAATTTCCTCACTCCACCCAAGTGTAAAATGGGTACCTGGCAATAGACAGTGAAAGATGTCAGAATATTAGTGTTCTAGCGCCTTAACAGCAGCTTGCACTGAGAAAGATTCTGGATTGTTATGGTCTGCTGGGGTAATAATGTATTGTAAAGTGCTTTGAGTAGCATTTATGCTAGAAAGGCGCTATATAAAAACAAACATTATTATACCCCCCGCTTGAAAAGTGGGAGGGTATATAGTAATCGGTATTTCCTCCGTCTGTACGTCCATCCGTCTGTTACGCTTTGGGGTACCCATCTCTTATCCGCAACTCCTCTTATACCACTGAGTGAAATTTAATGAAACTTTCACAGAATCTTTATTACATATTGCCATTGTGCACCTCCTATTTTACTTTTTGATCCGACACATATTTTGGGTTTCCCGGCCACTACAAAACATGGACTTTTCCATTATAATCATATGGGAGGCAGGGGGTATTATTTAGTGAGCTCATTGCTCACAGTACCTCTAGTTATTTATTATTATTATTACATGTATATTGAGCTAGGTTCAGTTTTTTGTATATTTTGCGGTTTGTAGGTGATAGACAAGGCCATCAACTTAATGCCAGATGACAAGGGGGATTCTGATGAGGAGGGGCTGGAGGATAAAGACAGCGGCATCAACGTCAAATTCCAGAAAACGGAGGAGAGAGGTGGGTGGACTGATGACCCTTGAGATCTCATTTACTTTTATCAATATAGAGTAATATACATATAGTACCAAACAAAAATGCTTGCATTATGTAGATCACCATGTATGAAATTAAGAATTCATTCTCTGTTGATGTTATGATATTTTTTTTCAGGTTTGAGTGAGTTAGTTCGTCAGTGTCTAGGCAAACCACTAAATAAAGGGGAGCAAATGTCAAACTGGGAGAAACGCCCCCTTCGCCCCACACAAGTCCAATATGCAGGTAAAGAAAACATCTTATTGAATTGCATTTTTGTTGACGTAGATATAAATCGATGATTTTGGACATACTGAATACTAGGATCTTCACTGCCTAGATAATCAAGGATTTTGGATATGCTGAATACATGTACTAAGAATATTAACTTCACTGTTATTTTGTAAATCTGTTCATTTTTGGCCACAGCACTAGATGCTTTTGTTCTGCTGGAGGTCTATGACTGTATGGTTCAAACTGCCAAAAGAGAGAACATGAACATCGACTTAGAACCAGCAGTCACTGTCAAGTGGAGCAAGGAAAGCAGACTAGACAGACTGAGAGCCAAAGCCAAGGGTCAACAGCCTCCAAAGTCAGCAAAGCCACAGGTACATATATAGAATAGATGACAATTTAATTTTCATTTAAAAATAAAACAAATTTTAACATTAAAATGGAAAAGTTTGAGTGACTCATTCAAATCATTCAAAGTAAATTTTGCATTAGTTGTTTACCTAGTGTTATGGGTATGGCATTTTAGAGTTGCATGGTGTAAGTCTAGTTTTAATGATTTGTTGCTCATTTCTATTTTGCTTCTGTATATTCTGTTTTCATAACAGGTACCACAGAATGCCTCTTATTTGGGGATGGAGATGGAACCTGGTCAGCTGAGGGTGGTGGTGGACTCCATGTTACAGGGTCTAGGGCAACAACTCAGGGGGTGTGGGGTGGACGTCTTCATACTGAACTATGACGAGGGTCATGAGAAGGCTATTGAGGTAATTAGTTCACACTGTAACACCGAAACTATATATTTACAAGACAGTTTGCAGCAATTACAGATTTTTCATAGGGATATAGAGATTGATCATCCAAAGCTCTCAATATTATAAAGATCACTCTCCATATTTTTACTTAGAGAGTGGTCATCCCAAATACTTTTATAAAACACTTACCGTGTTGAACTTTAGAAATATTGAACAAAAAAAATTGCTAGGAATGTTCTGTTATGTAATAAACACAATTTTTACTGTGAAAAAATATGTGATCTCTCTCTTACTGAATAATTTTAATAATTTTGCCAAAAATTTTAACTAAATATTCGATATCATTAAAATCTCTACATTCTTACAAATTCTTTAGGAGATTGTATATTTTTTCCAAACCATAGTTTTGTAAAAAGACAGTGTAGATAAAGCCACTTTTTCAAGAAAAAAAATAAATTTATATCAGATTTATTAATGAACCTACTTATTTCCAGGTTGCTATGAAAGAAAACAGAATTATATTGTCATCAGGGACACCTTATCAAACAGTAAGCTTATCATCATTTTTCCCGAATACACAATAAAACATGGTTATAGTGAAAAGGCCTATAATGAATTCATGCTCACAGTGAAGCAACCTTTAACCCCTGTGGTTTTATTTCATAATGTGAACTTCACAGACACAACCAAATATTTTGAATTGAAAATACTGGTTTCTGGTACTTTGCAATTAGTATGTTTTACTGTGCCTGTACATAAAGTCCTTCTATACTCATGAGCATTGCAACACTTTCTCGTGGTCATTCTACATGCATTATAGCAATCTCTCCACAAAGTTGTCATACCTTTTATTCACATAAATCTCTGTCAACATTAGGAAGAAATCCATGTTAAAAAATATTTTTGACAGCACATTATTAAACATGTATGATTCCAATTTTACTTTGCAGATTTGCTCTCAATTAGGACCAGAGAGATGTTTCCATGTTGTAAATACTCTGCCAGCAAAGGAGCAAATTGTGGACGTTCTGAGGCACTTTAAAGTCAGAGTCAGAAAAGAGGACATATTCAGTCGATGTCAAGTGAGTGCCAAGATTTTTTTAACTTGAATAATTCCCAATAATGGCTTATTTCATATACAGGATGACAGCCTGTAAATATAAATTAGGGGTGGGACGATACACAGATCTTGCAATACGATACGTATCTCGATATATTAGCATGATACGATACGTATCTCGATATTATGATATTAAACTATTATAAAAAAGTATTTTATTTCATTTTCTGTCTTGACATTAATTTAACTGTTACATGATAAATTATAAAACTATGCAAAAGAATTAGTATTTTATTTCATTTTTGTTTTGTCGTGACATTAAATCAACAAATTATTCTTAGACTATATAAAATCATGTGTGCTTTGAAATTAATACTTAAAGTTCATCAATTTCATTGATTAAAACTTTATAAAAACAATAATACGTGTACAAATTATTGTTACCAAATTTCTATAAACAAGTTGTTTACAAACAGTTGAGTTGTTCATCAAAGAACACTGACTAAAATTTCCTACAAAAAACAGCATATTTACATTTTAATCAATTCCTGCAAGTCTGTAGCCTAGTTAAGATTACAAAAAAGCACGAGATGGACTAACAATTAGTAATATCAAATGTTCTGGAAATGATGCTTTCTGTGTATAGCACGCATTACATACTAAACTTTTCTTGTTCAATCTTCCGAGGCTGCTTAAAAGGGAAAATGTTTTACCCCTAATCAACAACTTATTAGTTCAACATTATGTTTTCAATATCATCATCGTCTCTTCGCTTCGTACAAGCCGCCATTTTCCAAGGACAAGTACTTTCATTTTCAATCTTTGGATAGGTCCTTCGTGTATCGTTTCGTACCGATATTTGAATGCTTGTATCGTAAACCGTATCTTAGAGGAAAATATCGATATGTATCGGTGTATCGGTATATCGTCCCACCCCTAATATAAATCAAGTACATTTTGTAATTATATCAAGTATTAGACTATTCTTTTTATGTTTTGACCAGTAGGTTTGTAACAGTGACTACTTCCTGAAGATCCCATGCAGAGATGTGAGGAAACTGTCAGAAATATTAACAAACTCTAGGGAGAGAAGACCAAGGGACAGAACTCCATCTCAGGATAGATGGCAGCAATACATGTTGACCACACATGGCATTGACAGTACAAGTGTTTCATTTGCAAAGACAGGCATAGATATTATGATTGATACTGTTCCTCAGAAAATATTTGGTATAGTGGATTTCTTTTACATTTGTGTCAACTGTGGGAAGATATTCTGGGAAGGTCCGCACATGAGTACAGCTTGTGAACAGTTTGCTCATGTTATGAACCTCCAGACTTGAGCATACTATATGGACAATGTTCATGATTAAATCTCAGTTGCAATGATATATTTTTTAAACTATCATTTGTCCATTATATGGACCCTTCAGCTATGAAGTTTTGAACTTCCAGCTGTGAGCAAACTGCATGGATAACGTTCTGAACTAAATTTTCAATAGCCATGATATATTTTTGCTACATGAATTTTTTTTTCAGAAATCAATTGGTTCATTGAAAATAACTGCTTGTCAATCATGTTTAGATACTATTACATACAAGTACATGTACTTTTTCAAATGTTTAGTACAACAAATTAGAATAAAGACATGATGTTGCTTTTAATTGTTTTATTTTTACCGGTAATGTTTCTAAAGCATCACAGAGTACATGTATTTCTATATTGGAATGTTTATCAAACATAGAAAGCGGTGTTGAATTTCTTTCTTCTCTTGTCATCTGGGACATTCTTCCTGCCATATGGACACTAGAAACAAAAGATAAGCCATTAATTGGGACATAAAGCTCACCTGAGTCAACTCCACAGGTACTTGTAGACATGACCCCCTCAAATTATACTTATTACACTTATTCATTATGTGTACAATAGAAAAATTATCTTCAAAACCCAAAAATAATCGCTACCCAAAGATATACCCCACTAAACATTATAATGTATTGTGGGATATATGTACAAGTACCTGTGAGTCAACTCATGTTACCCAAACCCAGTTCCTAACTTGTGGCTATGTTTGAACAAAATAAATTGGCGTCAGTTGGGATGACTATTATACTTGTGACCCTGCTTAACAAGAATATTATTTTTAAAGTCTTCAAAATCATTTTAAGTTTATTATGACCCTAACCAAGCACTGTCGGGTCTTGATTTGAACAAACTTGAGTCCTAGCTACAAACAGTTTCTTGCACATGGATGACTATATTTTCATTCTACATATCAATGCAGAACCTCCCCCCTTTACTTTTTGATTTTGAGGTACATACATGTCGGCATTCATTTCCACAACATTCTCCACGCTGTAAGTGAGACAGTCTGGTCATAACTTGATATCCAGTCTGAGGATCTACATAAAAGAGCTTTCCAGCCTAAAAATGAAGTAAATTTGATTAAAACATCCAAAAATGCTTTTTTTCTAATTCCAATGAAGATTATTTCTACTAGAAGATGTTTGTATTGTTATAAAGTGGCAATTTTTGTGGTCTAGGGGAGAAATTCTGTTGCCTTGCAATTTAAAATGTGTTTTGATTTCAAGTTTGAAAAAAAATATCCATTCCAACATATCCCCCTGACATCAGGTTAAAAAAAATTGTTGGAGATTCAATTGTTGATAATATTTATCAACATTTAACATCCCCAACCCATAATCCTGCCCCACCCCGACAAATGCGTTTGCTTTAATGTTTACGATTCATACTTTTCCCAATATTTTACTAAAACTTACCTGGTGAGCTGCCACATGTCTTTGATGAATTTTCAATTCCAAGGGAGATAACTTTGAGTAATCTACCATTGCTTCCCAAGGCTCAATGTCATTCTTACTCTGTGTATGAATGGACTGTGCAGTGCATTCTAGGTCTAGTGAAGTTGAACTCTTTTTACTACATGTACCAATGTTTTTCATATCTTGATGAAGACTTTTCTGTACAGAGTAAGAAATGTTTGATGGTGGATATGTGCTAAACCTTAAAAGAATGTGGAGATTTTTGTGGAATGATGCAGATTGGTAACATCTTTTTATAATTCTCATAGTTTCTAGCTGGTTCTTTGTAGGTTTCCCTGGGAAAAAAATCAATTTCAATATGTAAGACATGTCTGTGTTAAAAAACTACTTTGAAATCACTAATTTTTTGTGGGGGTATAATTTTCGTTAGTTTCGAGGCAAGGAGAGACCCACGAAATGTAAAATTTAATATACATTACTACTAAAACATTCTCCATCCACGAAATCAAGTCTCCACAAACCAAGATTTTTTCCCTCAAACCTCGAAAATTTGACCCCACAAAAATATGTGATTTTGCAGTAAGTTATTTCACATAAGCATCCACATTACATTTTTTTTCTGTAAAAGTCAATCGAAATTATTGTCCAAAAATAGACATCAAAATGCCCAAATAACATGAAACTTTCATAATTATGTGAAGCATATGAAAAATATGCAGAACATTTTCATTTAAGAGTTATTCGTACATATATAAAACAAATCTCATACACCATTTGCTTATCCCTCAAGATATCATTTTCATCAAAATCCATTTGATTTGAAGTGTTTTCAACATTTCTAATGGATACAATTAAAATATCTGCTCGTCTCTTTTTAAATATATGTAGGAACTATTAAAGAAAGTCATATGAAAGGGAAATGATTGTTTAATGGAAAGAATGATACCTAATTAGTAATTAATATACCTTTTTTGCTGTGGTCTGTCAGCTCGAGAATGGAAAACGAAAGTAGTTATTCGGAACTCCTCTCTTACTTCATTCCTGTGTTTATTTGTTCAGATTATACGAGAATCATGTCTTTTTCACTCATTATTAGTACTATTTAAAGCTATATTTGAATATATATTTCAGACAATTCTTAAAAATTCATATTTTCTCCTCTGACAATATTTGATTTTAGGTACGACCTATCTAAAGAGAGTATCCCGAGACTACCCGAAATCGATGGCTGGTCACTTCCTGTCAAAACGGATGAAAATTGTTGTTTACAAAAATATCCTTTTCCAGCATCGATTTATCAAAAAACCTAAAATGTAGCGATGGGCAGCGATAAAGAAAGTCATCGGCTAAAGATCTGGTGAAATGGGTTCACGATTAAGGTATTCATTTATTGAAAACTAGATGTTTTTGAAATGTACTTTACTGAAGGCGTGTCATGGTTCACTGGCGTCAAAGGTCTATCTTAGCATAAAATAAATCATATTGATTTTTCTCTCATCTTTTTCCTTAAACTTAATTTGAACCTCCTGGAATTTTGAATTGTGTTATTGGCGACTAATTATTATCCTTAAAGTAGATTTTATATTACAATAGAAATCTGTTGAAATTGATGCAAAATTCAACATGAAAAGTTTATTGGCATTGTTATTTTTCATTTTGTCTTTGGTACAGAAAGTTAACAAATGAGAGATGCTGACGTAGATATGTATTTCAATTAATTTTGAATTGAGCTTTTAAAAAACGATAAATATATCTCCATATATCTTTGATATCCCTTTTTAGTTATTTGAAGTCCAGATAAATTATTTTATAGGAATATAATTATGTAATTGAGGAGATGAGTCAGCAAAATAAAAGATCAATAAGCATTTGGAAAGTGTCACACTTTGATATACATTGTTTGAGTTTGGTATTTTTAGAGAGCTTTGAGTTTTGTATCTCTAGAGAGCAAGAAATTTTGTCCTCACAGTAGCCTTAGGTTCATGTGGTGTGCATGGGTTTTTTTTTGCAGTTCAGTTTAAATGTAGAATTGTAAATTTAACCATTGTCAAAAATAATGACAAATATAATTTCTTTTGAAAGCAGACTTTGTAAGAATAAATTTACAGAATCCAATATTACATTTGCTTTGAAGTTTTTCACTCATTCAGAAATATTTTAAGATTATTATTTGCCAATGCCTACAAGTAGCACTTCTTTCCACAAAATTGATTTTTTCACCTTACTTGTTCTGTTAGTTTTGACATTGCAGAAAAAAGAAGCATTCTGCTATCAGTTAATTTGATACAAAATGCTTCAGTTCTACACCTATGCAAAAGTGAAACCTCTCAAAGTATGATAAAAAGATATGGATAAATTGAAAATTGTATATGACAGCTGGAAAATTAGTATGAGATGCATTTGATAAATGAATACATACAGAGTTCTCCTCACTTTTTGGGAATGGGGCCTGAGCCATAAAGATTGAGAAAAATGCAACCTCTACATGCTCTAGGAGAATTTTTGGATAACCAAGTGAATATACTTTAAAGTATGATATATCAGGTTTCTGGTCTATATTAACAAAATTCTTGTTTTGCAAAACAGAAGAATGTGAATGGCAATTTTAACTATAACGTATCTAACTACATTAAAACTTGATTATAATGAAGTCACTGGGACCTATAAAATTACTTCGCTATATCCGAAATTCATTATATCCGTGTAAGGAGTTTGTTAAATTTATATAGCTGGGGATCCAAGATAACTTTGCTCTATCCATGAATTCGCAATATCCATGTTCATACTAAATGAGTTTTGCTGTATATATTTTCTTAAATTTTTGGGAGAAATGACCAATGGGAAAATTAACACATTCATTTGAGGTAAAAGGTACCTTTGTTGTATTGGGAATGGGGTCCTTGAATGATGCCAGTTATAGAAATTTGAGAGTCCTGGCATGACTGGTGAATGTAGTCTTAATATTAATTTAATTGTTTACAAAATTTTATATTAATTTAGTTTTAAAGTTTTAACTTCATCTTATAATCATTTTGGTAGGTAAGCAATGAAATCATAAGTACCAGTAATCTTGAAAACTGAATATTTTAATGATATGGTATAACTGTCACTCCACTGATAATTTATAAACTGATTGGATAAAAAACAATATCTGTGAATTACATGAACTAATAGATAGTTCAAGATAAAAGTTTGCAAAGGATGACTACATTCTTTAACAGTTGAAAGAATCACTAAGGCATTTCACTTAACCTTTAGGGAAGCTAGAATTAACTAATACATGTATAAGATATTAATATAAACAATGATAATTCTAAAAATTCTGAGACCAAGTTTTAATGAAGCAAGATTTCATATACTGAACATGCTGAAAAATATTCATGTTTCAGATATTTTTGTGTAAAATTTTTGTGAATGGAAAAATAATGTAATTTAGATGTAATGTTGGTAATCGGAATGGGTTTCATCAATTTCCAATTTCCTTGTACCAGTGTTGCATTGACTGTCAAGCGAAGCTTTAATCATACAAACAGTCAGACTCTGATAAACACTCAAGAAATTTAGAATTAGAATTCCTATTAATAATGTGAATGTTTTATCTTGATTGTAAACAGCAGGAGTTATGCACAAGCCTCAGTCATAGCTTATCCGATCCATTGAAATTTGATTTTCTTTCAATTGCAATCTGAAGTGATTTCTAATTGTCTTTCAAGGGCAAACCCTGAGAGAATATTTGAAGTTTTCCTTGAAGTAGCCAAGCCTGACGGAGAAAAGGATGGAAGTAAGTGATTAAGGGCTTCATACTAAGAATCAGGGAAAAAAATAAATGTTGGGAAAGTTGTATTTTAACACATCAGTTGTTCATAGTCTCAAGTGCCATATCTTTGTATTCGTACTAGAATTCAGGAAGTAACTCATAGCTCACCCTCTTATATAAACAAATGATTTTATCCCAGAATCATTTTGGCTAAGGAAGCATATGTTGAAAAATGTCACATGATTGAAGAAATATTTAAGTTAATAGTGGAGATTTTTTTTTTTTAAATCGATTGTATAAAGAGTATTGAATTTTGTTTTTAGGACCAAAGTCCAATGCATTTTTACTGATGTATTCTATTTATTTTTTACAGAGGGAACGTTTATTGTCCAAAAGTATCCTCCAACTTTTAATGATGAGGTAAATAACATTCCTTTAAGTGAATTAACATATAGGTATTAATTGAAAGCATAACATAACAACTTTATAATGAATGCAATATAAGCTTAATTACATGTATCTTTATTGACATTTTTAAAAATTAATTTAATCCTGTCACATGGTTGCATATCAGTGATCATTTGAATACAGTGTACTACATACATACATGTATGTACTTAATCTACTTGTATTTATTGTACATTGCTAAATTTACAAAGGAATTTTGGTTTAGTTTGCTTATTCAATTTATTTCAAGTTAAGTCTTAGATTAGAAGTGACATGCTTAAATTCTCATTACACCAGTTTGTCCAAAGTTGTACATGTATTAGAGTTAAGAAGGTGATTAAAGCATTTCTTTTGATGAAGAGATGATTATAATGTTTTATTAGAAAAGTCCAAATCAATGAGTAAAATATGTTGTTTTATTGGGAAATTCCAAACTATCAGTGAAAGTTTTATATCATTTGAGAATGTTCACACAGAAGTCTTCTACATCAATACAAGTGAAAAATTTGAGGATTTTAAGTGAACTTTTCCTCTTTAAAGAAAACCTTATCTAGCTACATACTGAAGAAGTACTTTTTTCCGTGTGGTATTAATTTATGCTATGTACGCAGTTTCACATTTTCCGCGGAAATTTGCCCAAGCGAACTTAATATAAATGCAAAGCCTATAGTGACAGTCTAAGAAATCTGCGTAATTTTCATCATGCGGATTAAACGGAAATTGAGATTCCGCGGAATTAAGACCCCGCGGAAAAATGTACATCCACAGTATGTAAGTTTAGTCTTTAATCCATATATGCTCTAAATATGAGAATATTATATTTTTAGAATTAATAAACTGTATATGCTGTTTAGTATTACATGTTTAAAAATCTCAAGGTGTTATACCTTAGAGTAAGATTGCAACGTTTGCATTGCTTATCAGAAAAAAAATTATCCATTAAGTAAAGAGTATAATCACTGGTGAATATTTCTTATATCAGCTTTCAATTTATTCCCCCCACCACTAAAATGTTTTTGTTCATTTTTATCTTATCTAGGATACCCTCAAATCCGTGCCCAGTTTTGCTTTCCCCTGCGAGACAGACAGGTATACGTAAGTTTTTCATGGGCTGGGGCTTACTAACTGCAGTTTACGCTGACCCTCTTTGTATGGCTTCTCGGAGTGCAGACTCATGTCAATGGACATCACTCGTAATCCTGTTGTGATGAACTGCGGTATTTTTATCTGTGAAAAATATATATATGCAAATGCTGCATTTTGGATCTGACAAAAACTTCATTGCATTTGATCGTCATTTCATTGAAATATTTGAACTTGTCTTTAGATATTTTTGGAAAAACTATCTTTTCAATTTTTGCTTTAAAAAAAGAATTATATCGTCATTTGTCAGTGTTTATCGGAGATTGTTATCTGAGAGGCTTACATTCCTTTTCACTTTTATAATACACTAGAAAATAACATTAGCTAGTTTATGTAATTCATTGTACACTAATCATGAGCAAATGACTAGTATTCTGTATGAATATTATAAGCTAGTTTTTAGTTTTAATATCACACTGCCAAGGAATATTTATACAGAACTAGAATCTAAGATCACCACTTACTACATGTATCTTTGTACTAACAGTTGGTTTGATTCGTCTGAGAAATACCATTTTGTGTTGAACACTGTTGGAGATATGTGTGTGTACATTAATTAGAAACACATGGGAATGCATGTAAATGACAGAATAGCTTTTTGATGATTCACAAGTTTCAAGGAATTCTTATATCTTTCATGTTAATAGTTTATAAAGTTTCCTAGATGATGAAATTCTAGTTTCTATTTATCAGAGTTGTGACATTAACAGAATAAATAACATTTTTGATTTTCTTGTCCATGTAGAAGTGTTTGCTATTTTACCCCAAAAAAGTTATACTTTGCATTTTGCTGTATGTCGAGTCTAATCAGAAATTCTTAAGTCTACTTCAAAGAATCAAATTCATTCAAATGATGCATCAGACTACATGTATACTAGTACTTCAGAACGCATCTTCTCATGCATGCATCACACTGATCACAGCTGTAGATAAAACATGTTTACTAATTAACGTTTCAGAGTGTGTTTGTTAGCAAATTTTACAACATATTCTGATTTATACACCCAGGACAACCGTGGACCATTTCACCTTTGTGTTGACGGACTTGGAAAGTAAATACAAGTTTGGGTATTGCCGCTATGCCACTGGAGCTCAGACATGTTTGTGCATCGTCAGGTAATCATTGGAGATTTGTGTAAATTTTAATAGTTTTCGTTTAATAAATACTGCAAGAAGAATGAAAGAACAATCCTAATAAGTATTTACTCCGAGATACAGCTGTCTAATAGACACATATATGGATATTTTGTATTCAATTTTATTCAGTACAATGATACCGATAGATATTACATTTACAGTTTATAATTCATGAATTCCAATTAAAGTCGATTATCATCACAATTTAATCTCATTTTTCCTGGTTCCAGCTGCCTGCCTTGGTTCGAGGTTTTCTACAGCCTCCTTAACCTGTTGGCCGAGATGATCAACCGGAGTGAAGACAACGATGTAACGGAACTTCTACGGGCAGCGTACGCTAATGGCGTCCCTTCTCCTAACATGCCAACCACTATTGTGGCAGGACAAGAGGTAAACTTCTTAGATTCTTGCAGGGTTGTGCGTAAGACTAAGGGGCCAGGATTTTTCCATTCCTTAAATATAATGAATTACTTCCCCTGTTATTCTGGAAATGTCCCCTCAACCATGCTAAAGGGAATTAACCCAAGGCAAACTTTTAACTTTTGAAATGTTCCCTTCCATTTTAATTTTTATGGTCTAACTTGTTCTTGTGTCTGGTACATGTCTTGATTTACTTTTTAAGATTTATGAAATTGCAAAAGTTGTAAGTGTCAAAATAATATTTTTAATCATATGGTTCTATTGATTTTGATCTGATATTCATAGGGTTGTAAATGAATGATTTTCAAATTACATACATGTACTGTTTTTTTTTTTTTTTTTTTTTTTTTTTTTGCTTCATAACTCTTTGTAATATTGCAGTTTTGGAAATTCACACCACCAGATCTAGAAAAACTTCCAAGTATTCCCACAAGTGTAAGTTCAAACATTTTTTTTTACAGTAAAAAAAGTTTGTTAGAGAGTGATAATAAAATTGGATAAGACCACTTCAAATGATAATATCTTTGCATTTATGTGGTTATTTTAAAATAGTTGTATAATGAAAATCATAAAGCATGTGGACTCCAAAAATGTTAACCATTTTATTCTGCTAAAAACTGTTCAACTGGTAAATATGAAGTGAAATATAAAATGTCTACAATGAATGTCTCTTAAGTATTTGTTTTATTCAGGCCTGATCTGTTATAACAAAAAGTTCCTAAAGATACATTTCTGTAGCATATGTAGTTATATACAATATTTTAACACTATCATTATAACCTTGCCATGGCAAATCTTGATATTAAACATGAAAATTTGAGTTTGGAAAAGTCCTTTCAATTGGGAGAAAACAGAAGCATTAAATGTGTTTTTAACAGTTCTTTTTTTAACATTATGAAAAGTATGACTTGGGTTTTGAGCAGTTTACATATATTTGAAAACAATTACACATGCTATTTTTTTTTTCTTATAGAGGAATTTAACAGAGTATTACAATGCAGTGGATACTGAGAAAATGATGATCATTTTTGCCAGCATGCTTAATGAGCGGCGTATTTTGATAACATCCAAACGACTGAATCGTCTGACAGCCTGTGTGCACGCTTCTGCAACTCTTCTTTACCCAATGCACTGGTTAGTCTAGTCAATTTCTGATCAGACAGGGTAAATTTTTTTTTTATTAAGATTTACATATGGAAGTCTGAATTAGCTTTCTCATTAACTTTCTTCTTCTTTTTCCAGGCAACACTTATTCATTCCAGTTCTACCAGCTTTCCTTATTGACTACCTCAGGTTAGTTGAATTAAGTAATATTGTATACAGGGTTATTTTTGTCATTTTACACTTGCACACAATTTTGTTCTGTTTTTAATTTCATTTGCCTAGTCATATTTTTATTTAAGAAATTATAAGGTATTCCTTGAATTCGCTCTGTTTTAAATTTACCCAAAATGAGGGAAGGGCGAAAATAAAACAGGAGCAAATATTTCCCTGTATACTTTATCAAATTTACCTGTATACATGTACAACCAATGTGGAGAAACAGATTGAATTTTAATTTGAAAGCTTTAAAAGATATAAGTCTGACTGTGTTTTGATTATACATTGAATTTTTCCTCTTTACAGTGCACCAATGCCATATTTAATAGGAGCTCATAAATCACTAGTAGAGGTAAGCATTTCTTTATTTTGAGGTTATAATGTATTCTATATTCACTGATTTTAAATCTTCAATATAAAGAAATACTTGATCTTTTTTTCTCAACAGAAAATGAGAGACAGTGAGCTAGGTGATGCTGTTGTGGTGGATGTTGATGAGAATAAAATCCTGAAGAACTGTTTTAATGACTTAGAAGAACTGCCATCAGATATTGTAAGTACACAGTATTTTATTAATTAGTGAAACTACTTGTTTAAAAAGCAAACACATGCACTTTAAGGTGAAACTTTGTTTTATAAGACACAGTAAGCTTGTCTCTTGGTAACCAGGGGAAAAAATCATACTTTATACAGGTGTAAGGTACATAAGACTTATGTGTGATCTGTTGTCTATTGTAGCAATCCTACTTGAAGAAACACCTAAAGAAGGACAAGATAGCACTTGCTATGGGAACATCTGGTGATGCCATTCCAAGAACCTTCCTCATGGCACTTGTCAAGTTAATAGGTATAAATATCTCAGATAGAAAAAATAATTCATTCTTATCAAAGCTTTAAGTTTAGTTTATAGTTTCCATCATCTTTATTTAATGCTACTTAAAATTGCTTTTGAAATATATTTACTCTGTGCATGCATGTAAAGTAATTGAAAAAAATTTTCGTTTGTGCCTGCTTGTAGGAGGCTACAGGGATGCCCTAAAGTTTCATCCAGGAGAAGAGATTACATTCAATCCTCAGGCTTTTGTACAGTCCAGACCAGAAAATATGCAACCATTCCTAGAAAAAATTCTTCACCTGCAGATATTTCAAGAAGTATTATTTCTTGCATCTTTTTTTGTTAACAAAAAATACAAAAATATATGTGAGAATAAAATACATTGTATTCTTGAGCAGACAAACTTGCATAATTACAATAAAATAATGATCTTGTGAATAAAAATAGATTAATAGTATTTGATTGTTATCAAGGCAGTGATAGAAATGCAATAATATGTAGACTCTTTTGTAAAACTATAGATCATTCATGTAAATTTCATACTTGACTTGCCTTTCCAGACAGCAACAAAAGTAAATTTTGATTTGATTGTACATTTTAGTTCATCAATGAAAGATTGGACATGTTAAACTGTGGAGAGGGATTCACAGATATTTTTGAGAGAGAGGCCATGACAAGGGCAGATAAATTGAATACTCAATCTCGCTACAAAGACTGGCTTCATAACGTTAAGGTAAAGTGTGAAAAAAAAGTTAAACAAAACACTGAATTTAACTTGAAAGGCTGGCATAATAATGTTTTAGTAAGATTATCAAGGTCAAAAGAAAGAAACATTTATTTCAAGGTTCAGTGCATTGAATACTTAATTCTGTAACATATAAAGACTTTTTAATTGCATAAGTGCAATACAGGTATAAGAAAGATACATGTAAGTACTTAATAAAAAGACAATTCCGCAGTGTTTATAATGTAACGATAAAGAAAATTAAAAGCATATATATATATTTAAATATATATGTATGAAATTACTATCGAATTGATTGAACCATGTGAATGTCATTTTTCAGTCGCAGGGTAAAAGGTTTCAGAGAGGAGGCAAGGATGTTTGGGCAGATTTCAAGGAAAAGGTAATTTTAATAAAAAAAAAATAATCCAATTAATAAATGACTTAATTAAATTTTTCATTGTTGGACAAAGAGCTTTTTAAGATTTCAGACACTTTAAAAAGAGTTTATGGGAACACAGAATTTGAATCATTTCATCTATGCACATCTTTAACATACTCTTACATCATTGTATTATGTTTTGAGTGTGGCTATTAATGTGCCTTATAAGTATGCTGTGCCTATGTAAATTGTATCACAAATCAACTATAAGATATTCACATAAAAAAATTCTTGGAAAGTTTTATGAAATGGATTGTTGACATAAAATTTATACAGGCAGACACTTGTAATATAATCCTTAGAGTCATACACATGTTTTAATCATAGTAAAATGACAATTTAGGATATATGTAAAAAATGTACATGTATATCATATACATGTACTGTAGATCACCAGATTTTCACAATGTCTTATTTGGCAAGATTAGTATATTTATAAGCATATTCTGGATATTGTTGTGTAATCTTTACAAATAAAAATTTACATGAGATTGAAATTTTTCATGAACAGTTCAAGACTGTCTTTTATAATTATGCAAAAAAAAGTTTTGGTGAATAAAAAGTGATTTACAGTATACATATAAGAGATGTCTCTATGTTTCTATTTGTATCCTTGTCCTTTATAAAACAGGCTGCTCCAACTGTTACCAATATGATGGATAATGTAAGTCTGCATTAGCATGGTGTCTTGTCCATTATGTTCAGTGTCTATGCCTACATGTATGTTTCAGTTTATTTGCCTATCTTATAGCAAAGATGGTATATCGTCACAAGCAATACAAAAAAAATAATTTTAATACCTCACACTCCTAACCACCACACTAGCTGCTTAACCAACACATGTATACATAGCTGTATTGTATGAAAAAAGGGGGGTATTTAAAAAAAAAAAAGAGGGAGAGAATTTTAATACCGTATATCAGGATTTTTCCGCGTGTATCCAATTTCCGCTTTGTTCGCGACGAATTCTGAATCGCGGAAAATAAATCAGCGTAAATTTAATACAAAGTTTTCTTTTTGTAGTAGAATTATTTCTTGATGCTTATATCGTAGAGGGTAGAAATAGCGGGATCAGAGGACAAGCGCAAGATACCGGTAATAGGTATAAGCCCTTATTGATTGTTTACTAATTGACAAGCTAGCTAATTATATGGGTCACGTTCCTCGAGAGAAGCTATTAAACTAATTATACCTGAGCTGCTAATCAGTTTGAAACAGTAAATGACCTACGATTGTTTAAATCTTAAAAAATAATATCTGTGGATTTGAGAGTTAGTACGCAAAACAGGTGTGTAATAAGCTGAGCGGGTCTTCCGAAATTGACGAGGTGAAGGTCGATCGATCTATTTCTTACCAATATGAAGTAACTCAAGCTAGCTTAATGACTTTACATTTTACATCCAGTTCCTTCATAGCCTTAAACAATTGTTAAAAATATAATCACTGGGACTTTGAAATAGTGAAAATTTGATTCGCGAAAATTTAATATACTGATTTAGGTTCTGATTCGCGGAAAAAACATGACGCGGAAAAATCCTGATATACGGTATATTTAACAAGTTTAACAAAATATTATACTTGAAACTTGGGCAATAAGCTCACCTGCTTCACTCCTTGATCTAAAGCTTTTTTTATACCCCCGCAAACGAAGTTTGGGGGTATATAGGAATCACCTTGTCCGCCTGTCTAGCTGTCTGTCTGTCTGTGCAAACGTGTCCGGTCCATATCTATCTTACGGAGGGACATTAGAATCTACTACTCCACACAAAGATTGCCAATGACCTAAAGGTGTTTCATGACCTTGACCCAAGGTCATTTGGGGAAGTTCAAGGTCACTGGAAGAAAAATTTCATAATTCGTGTCCGGTCCATATCTTTCTTATGGATAAACTTGGTAGGTTCTCATTTCACACAAAGATTGCCCATGAACCAAGGGTGTGTCGTGACCTTGACATAAGGTCATTTGGGAAACTTCAAGGTCACTAGAAGAAAAATTTCATAATTCGTGTCCGTACCATATCTTTCTTATGGATAAACTTGGTAGGTTCTCATTTCAAACAAAGATTGCCCATAACCCAAAGGTGTGTCATGACCTTGACCCAAGGTCTTCTGGGGAAGTTCAAGGTCACTGGAAGAAAAATTTCACAATTCGTGTTCGGTCTATATCTTTCTTATGGATAAACTTGGTAGGTTCTCAATTCACACAAAGATTGCCCATGAACCAAGGGTGTGTCATGGCCTTGACCCAAGGTCTTCTGGAGAAGTTCAAGGTCACTGTTAGAAAAATTTCATAATTTGTGTTTGATACATATCTTTATTATGGATAAACTTGGTAGGTTCTCTTTTCACACAAAGATTGCCCATGACCTTAGGGTGTGTCATGACCTTGACCCAAGGTCTTCTGGGGAAGTAAAGTTCATAATTTGTGTCCTGTCCATATCTTTCTTATGGATAAACTTGGTAGGTTCTCAATCCACACAAAGGTTGCCCATGACCCAAGGGTTTGTCATGACCTTGACCCAAGGTCATTTGGGGAAGTTCAAGGTCACTGGAAGAAAAATTTCATAATTCATATGTGATACATATCTTTATTATGGAAAAACTTACTTCTGAAATACCCAGCGGGGGGTATTTTGTCCCGTTTGGACAGTTCTAGTTTTGTTTTGGGTCACTTTTGATTTATTGATACCCTTTCCCATTTCTTGTCATCTGAAATTTATCATGTGTCTTTTAAAAATCTTATCTGTTTTGAAAATATAGCAAATAAATAGTATCTTGATGGCAATAAGTGATAAAGCCTTAAAAAAAAATGTTGTGGGCTTTTAACCTGGGTGGATGGGGGATAAGTAAATCATAATTTTATAATGTTCATTTTATTTTTCAAGACTTATACTCATTTACCTTATTTAAGAACCAAGCTCTGAAGAGTCCTAAGAAAATTGTAAAAATTTATGTCACATGAGTCCAAAGTGTTACAATCTAAAGTGCAACAAATTAGGAAAAACTCATGATACACAGAGTATCTTGTTTAACAGTGTATTGTACATGTATTCGATAACTGAGGCTAATACTAAGTTTGTAACTTGAGTCTGTTAGCATAGAGTGTAAATGTTCAGATTTACATGTAGTTGATAAATTATTTCCATTATTTGTATGATTTTGTTTCTTATGTTGTGTATAGTTTATTCAGTTGAAATCATTGATCAGTTTTTCATTTAGATTGGAAAAAGAAATTCTTTGCATGAAATATCAAATTTTACATTGACAGTTGAAAGAACTTGAGGGTTCTATTACTGGTACATGTATACATGTATGTCAAAGCTATTGCATTTCTGTAAAACTGACTTTTGAGTAATCTTTTATAAGATTACAAAACATCCTTCAGATTAATCATACTTCAATCTTGCAGCATGCTATTAACAGTGGCCAAAGGACCATATCTGAACGTTTCATTTTATCTGTTTTTTCTTGCATTTTCACATTTGAATACATGTATGAAGACTCAAATATCAAAAAAATTGATAAAAAAACAAAACACACCTGTACAATATGGTTCAATTTTTCTACCTTTTTTTCTCTCTTTCTCATTGTAGATTCGAGACAGAACAAAGAAAAATTTCTCCAACATTAGAGACAGATTAAATGACCTTCAAAAATCCAAGGTAGGGTATGGATGGAATTAATAGTCACTTAATCAAGGGAAGGAGAAAATGTCCTTTACACCTGTTTGCTAAAGCAGAGGCTTCACTAATAAGTGGCAGTGATTTTCCCTCTTTTGTTATTTATCCAGGTTTGCTTTTCACTTGTAGTAACAGTTAAAATGGAATTTTGAATTTCAATGCACTAAAATTTATGACACCGAATTTGAATGTTTAGCACTGGCACAACCAAAAAAAAAAAAATCAAAATTTGAAATATTTTATACAGATAACATATAAATTGTGGTTTGAAACATGTCAGTTTGTTGTTAGAGTATTGTTGTTAATTTCAAGTTGTTAATTACATGTTGTGAAATGAAATGGTAGAAATGTAGTGGCTTATTTGTGTTGGTGGAATGAATGTACATATACCAGTACAGTGTATATACTGTGTGGCTGATATTGTTAGCATGCATATGTACAGGCATCAAATGACAGTGCATGGCCATACCTATTTGTAAAACTGCAACAGAAAATATAAAATTCAGAAATATATTAAAGACAGTTTCCCTGATATAAAATTCACATGTAATTCAATGCCACCTATATATGTGTTTTATTTATTTAATATATGTTTTCAGCAAGAATATCTAGTTTATAGTTTATTTGCATTTTATTTTTCCTGTTTACATATAACTGTTATTTTGTACATATATATATATATTAATTATTATTCTCAAACAGCACAGAGCTTTCCATTTTTTTTAAAATTAGAAGATTTAAATCGAATTTAACAGAATTTACTTGCACAGCATGACATTTTTGATTTATTACACAGTAGTAACTTCAGTGGACCATATATTTAAAACTTATTCTAATTATAATGTAAATAAGGAAGAGTTTTTCCTAGCAGCCCCCTTGAAAGTTTATGTGTTTCAGGATGAAAGTAAATCTTCACGTTCACCTGGGGTCCGTCACGATCGACCGAAAACCATCAATCTGGGACAAGACCTGCGCGCCCAGCGAGTAAGTGGGCGTGGCCTTTCTAATCCCACACAAACTAAACAGTACACAGACTTACAAGAGCTTTGTCAAAGAATTTTTTTCAATAACCAAAGATACGTACATGTATCAATTTAAGATATCGTTTTAACTATTGGACTGGCATGTAAGAAAATTTAATCATGCATATTTTTGGAAAATTTTAGAGACAAATTTCAGTTTAAGGACATGCTACAAACAAATTTAAATAAACAAAAGAGCATTGATATGGACCTATTTTAGTTGTTTGTAAATAATACAAATTTCTGATATAGTAAGACTCAGTTATAATGAAGTTACTGGGACCTAAGAAATTGCTTAGTTATGTCCATAATTCGTTATATCCGTTTAAGAAATTCGTTAAATTTAGAGAGTTGGGGATCCAAAATGACTTCGTTATATCCATCAATTTGCAATATCCATGTTTGTACTAAACAAGTTTTACTGTATTATAAAAAAAAAATTAGGATATTCTACGATGTTCAAAATTTTACTCTTTTGCCTGACCTACCTTTAAATCTATGCAATTTATTTTATATGATTTATTTTATTAGACATAATTGTCAAACTTTGAAGCTTTGAAGGAAAAGTAAAAATTTGTGCAGCTAAATTTATATTCATTTTACATGTGCCTGTATGAATCAATTATATATGAACATGAACAATTGTTCTCACTTTTTGATAAAAGTATGTTTGTAGCATCTGTTCTTAACAGAATATGTACATTTATATAAAATTTAGCCAAAGATATAATACAATGCATACCTGTATTGTCTGTGTACTAAATAAACAGAGCTTATGAACAGTATTTCTAAAAAATAAATTAATCTTTTTTCTTTAATGAACATCAAAAAAGAAGTATGAAATTATAATATTTTTCTCATTAAGAAGAGGCCATTTTTTTCTCTCTCCTTTTAATTTTGGTATGTGGTACATTTATTTGAAGATTGCATTCTTAGGTTTTTTATACCTGCTTTTTTTACACTGTTCAATCAATTCATGACAGAAAGTACAATTCTTCCATGTTTCAATTTCTTAACCAAGTTTTTTTTTTAATTACTGAAAGAGTCTTTACTGTAATCAAATTGTATATTTAAATAGGATAAAAATTCTTCACAACATGTGAGCATGGATTTTCTTTTTTTTTATGCAAATGCATAGCTTTCTTCATTATCTTGCATGAACAAATTAAAATAAATATATTAATAATTTAAAAATAAAAAAAAGAAATGAATGTTGAAAATTAAACTCTGCATGAATTGAATGATAACCCATGCATGGCTATTATGGGCATGCTTATGGCATGTTTGTTGAAATATTTATTTGCAAAAGTAATTTGGGTAAAAGGAATTTAATTGGCACAAAGATCACCCAATATATTGCTATGGTTGTTGGTTCAGTTTGACTTTGTTTATTTATATGACAGCCAATGAGGCCAGGAAAATCCCCTGACACGCAGTCTGTGAAGTCTTTAAAGGTCTATGGAACTCAAGAAAGGTAATGCTTATTTTCAAACAATAACAAGCCATTCAAGATTTGTTTGGTTTTGAACAAATATGACATCAAATTGAAAAGGGATGTGCATGGTGAAATATCATTAGGCCATGATCAGTGTCTAGCAAGACATTCACCATGTATATTTGCCAAAAAAGGGTTTTATGTTTACAGGTATACTATAAAAGTACTTCATTCCACGGGGTCATAATTCCGCAGAAACAACATTTCTATTCAATCCGCAAGTATGAAATTACACGGATATCTTGGATTGTAGTTATATGTCCTTAGTGAATCTTTAGTACGCTGTGACAAATTTCTGTGGAAAAATTGTGTTTGGCTACATAGTGGAAATTAATCCCACATGGAAAAAAAAGTACATCTACAGTATGCTGTTAATGTTATTTAATGGAAATGAATTTGTCAATAATTTGGCATACTGGTAGATTTGTTTTAGCACTTTCGGATATGCTTTATTTGATTACACACACAAGCAATTTTTTTGATTTGGTGAAAGTTGCTTTCCATGAAAGGCACTAAATAGAATACACAACAAAATGTTTGCGGTATTTCTTTTGTCATGAATAAAACATGATTTACAGTACTTACTACATGTACTTCAGACAAAATGGCACTTTATTAATTAGAAATTTCATGTGTTTATTGTACAACAATAAGACTAGGTAACAAAATACAAACACATATTGCTTTTAACAGGATGACAAAGTACAAGATAATTGAAGAAAAAGAGAAGACGCAGGATGACTCTGGAATGGATTTACCTTACAACCGAGTTAGTATCAATCTCCTAGGTGACCCTGACATCCAGAATGCCCTGAATAAATCGGCCAGTGCTGAAGACCTTGTCTCCCCGCGGGGGTACTCCTTGGTATGTCTGGTGATAGTGGCCAAGCATGACTCCTACTCCCTCTGTATGCACATGTTGTCACTGGAAGAGCAGCCTCTATCATGCCTGGGTCATTCACTGCACTTGTTGTACACATTGTCTGAAGCTGCATGTTATGTTCATTATCTCAATCACCACTCTGGTAACTTTTATAATGGGGTTTTTTGGTACTGGGTTATATTTTTAAGCTTATTATTGTCGGTTTTAGGGGAAAAATGAATGCTGATTTCTTTTTTCAATTGGAGAGTCTTGCTTATTGTTTCTTTGCTGCCTAAGTGCCTGAGATGCAGCTTGTATTTAAAACAATATCTCATTATAAAACTCAATCTTGCAAGAAAATTGCTATTTAATGAGAAGGGAGATCTACTATGTCTTTTCAAAGTATAACCATTCTTTTGCTGAAAACATTGTGAAGATTAGTTTTAAACGAGAAAAAGACCCATCCATACCCCCCAAGATTGATGACTTCTTGGCTATATGGCTTTAGTTTGAATTTGCCTAGCTGCAGATCTGTCGCGTTATGGTTTTATATATTTGTCTTTGACCATAACGCTACAGATCCCGTAATGCAAAAAAGGTGCAATTTACGGCGCAATATTTTTTGCGCACTTTTGGGGAGAATTTCTCCACTTTTTAGCATTGGTGACTCAACTACCTTTCACTCCCTAATTCTAGACACATTCTGTAGCCAATATGTATATTTTATCCAACTCCCAACCATTTATTGTTGTCTCTACAGGCAATAAACTCGCTTGAAGTGAATTTTCAGCAATCTAACAAATAATTTTAATCAAGCGCGTTTATCACTTGTAGAGATGACTATAAAGGGTTGGGAGATGGATAAAATAAACAGATTAGTTAAATAGTGTGCCTAGAATTAGGGAGTGAAAGATAGTTGATTGACCAATGCTAAAAAGTGGAGAAATTCTCCCCAAAAGTGCGCAAAAAATATTGCACCGTAAATTGCACCTTTTTTGCATTACGGGGTCTGTAGCGTTATGGTCAAAGACAAATATATAACACTACAGATCTGCAGCTAGAATTTGCCTTCTTTTCTGGTATTATTTGAACTTGCAATCATCTGCTAGATTTTGATCATTTGTTGGTATGAAAAAAAACCCTACAAACCATCTCCCATTTTGGTTTCTTCCTCATCAAAGCATTTATTTCACTATTATTGATGAATGAGTTTGAATCAATAATCAGTTCGCTTGCTTAATATCTCGTCTATTTGAAAATTCTATAATACATGTGTATATATTGTATATATTTCTTGTATTCAGATGGGTGTATAATATTTCTTTGTATTTATTACTCAATTAAAATGAAAAATGCATGCCTAGTGCAAAAACACATTGTCTGAAACCTAGAACATGTTAATAAGTACATGTACCGGAAGATTTTAGTTTTCCAATATGTATTCCTTTCGCACAGTAGACAAAAATTAATGGAAGTTTTGCACGTCACGTGGGTTCCAGGCTTTCACAAAAAGTATTCATGTCACACACACTCCTCTCATAACCATTCTGTCAACATCCAAAATTTGCCACTATACCAGTGTTCATAGATTTTTCCAGGGGAAGGGAGGAGGGGTTACTGTGTATTTAATAGCAGCTGATTAAAATGATTTTCATTGCATTGAGATGTGTGGAAAACTTAGGTAATGGAAATTTCCTTAAAAATTGGAATAAATTTTCATCTTTCTGTGAGAAAAACATTAATTCTTATTCACCACTGATTTGAATTTAATTCATCATATCATGTTTTATAGAATGTTATTCAATTATTTTACACTACAGTCTTTATTTTCTTTTTGTATCATTTCTTGTAACTTTAAATGCTGATGTTGTCCAATATCACTTTTGTCCTTGAGTTAAATGTCAACTTCAGCACTAAGAAGTACGTACATAAATAGAAGTACATGCAAATATGAATAAAATTAAGGTTCAATCTACAATGTTAACCATCTGTGAACTTCAATTTTAAGAATTATTTTACTTTATCTCTAATCAGGGGGTTCAAAACACATCCCTTGTTTCATACAGTATGCTAGTTTTCTACTGTATAAAAACATATATTATATAGTAGAATTAGTGTTATTATATAGTAGAAAACAAGCGTACTGTATGAAACAAGCACCTGTGGTTCTGTGTCAACAATACCAATAATGATTCATTTGTTATTTCTGTTCCAGATTGACATGGCCGAGGAATCAGATTCCTCCTGCAACAGTTCCCCTGCTTTCTCCTCCCTCATAGAGATTGATTCCCACAGTATTGGATCCACTGGCACCCAGGACAGCTTCAGTGCTCTCCCCTTGGCCGATGGCTCAGACTCTCAGAGCAATACATCAGACTTTGAAAACATAGGCTCTCGACCAGTGGCTCCACCAAGGCGTAAGAAGATGGAAAGGAATAAGAATGAAAATCTGGTTGTGAAGGATCGGATAATAGGTGCTAGACCCAGGCCTGCACCTAGGAAAAGTCTAACAGACGAAGTGAAAGTAGAAGCTGAACAAGTTAAAACTGAAAGTGAAACAAAGCCAGCGGAAGTGTCTAAGCCCCTGATTCAATTAGATTCGGTGGATGATGATTTTGATCCGTTCTCCTCACCTAAATCACAAACTGTTGGAACAGTCGCGACACTGAGAGAGATAAGTGAAGGATCACCATTGCTTAAGAGAGCAGACGCTTTTAAGAAACAGAACGGCAGAACACCAAGAGACAATTCCTCTGAAAGGAAAACTGATAGTAATGTGACACAACCAAAGGGACTGGATGGCATTGAAACTTTTGATCCATTAAGTAACCCTTCTTCAGAACAAACAGAAGCCAAGGAAGAACCCAGGAAAAGTGTGCACGAACTAATGCAGGCCTGGGAACTAAATAACTTACCCATATCCCAAAACCCAGCCCACCCTGGAGCAAAACCTTCTCTTGCACAAAAGTCACATTTAGGCTTTCCCAGCCCTCCCCATTTCACTTCTAGTCAACATCAACCCCTCTCTAGACTAAGTAATTTTTCCCCTCACAAAATTCAACAGGCCTCTGTAGAAATGTCTGGCCATAGACTTGCCCATTCCTCTGTGCATTCTTCTGTGGCGTCCTCTCATCATACCAGTGGTAGCTCCGTGGGGAGCTCCACCGCATCAGCTGACCGATCGTCAGATCCGTTCACAGACTTACTAGAACAGTCACTTAAAAGCGGGGGAAGTCCCTCGCCACAGAAAAAATGGGAGACATTTGAATAACTGTGTTTTGAATGGGTAACAGAGAAGGTTTTAGTGGTATCATGTGCCAGAAATGTGTTGGGATTCGGTAGTATTTATGTAGTTCTGTTAATTACAATATCTATGAATGATAATGCTACTCCATTATTTTTGGCTGGTCTACTTTTATTGCCATCTATGAATGGTTCAAGAACTAAGTGACTGCTTATCACTCTATATTTATTAAACTATATTTTTCCCCCCCCCCCCCCCCCCAAGATTTTAGAATTTTTAATTTAAAAATGCTTTTTTTAGTGATTATGATGTTTAAAAATCCAAGACTAAAGAGAAGCTAAATCAAATTATTTTTTATCATGTTTATAAAATTATTACTAACTTTACATATACTTATTCCGTATTTGCATTAATGGCAAATTTACAAATCAAATTTTGTACTCTTTAATAACAATAAATAGCATTTAAAAGGAAGAAAAAACATTCCAAATTACAATAAGAAATATTTGAGATACTGATTATATTAATTTAAACAAAACAGAATAGATTTCTGGGCTTTGTTAAACTGGTGTAGCCGGACTGTAATTTCAAATGTTCTTCCAGTTTAGTATTACAGTAAAACTTGTTGAATAAGGTCACCATTGTTTCCATAGAAATCGGTTGTATTAGAAAACATTCTGGATTAGACAGCATTTCAACCAATTAAATTTACTTATAGAAACTTGATGTTTACTTTTATAGAGACTTGATGTTTACTTTGTATTAGGCAAGAGTTCGGAATAAAATAACATCCAGATAAGACAAGTTTTACTGTACTATATGATTTTATGCAATTTAATGAATGAAAAATACATGTATTTCCACCTTTCTGCCTCTTTGTAATAGAAATTTGCTCAGATGAAGGATACCTATACAGTGAGGAATGGAAGTGAGCTATCAATATATGGAGCACTGAGCAGCAGCCACAAATAAAATGGCTCAAATAATAATTTCTTTAAAAAGCATGCAAAGGTTAGATATTTACTACCGGGTAATTATTATCAGTACTGAAAACTAAAATTGATCAGATTTTAAATGGTACCCTTGAAACCAAATATTCCATATCATAGGTTATTATAACAAACCTTTGAATAGTATACCAGTATTTCAGATCGATATATTGCTTGAAATGTGTTTTTATGCGATAATCAAGCCCAAACAAGTTTTGTCAGTTTGCAGGTCTATAGAAGAATTTGTCACTCGTTTTCCCCATCTTGTTTTTCAATTGCTCTCTGTTTAAGATTTAATGTTAATGATGTTTTAGTCTTGCTTGTATGTAAAAAACAAATATATTTTTATGAAAGAGTGTGATATTTTTGTTTTGTCTCATGAAAAATTTATATATTGCCTTCAGTGAAGGGATGACCTCATTGTTTTCTCCTTTACCCATGTGTCATTTCCATTTTTGTTGAAACCTTTGATTTCAGTTGATTCAGAATTTAATCAAACTGGTACTTATGACTCAGTAGTTATCATGTTCTCTACTGAAGGTCACATCTCAAAGGCAAAGGCCAGTAGGCAATGAGGTATAAATTGTGCCCTGGCCTGGGGGCCATAAAACTTAGACGAGCTCACTTTTGATCTCATTCTCACTTTTTTTCAAAGGAATATATAGTGGAAAAGTCAGATTGAGATCAAAAGTGAGCTTGTCTAAGTTTTATGGCCCAAGGCCCTTGATCTGACTATTACAAGCTTGTCAATGAGTAGAACTTTGAGTGGCTTATTATAAATAATTAAAAGTCAAGGACACTAAGTAAAAAGATTTCGAAATTCTTTCTTGATGAGAATGGAATGTATTTTGGGCTTATGTTGAGAAGTAAAGGGTGTTAAGAAAGTTCATATAACATTTTTCTTTTATTTTCAAAAAGAAATACGATGAGAAGATATTTACAATTTGTGATATTTCATGTTTACAGACTCCATTCTTGCTACTGATAAGGTTTTAACTTTCTTTTGTTGAATCAATAAGGGAAGGGCAGGTATTAAAACAGATGATGTCTGTTCAGGAAAAAATCATGGATGATACATATTTGTGACATATATTAAGCACTCAGGTCAAAAAATCCTTTCAAATACTATGCAAAAATTATTATTTACTTCATATGTGTTCAAGAATTTATCATGATTCTTTATACTTGTTGAAGGTCCTTTTAATGACAAACCTATTTTTAAAAGTGATATATCGTTCTTATATCTACGCTCATCAGCTTATCTGATTCAAGATAAGACATGAAGAAACAAAAGTAAATTATCCTTTATTTTCACTCAAAATGACCGACATTTCTCTCATTCGGGTGTTTTAAAGATAAAATTTTTTTCATATGGAAGAAAAATCCTATAATTTCCTGCTAGAAATGATTTGCTATAAATCTAAAGCGCACTCTTGTGATTTTGTCAGACTTGAGAATTCATCTCTTTAGTTAAGCACTACTTTGAAATTTTTGAAAATATTTCATCCTGGAACAAACTTTCTTAACACCCCTTATATAACCACAAGGTCAAATTACTGTCAAGTTATCTTGAACTTGGCGGGACTGAGATAAAAACTTCAAGATATCCAAGACTTTTATGCCCCCAGCAGGTCAAGGTTCAAGTTTCCAGATGGAAGTCTGACTCTTTGGTCAAGACTAGAGAGTTTAAAAAAATATTGGTACCCAAAGAAATAATTTGTCATATGAAAGCCCTAGTTGCTGAAAATATTACCAAAGTCATTTGTCTTCTTTAAAGTGCATTTAGATCTATATATGTGGGTCATGGTCCAAGACCGATCGCTTTAACCACTAAGCTACGAAGTATATGCATTATCAACGTCTGTCAGTATGATTTAAATGAACAGGTTTGTTGAAGCGTACATTTTTTCAGAAATTTTCAATTTTTCATATAGAATGGGTTCAGATTCCATTTTTTGGACAAATGAAATAGATTTCACATTTATGTTTCCATCATTTGAGCATTAACGAAGAATGGAGACTTGACCCATTCATGTTCAAAATTCATTTTTTATGGCTCTTAAGTAAACCCATTCTCCACTAAATATGCTTAATTGTCAATTTTGAAATAAAGATGAAAATGATAAGTCGTTCAGTAAAATAAAATGATAAAATGTTTTGAAGATGACATAACCAAGAACATGATTTTAGAAAAATATAACTTTTCTGTGAATTTTGAAAATTGAGAAACATTTTGTCTCAGAGCGGGGGATTGTCCATGCCTTATATGCTCTCTTTCTTTGCCCAGTGGTTTCTGAGAAGTTATAAATATTATGAAAAATTTTCAAAGGAATGCCTGACTTCAACGTGAGCCTTTGACACAAATGATTTATAGAAGGCCATCTTTAAAAAAGTTTGTTTACCCTCTCCCGACTCAGTGTAAAAATTTGGGTTGGTAAGTAGGTGAGAATTTTTTTCCACCAGCAAATTACAAAATACTTGTTTAGGGGATGGGAAAATTCGACGATAAAAAGAACGAAAAAAGTTTTGAGTTCCGCTGTTTTCAGTCAGTCAAACAAAAGGACAATTTATTAAAGATGTGCAAGGGATGATCTTTAAACAAGAGGCCCATGGGCCACATTGCTCACCTGAGAAGCTTTGACCATTCTGTTCTTTACCAGATTTCCTCCTTGTAATACATATTGTGACCCCATCCTACTCCACTGATCATAATTTAGACAATTTGATATCTACACTACCCAAGGATGCTTCCTTGTAAGTTTCAGCTTTTCTGGCCCAGTGTTTCTTGAGAAGAAGATTTTGAAAGATTTTTTCCTATATATTTCTATGTAAAACTTTGATTCCCAATTGTGGTCCCACCCAACCCCCTGGGGTCATGATTTGAACAATTTAGAATCTACACTACCCCAGGATGCTTCCACATAAGTTTCAGCTTTTCTGGCCCAGCGGTTCTTGAGAAGAGGATTTTTCAAAGATTTTTCTTATATATTTCTATGTAAAACTTTGATTCCCTATTGTGGCCCCGCCCAACCCACGGGGGTCACGATTTAAACAATTTAGAATCTACACTACCCCAGGATGATTCCACAAACGTTTCAGCTTTTCAGGCCCAGTGGTTCTTGAGAAGAAGATTTTTTAATGACCCCAGCCTATTTTTGTCTTTTCTTGATTATCTCCCCTTATGAGGAGACTTGACCCTTTATTTTAACAATTTAAATTCCCCTTCACCTAAGGATGCTTTGTATCAAGTTTGGTCAAAATTGGCCCAGTGGTTCTTGAGAAGAAGTCGAAAATGTGAAAAGTTTACAGACGGACGGACAGCTAGACGGACGACGGACAAAATGTGATCAGAAAAGCTCACTTGAGCCTTCGGCTCAGGTGAGCTAAAACAAGAGGCCCATGAGCCACATCGCTCACCTGAGAAGCTTTGACCATTCTGTTCTTTACCAGATTTCCTCCTTGTAATACATAATGCATCCCCACCCTATCCCACTGATCATAATTTAGACATTTTGAAATCTACACGACATTTTGAAATCTTCACAACCCCATGACCCTTCCATGTGCACCTAAGTTTCATCTTTCCTGGCCCAGTGGCTCTTGAGAGGAAGATTTTAAAGATTTTTCCTTATATTTCTATGTAAAACTTTGATTCCCTATTGTGGCCCCGCCCTTCCCCCAGGGGTCATGATTTGAACAATTTAGAATCTACATTGTGTACACTACCCCAGAATGCTTCCACATAAGTTTCAGCTTTTCTGGCCCAGTGGTTCTTGAGAAGAAGATTTTCAAAGATTTTTCCTATATTTTTCTATATAAATATTTAATTCCCAATTGTGGCCCCGCCCTTCCTCCGGGGGTCATGATTTGTATAATTTGGAATCTAAACTACCCCAGGATGCTTCCACATAAATTTCAGCTTTTTTGGCCCAGTGGTTCTTGAGAAGAACATTTTCAAAGATTTTTCCTTTATATTTCTATGTAAAACTTTGATTCCCCATTGTGGCCCCGCCCTTCCCCCAGGGGTCATGATTTTTACAATTTAGAATTTACACTACCCAAGGATGCTTCCACATTTGTTTCAGCTTTTCTGGCCCAGTGGTTCTTGAGAAGATTTTCAAAGATTTTTCCTTTATATTTCTTTATTAAACTTTTATTTCCCATTGTGGCCCCGCCCTTCCCCCGGGGGTCATGATTTGAACAATTAGAATAAACACTATACCAGGATGCTTCCACATAAGTTTCAGCTTTTTTGGTCCAGTGGTTCTTGAGAAGAAGATTTTCAAAGATTTTTCCTTATATTTCTATGTAAAACTTTGATTCCCCATTGTGGCCCCACCCTTCCCCCAGGGGTCAAGATTTGAACAATCTAGAATCTACACTACCCCAGGATGCTTCCACATAAGTTTCAGCTTTTCTGGCCCAGTGGTTCTTGAGAAGATTTTTCAAAGATTTTTCCTATATACTTTGATTCCCCATTGTGGCCCCGCCCTTCCCCCGGGGGTCATGATTTGAACAATTTAGAATCTACACTACCTTAGGATGCTTCCACATAAGTTTCAGCTTTTCTGGCCCAGTGGTTCTTCTTCAGAAGATTTTTTAATGACCCCACCCTATTTTTGTCTTTTCTTGATTATCTCCCCTTGTGAGGGGACTTGGCCCTTTATTTTAACAATTTAAATTCCCCTTCACCCAAGGATGCTTTGTACCAAGTTTGGTCAAAATTGGCCCCGTGGTTCTTGAGAAGAAGTCGAAAATGTGAAAAGTTTACAGATGGACAGACAGACGGACAGACGGACAAAATGTGATCAGAAAAGCTCACTTGAGCCTTCGGCTCAGGTGAGCTAACAAGAGGCCCATGGGCCACATCGCTCACCTGAGCACTTAAAGGGTAGGAAAAAGTAGAAAATGGCTTTTTAGGTCACCTGAGTAAACTCAGGTGACCTATTGCTATCACTTTTCGTCCGTCGTCGTTCGTCGTTCGTCGTGCGTCGTGCGTCGTGCGTTAACATTTGAACATTTTCAGCTTCTTCTCTGAAACCACTGAACCAATTTCAACCAAATTTGGCATATAGCATCTATGGGTGAAGGGGAACAAAAATTGTGAATTTCATGGGCCCTGCCCCCCTGGGACCTGGGGGGTGGGGCAAAAACTACTAAAATTAGTGCAATCTTTAAAAATCTTCTTCTTTACTCCTGGACATCAAGCAGTCAAACTGTTTGCATGATTGTAATCAGCATTGAGTCCTCTACCAAAATTGTGAAATTCATGGCCCCAGGGTCAGGGGTTCTGGTGTTAGGGTGGGGCTAAATAAGTATATAGTGAAATTTCATGAATTCTTTGAAAATCTTCTTCTCTGCTCCTGGGTATTAAATAAACTAACTAAGTGCATAGTTATGATGAGCAAGAGTGCCTCTACCACAATTGTGAATTTTATGGCCCCAGGGTCAGGGGTTCTGGTGTTAAGGTGGGGCTCTATAGATTATATAGTGAAAATACATAAATTCTTTGAAAATCTTCTTCTCTGCTCCTGGGTATTAAATAAACTAACTAAGTGCATAATTATGATGAGCAAGAGTGTCTCAACCAAAATTGTGAATTTTATGGCCCCAGGGTCATAGGTTCTGGTGTTAGGGTGGGGCTCTATAGATTATATAGTGAAATTTCATGAATTCTTTGAAAATCTTCTTCTCTGCTCCTGGGTATTAAATAAACTAACTTAGTGCATAGTTATGATGAGCAAGAGTGCCTCTACCAAAATTGTGAATTTTATGGCCCCAGGGTCAGGGGTTCTGGTGTAAGGGGGAGGGGATCTTTAGATTACATAGTGAAAATACTTGAATTCTTTGAAAATCTTCTTCTCTGCTCCTTGGTATTAAATAAACTAAATAAGTGCATAGTTATGATGAGCAAGAGTGTCTCTTCCAAAATTGTGAATTCTATGGCCCCAGGGTCAGGGGTTCTGGTGTAAGGGGGGGGGGCTCTATAGATTATATAGTGAAAATACATGAATTCTTTGAAAATCTTCTTCTCTGCTCCTTGGTATTAAATAAACTAAATAAGTGCATAGTTATGATGAGCAAGAGTGCCTCTACCAAAATTGTGAATTTTATGGCCCCAGGATCAGGGGTTCTGGTGTAGGGGGGGGGGGGGGCTCTGTAGATTATATAGTGAGAATACTTGAATTCTTTGAAAATCTTCTTCTCTGCCCCTGGGTATTGAATTAACTAACTAAGTGCTTTGTTATGATGAGCAAAAGTGCTTCTACCAAAATTGTGAATTCGATGGCCCCAGGGTCAGGGGTTCTGGAGTAGGGGGGGGGGGGGCTCTTTAGATTATATAGTGAAAATACATGAATTCTTTGAAAATCTTCTTCTCTGCGTCTGGGTATTAAATAAACTAAATAAGTGCATAATTATGATGAGCAAGAGTGCCTCTTCCAAAATTGTGAATTTTATGGCCCCAGGGTCAGGGATTCTAGTGATAAGGTGGGGCTTTATTGATTATACAATGAAAATACACTAAATCTTTGAAAGTTTTCTTCTCTGCTCCTTGGTATTAAGCAGATGAACAACCTATGTAGTTATGATGAGTAAGGGTCCTAATCTTCCAGAATTGTGAATTTCAAGGCCCCAGGGTCAAGGGTACCATAAAGGAGGGGGGCTGTACTTATATACTGAAACTGGATGAATTGTTTGAAATCTGCTCCTTGGTATTTATCAAATATTTTTGAAAAGCAAGGGTGCCTTTTCAAAAATTGTGCAATGTGTGCATCTAGGCCTAAGGGTCAGGGGTTCATGTGTGATTGGGGCATTACTGATCATGCTGAATATTACTGATTACTTGAAATGCAGTTTTTGTTCCCCTACCCTGCCTATGGGTATTAAGTAAACAAACTAAGCAACTGCTAAGTGTATTGTTATGATGACCAATGGTGCGTATTTCAAAACTGTGAATGCCATAGCATCTGGATTAAAACATGAATCAAATTCAATCACTGGAAAGTTGTTGCATAATGCTCAGGTGACCTATAAGGCCCATGGGCCTCTTGTTATTGTAAAGTTTAAATCCAAAAGTAGTCCCATGACCAATCATGGATTTGCTATTTTTTTAGAAAATGATTTTTAAAGAATTTTCCTATATATATCTTTAAAAACTTTGGTCGGCCATTTTGGCCCCGCCCTACTCCTGGGGGTCATGATTTGAACAAATTTGAATCTACACTACTTGAGCATGCTTCCATATAAATATGATGAATTATGGCTTTGTCATTCTTGAGAAGAAGATGTTTAAAGAATTTTCCTATATATTTCTATGTAAAACTTTGGTCGGCCATTTTGGCCCCGCCCTACCCCCGGGGGTCATGATTTGAACAAACTTGAATCTACACTACCTGAGCATGCTTCCATATAAATATGATGAATTATGGCTTTGTCATTCTTGAGAAGAAGATTTTTAAAGAATTTTCCTATATATTTCTATGTAAAACTTTGGTCGCCCTACCCCCGGGGGTCATGATTTGAACAAACTTGAATCTACACTACCTGAGCATGCTCCCATATAAATATGATGAATTATGGCTTTGTCATTCTTGAGAAGATTTTTAAAGAATTTTCCTAAATATTTCTATGAAAAACTTTAGTCGGCCATTTTGGCCTCACCCTACCCCGGAGGGTGATTATTTGAACAAACTTGAATCTACACTACCTGAGCATGCTCCCATATAAATATGATGAATTATGGCTTTGTCATTCTTGAGAAGAAGATTTTTAAAGAATTTTCCTATATATTTCCATGTAAAACTTTGGTCGGCCATTTTGGCCCCGCCCTACCCCCGGGGGTCATGATTTGAACAAACTTGAATCTACACTACCTGAGGATGTTTCTCCATAAGTTTCATCTTTCCTGGCACAGTGGTTCTTGAGAAGAAGATTTTTAAAATATGCCACTAAATTTTCATTAATTCCCAATTATCTCCCCTTGAATGATGGCGTGGCCCTTCATTTGAACAAACTTCAATCCCCTTCACCCAAGGATACTTTGTGGCAAGTTTGGTTGAAATTGGCCCAGCGGTTCTTGAGAAGAAGTCGAAAATGTGAAAAGTTTACAGACAGACAGACAGACAGACGGACGCCGGACAAAATTGATCAGAAAAGCTCACTTGAGCCTTCGGCTCAGGTGAGCTAAAAAACTGCATGCATATAATACAATCTTTTAAACTGACAATGTAGAAATAAAAACTTCAAATGGTAAGAAAATTTTATTTCAAATTGAGAATGACTTGGAAGGATACATAAAATGCATATGTACCGGTACTGATTATTCAAATTTGTTCACATATCAGTTCTGAAGGTTGATATATATGTAATTTTTTAATTCTTCTTCATAATGTACTGATAATTACAATCTACCAGTATATTGATGAATAGAGAAATAAACAAGAGGCTTAGGGGCCACATTGCTCAACTGAGCAATTTGGCTAAGAATAGGCATAAATCAGCTCTTTTTTGAAAAGTTTAAATATAAAAGTGGATGGGGGTATGATATGAACACTATTGAATCTAAACTTCCTCAAGATGCTTTTCAATTACATGTAACTATATACCTCAAAGTCTGTGGGAATAAAGCTAATAATTACTGGAGAATATTACAATAAAATTTTTCTAATCCGATCACAACTGGTTCCAAATTAATGGTTGATAAGAAAACATTCCAGGTTAGACATACGAGTATTAATCAGTAAAATTTTTATAAGGGACTTGATGTTTACATCAAATTAAAGTGACAAAACCAATATAGACTAGTTCACTTTATATTCATAGAATATGAATAAAAGATATCCTCAAAATTGCTAAAAAATGAGTATGCTAAAATAAATTCCCAATTTTAAGATTAAATAGGTAAACTTGTCTCCAAATTAACCCCTTATATGGTACACCACAATGAATGTTAACAATGATGACAAAAATTCATGATTGCCTTCTCAAATCCATGATTTGATGTGCTAAAATTTGAATACACATACCTGTTCAACATTCTCTAAAGAAAAATTACTTCTTAAACATACATGTATATAAATCAGAGTTTTGTCATTTAATTCTTCACTTATTAAAAAGGTTATTATTCCATGTACATACAGATAATACTTTCTTACAATTCTTTTATTCTCATCTAGTCAAAACTGAATATAACCCTATGAATTATGCTATTTACCGGTAAAACATAAAACGTCAGCTCTAAATAAAATATACTCTTCCTGTATCTAATCTATCATTTGAAAATCTATGATTTTAACTTCAACAACATTAGCAAATTAGTCATTAAAAAATAAACTTAATAAAAATTTATAAAAACATTTCATGCATCTAATTAAAATTGTTTGAACAAATCGTTTTCCTATCATCTATCCCCTCTTAATCGCTGGGCCAACCAAATGTCTTTCGGACTCACAGTCACTCTCTTTGCATGAATTGCACACAGGAGGGCATCCTCGAACAGAAAAACTAGATAGGCTTCTGCTGCCTGCAACAGATTACATCAAACTGTTAGTTGTATTTAATGGTATAACAGATTACATCAAACTGTTAGCTGTATTTAATGGTATAACAGATTACATCAAACTGTTAGCTGTATTTAATGGTATAACAGATTACATCAAACTGTTAGCTGTATTAAAATAGTATAACAGATTATATCAAACTGTTAGCTGTATTAAAATGTATAACAGATTACATCAAACTGTTAGCTGTATTTAATGGTATAACAGATAACATCAAACTGCTTGTTCAATATTAAGTACTTAAAAGTTTTATGCATTTATAAATTAAAGATTTCTTGTATATTAATTCTTTTATTAAATTGAACTGTCAAGTATATTATTTACAGTCATTACTCATAAGTGAATAATAATGGAAAATAACTATTCCATAGAATTCAGGCTAGTATGGGAAATATAATACATGTATGTACATGATCACCTCTTGAAGGGCCATAATTGCTGTAGCTTTCCACATCATGGTTTGGTGAGGACCGACTACTTGCATGGCTATTTCTCTTACCTAAAATAACACAAAACAAAAATCTTAAAAATTTTGCCATCATTTAAGTTAACTTTTGCCCTTAGTTGTGGGCAAATTCAAAATAGTTTGAATTCAACAGTTGTCTCCCTCTTTTCACACATCTGTGCCTGGGTTAAAAACAAGAGGCCCAGGGGCCACAGCGCTCACCTGAGCATATCAGCTAGGAAAAAACACATATCAGATCAGACCTGAAATTTAACTTAAGTTGGGGGGGGGGGGGGGGGGCTTGAATTTTAACCCAAAAGGGATCATAATTTGAACGAACAAGAATCTACATTACCTGAGGATGATTCCATACAAATATAACTAATCCTGGCTTTGAAGTACTTGAAAAGAAGATTTAAAAAGGTTTCCCTATATATTTCTATGTAAAACTTTGGTCGACCATTTTGGCCACACCCTTACCCCGTGGTCATGACTTGAACAAACTTGAATCTACACTACCTGAGGATAATTTCACATGAGTTTCATCTTTCCTGTTTCAATGGTTCTTGAGAAGAAGATTTTTTAAGATTTTTCCTATATATTCCTATGTAAAACTTTGATCGGCCATTTTGGCCCCGCCCTACCCCCGGGGGTCATGGAACAAACTTAAATCTACATTACCTGAGGATGATTCCACATGAGTTTCATCTTTTCTGGCCCAGTGGTTCTTGAGAAGAAGATTTTTAAAGATTTTTCCTATATATTCCTATGTAAAACTTTGATCGGCCATTTTGGCCCCGCCCTTGCCCCGGGGGTCATGACTTGAACAAATTTGAATATACACTACATGAGGATGATTCCACATGAGTTTCATCTTTCCTGTCCCAGTGGTTCTTGGTTAAGTATTTTTTTAAAGATTTTTCCTATATATTCCTAATCGGCCATTTTGGCCCCACCCTACCCCCGGGGGTCATGACTTGAACAGACTTGAATCTACACTACCTGAGGATGGTTCCACATGAGTTTCATCTTTCCTGTCCCAGTGGTTCTTGAGAAGAAGATTTTTAAAGATTTTTCCTATATATTCCTATGTAAAACTTTGATCAGCCATTTTGGCCCCGCCCTACCCCCGGGGGTCATGACTTGAACAAAATTGAATCTACACTACCTGAGGATGATTCCACATGAGTTTCATCTTTCTTGGCCCAGTGGTTCTTGAGAAGAAGATTTTTAAAATATGCCACCAAATTTTCATTTATTCCCAATTATCTCCCCTTGAATGAGGGCTTGGCCCTTCATTTGAACAAACTTGAATCCCCTCCACCAAAGGATACTTTGTGGCAAGTTTGGTTGAAATTGGCCCAGCGGTCCTTGAGAAGAAGTCGAAAATGTGAAAAGTTTACAGACAGACAGACGGACGCCGGACAAAATGTGATCAGAAAAGCTCACTTGAGCCTTCGGCTCAGGTGAGCTAATAAATAGGGTTGAAATGGTGTGATGGGGCATACAGGACATAGCATAAAGAGCAGAATGAATTGAAAAATGTCTACTTAATTTTCTACAAAAATCTTGTCTATGATAAAGTGTTATGATAGTCACCATCAAAAAATTGTAACTGAAGGCAGTGCATTGGTAACAACTTGAAACAGAAAGTTGGGGCTTAGGCCTTCAATTTCAAAATTTAAACTCCCCTTCACTCAAGGATGCTTTGTACCAACTTTGGTTAAAATTGGCCCAGTAGTTCTTGAGAAGAGGTTGAAAAGTTTGCTGATGAACGGGTGGAGGACACATGGTGGGTGATCAGAAAAGCTCACTTCAACTTTCAGATCAAGTTAGTTAAAATTGGTGTACAGATTAAGATTTTTTATGCTTCTTATAAAAAAATATGAAGTGATTTGATAAGCTATATACATCATTCATCTGCAAACAATAAAGGAACAGAAAAATTATTTTGAGCCTTTGGCTATGGTGAGCTTTATTTCCATTGCACATACCACTCTGGAGAAGGGCAGTTTTCTCAGCAACAGATTTGTTGTCCTTTGGAATTGTCTTATTTCCTTTAGGGCCTTCTGTCCAGGTCTGTAGCGTCTCTTTCTAGGGGAGGGTTGTTGTGAGCGCCGACCTCGCACTGTAAAATGTATACATCTAGTACAGATACCATTATATATGAAAATGCACACAGTTCAATAATTTGTGAAATTATCATAAGATAATGACTATAACTTAAGTTGTAATGTACTTGAAAATGTAATCATTCCAATCTCACAAAATTTTACCTGGTGGTTGACTCTTCCGTCGACTGGAGCCACTCGGAGAATCCTTTCTTTGATTCTGCCTTGGCATTATCTGAAATGAATGAAACAGCTTAAAAATCTAACAGGCATATTATGTTATCATTTAGAGAGAGACCTCAAAGCGACTAGTACAACCCATTTTCTCCATGAAATGGGAATCCTACAAAGATTAACTAATTGGTTAATAGTATGCATTTGTGAAATGGGTCTGATTGAGGGAAATAGCAAATTAGGGTCCCTCAAGAGAGGAAACTATTTCCAAAGGCAAAGTAGACACCAAGGGAAAATATTTCTTGCCAAGGGGAGATCATAAATTTGCTATTTCTTGATTACCCATTTTTTGATAATTCTTTCATAACCATTTTATTATTCTGAAAAATCTGAATACTGTATATTTATCAAACCACATACATTTGTACTCAGATATTTTTATAGATATTTTAAAACATAGGTAATCAGAGATTACGAAGCTCACCTCGATGAATGTTATCAGTGTTAGTAATGCAAATCTCACATCATATTTTCTTAATACATGTAGTTGGTATGTAACCCAACAACAATATTCTTGCAAGTTCTGTTTAACCCCTTACATGGCATATGCACATTTCTAAGCATCTAGCATGAAAAACATGTATAGTGTAAACAAATATTCATAACTTTGTTAATACTGCAGATATCTAGGACTTCAAGTTCATTGGGAATGGACCTGCTCCAAAAACTTTAACCTGGTCACTCATCTGAAAAATGTAGGTCAGATCCAGCATCCGAAGCAAGTCTGGTAGTGTGCATCCCTAGATGCAACATCAGTGCAAGTTTGGTTCAGGTAGTGCTTATAGTTAATTGGGAATGAAAATGTAGGTCATATCCAGCATCTAAAGCAAGTCTGGTAGTGCCCATCCCTAGATTCATCATCCATACAAGTTTGGTCCGGTTAGGGCTTATAGTTCCTTGGGAATGGACCTGCTCCAAAAACTTTAACCTGGTCACTCATCTGGAAAATGTAGGTCAGATCCAGCATCTGAAGCAATTCTGGTAGTGTGCATCCCTAGATGCATCATGCATGCAACATTGGTTCAGGTAGGGCTTATAGTTACTTGGGAATGGACTTGCTCCTAAAACTTTAACCTGGTCACGCCACACCGACGAAAATGGGGGTATAGATCCATCTTGACTTCGTGAAGCTAAAAATGATATGAAGTGAAATATGAACATACTGAACAGTAATCAATGAAATTCAAACTGGGAACAAAGAAAACATGAACATCAGAGATGGGATCAGTGCCATGGAGTAGTAAATATCTGTTATTCAATGAGATTCCTGATTGTACATGCTGACGAGGCCATTGTATCAACCATGTTACAAGGCTTAGTGACTTGTGATCCTGATGATTATTGTTATCTTGGATCAATTTTCTTTCTTTAAAACCTTAATAACTATACCGTATTTTAAGTTCACAACACACACAAATAAATTACTTATCAAGTTATGCTATTTAAGCCAATATTTTTGCATGAATGAGATGCTACTGCAATATACAATTAACCCCTTCATGGTAACTGCGGTGCTACTCTTTTGCAGGACAAATTAAAAACGTTTGGCTGAGTTTTTGTTGATAAATAATCAATTGATGTTTTTAAAACAATCACATTTATGTCAAAGAAGAAGGTATGGTTTTAGCTTTATTGCGCCCTAAAAATGATAAATCAGGGAAAAATATGGAATGAAGGTTTACCATTCTGCAAATATGACGTCATTAATGTGAAGCATTTCTCTATTTTCAACAGAAAAAGCCATTGTGGTACATTTCAAGGGTGATTTTCCTGATGAAAACAGTTTCCACAGCCGTCGCCCACGTTAATTTTTTGATATTTTGTGCAAAATTCAATAACAAATCACATATCTCAAGTTTTTGTGGGCGATGCCTGTCACAACACACACAAATAAATTACTTAAAATTATGCTATTTAAGCCAACTTTTTTGCATGAAAATGCAGATGCTATGATGTCAATATACAATTAAAAACACCTGTGAGAAAAATGACTTGTATGATTTTTCTGCATTGCATTGACAATTATTAAAAAGCACGTTTTCAACTTTTACACCAGTTTTTTTTTTAAATAATCAATTGCAAAATTTTTAAAACAATCACATTTATGTCAAATTTCACCAAAGTGTATCATTTTGCCCTGCAAAAGAGCAGTACCACAGATATCGTAAAAGGTTTATTAATCAGTTTACTGTAACAGATTTTTAAAAAGATAATTAATGGTTTGGGCCATGGATATCGGACTGGATAGCTCAGTTAATGGTAGCTAGAGCACCTGACTGGAGATGCAGGGGTCCCAGGTTTAATTCCCGACCCAGCCATACATTTTCTCCCTTCCTGTTACAGATATGGTGCCTTTGACCACCCCTGGAATTGCAGGTGGAAGTCTTACCAAGGGGTAATAATAACTTTGGTTGTGTCTTGGAGGGCAAAGACCATTTAAGGAGGCATGAAATGATGAATGTAATTTTTTGTGCTAGATCCAGTGGATAATCAATTTCAACTTTCTTTTAGGACAATTACGGCTTTAGAGCACCTGAAAGGAGATTTGCAGATGTTCAATTTGAAATCATATGAAAATCAAACCGGATACCTATATTAAATTTGATACATTTGCTGAACATACAATAGTTTTGAGAGATCCACAATACACCCGAATATGAAAAAAAAAAATCCTATATTCAGGGACATGAAAATGACATAAAATAAAGTTTTTCAACATTGACTACATGCACACAGGATTTGACCAAGCTAAAGTTGAGCATCAATCGCAAACCACAAGCTTCCTTAATGATAGAGGAATATCAAAGATAAAGAGATTTGAAATGAAGCACACTGGGTTTAACGACGACTGGGTTAGCACTATGTGTCACTGTATGGGCTGCCACTAGGATTAATTCACTTTTGTGAAATTGTATTCTAGTTGTGTTCTACTGTATTTTCATGCTTATCACTATGTTTTCTATGGGCCTTTACCAATTACTGTAATTGTGTTTGTGCCAATAAAATATTTGTATTTGTATTTGTATTTGTGAACAGTCATGCTGTATAACACTTTCACTAAATGAAATATATATAAAATTAATTAAAACCTATTCTTTATCTCACATGTTTATACCGTTTTTGACGTTGTCTTCTAATGTTACTCTAATATTTACATCGTTGTACTTGCAGTTTCAGCTTTGAATTTACCGGCATTGCGCATGCGCAAATTTGCATTCGAGCATCTTTTGAGTCGTACAGGAAAAATTCGATTCCTTGTCAAAATGATTTTTTTTCGAGCAGCATATCAATTTTACAGGGTTTATTGTAACAAACTTATAAATAATATAAAACTGTTAATATATTTTGTTAAAATTACTTTGCATTTTAAGAATTTTAACAGTTTAATTTTAAGATTATATTATGCATTCATATTTTTCAAATCGAGTTTATAAAGGTATTACATTTCGTAATTTTATTTTTCCTATGTGAATATTTTTAAAAGGTTTTAATAAAGTTTTGTAAGTGACAATTTCCATTTATGATTTTTTTAATAATATAAAATGCATACTTATGTATGGGTGTGCACATTGCAAATGGATGCCTTGATCATCTGTTGATGTTGCCTTCTCAATAAAAAAAAAAGCCAGGCATTAAAACAATTTTTTAAGTTAATTTTATTTATATCTGAATGTATAAAGGTTTAAAAGTTAGTTTTATTTATATCTCAGTTCATAAAGTACATATCTAAATATTAATGTTGCATATATTGATGAGGTGGTAATTATACATTGGTTCTTTTACCATATTCAGAAATAACCTAAGCATCCATATGATATGCATATGATATTGGTCCATTAAAAGAGTTTCATAACTTTTTTCATCCTACAGCATAAATATGCAAGGATGTCTTACAACAACTCGATAGGTCTTTGTCCCCCGCTTTCTCTGAAAGCGGGGTATGTTAATTTAGGTCTGTGTATCTGTCCGTCTAACTCTGTCTGTAACACTTTTGTTTCCAAGCGAATATCTCGAGTCTTTGTTGAGCATGCAGTTGAGATTTAAAAAGAAATTGAATTAAAAAAAATGTTTTAAGCCTTTTCAACTCAATACAGAGAGAGAGAGAGAGAGAGAGAGAGAGAGAGAGAGAGAGAGAGAGAGAGAGAGAGAGAGAGAGAGAGAGAGAGAGAGAGAGTCATTTATTTAAATGAAAAAAATATCAATACACTCGAAAAAGACAATGTACATGTATTTAGTACTTATACTAAAACTCCGCAATACAAAGTTAGACTAGTTATAAACCGGTTAGAAAATTTCCCAGTAATATACGATACAATACAATTTTGGAAGATTTAAAAAAACAAGAGGCCCATGGGCCTTATAGGTCACCTGAGTATTATGCAACAACTTTCCAGTGATTGAATTTGATTCATGTTTTAAGCCAGATGCTATGGCATTCACAATTTTGAAAGGGCATCATTGATCATCATATCAATACACTTAGCAGTTGCTTAGTTTGTTTACTTAATACCCATATGCAGGGTAAGGGAACAAAAAATGCATTTCAACTAATCAGTAATATTCAGCAATAATCAATAGTGCCCCTACCACACATGAACCCCTGACCCTTAGGCCTTGATATTTGATTAATACCAAGGAGCAGATTTCAAACCATTCATTCATTTTCAGTATATAAGTACAGCCCCCCCCCCTTCTATGGTACCCTGACCCTGGGGCCTTGAAATTCACAATTCTGGAAGATGTGGGCCCTTGTCCAGCATAACTATATAGGTAGTTCATCTGCTTAATACCCTGGAGCAGAGAAGAATATTTTCAAAGATTTAATGTATTTTCACTATATAATCAATAGAGCCCCGCCCTAACACCAGAACCCCTGACCCTTGGGCCATAAAATTCACAATTTTGGTAGAGGCACTCTTGCTCATCATAACTATGCACTTAGTTAGTTTATTTAATACCCAGGAGCAGAAAAGATTTTCAAAGAATTCATGTATTTTCACTATATAATCAATAGAGCCCCACCCTAACACCAGAACCCCTGACCCTGGGGCCAAACAAATTCACAATTTTGGTAGAGGCACTCTTGTTCATCATAACTATGCACTTAGTTAGTTCATTTAATACCCAAATTTCAAATGTTAACGCACAACGCACGACGCACAACGCACGACGCACGACGACGGACGAAAACGGATAGCAATAGGTCACCTGAGTTTACTCAGGTGACCTAAAAAGGGGGAGATGTAATAATCGGGCAATAGACAATTCATTGTGAAAATGACCTTACAATTTGTATGAAAAACATGTTTCAAAATTCAACTTCTATTTGCCGACAATAATTTAAATATCATTGTATTGAATTGACCATAGAATTTGCGAAATGTTGACTCTAGGATCCATTCGTAAAATGCCGTTTTATTCACAATTTTAAATTTTCCATGTTTATTTAAAAAAATAAATATGTATTTAACTTCAGCCAAGTGAATAGAATTCGAAATTTTATTATAAGCCCCCCTTCCCCTAAAAAAAACAAACACGTCAAACATCTGGGTTTTTTTTAAAACAGGATGTGAGTTCTGTTATTATAATTGTTTACGTTTTACCGGATGTGTACAATCTGTTCATTCTGCACTCATTCCTGCTGACCATAGACTGACAATGCAAGCGAGTTGTCTTGATTTCTCAGAGTCTGAATTTTTAAACTATATAGAATAAAGTTAACTGGGAAGAAGTGCGACGATGAATGTCAGTCTAGTGCGCCCTGAAATTCAAAGTTTTATCTTTAGTTGATATTCTTGCCACATCAACGTATTTGTCAATGACTTTTCTCATCTTATTCTTAATTTCTAGAAATTAAAAACAACCATGACCTTCCATGGTTTTAGGATGTTCTTTCTTCCTAAATGCAATAAATTTTTACTTGATCTCAAGATATATATATATGACAAATAATACCTTCTAGAGTCTGAACTCAAGGGTGGGGGGGGGGGGGCAAGGAAGAGAGTTGGTACAGTAGTTTTCCCAATAACATTGGTAAGAACATTTTTCATTGTAAATTGACTTGCAAACAATTTACTTATTAAGAATTCGAAGAATAATAAAAGAGGACCAAGAAATAAAGCAGATTCATGCAACGAGGGACCACTCTGTCATAAATATCTCTTTTTGAAAGTGTTTTTTTTTTTAAAGATAAAAACCAATTGCATATTGATGTGAAAAAGAAAGATATTCCCAAATTATATTTTGGTCTTTGTCATCAATTTTATTGTACAACTCCTTGTTCCTTTACCATGAATTTTCATTAGCTCTACTGGTCAGAGACCAGAAGAGATTATGCGATAGTAATGCGTCCATCGTCCGTCCGTCTGTCTGTAAACAATTTTTCAAAATGCTACTCCTCCTACAGTTCTGGTCTGATTTCAATATAACTTGGCACACAAGTAGACTATACTAAGATACATAATTCTTTATATCGGTTTTTGATTTCGATGAACGGTATTGCCGTGGTTACTAAAAATAGATATTTCTGTGAAATACTTTTAAAATGCTACTCCTCCAACAGTTTTAGTTTGATTTCAATATATTTTGGCACACAAGTATACTACACTAAGATACATAATTCTGTTTATCGGTTTTTTATTTTGATGAATGGTGTTGCCTTGGTTACTAAATATAGAAATTTCTTCGAAATACTTAAAAAATGCAATTCCAAATACAGTATTAGTCTGATTAAAGTATAATGTGGCATGCAAGTAATGTACACTGAGAAATATGATCATTATTCTATTTATTGCTGTAGTGAAGTTTCAAGTCCCAACTGCCACTTTTCTTTTTCTTTGATTAAAGTACAAACCAGTAGAGCTACAGTCTCAACAGAGACTTCTGGTTTTATTCATGATCATTTGTCTGCTACATATCCAAGAACAAAAAAAGCTTTGCTTTTACTTTTTTTAAATGCTGATTACCATGATTCAGACATTACAAAGAACAAGGCTGAAGTCATTGCAAGTACAAAACCAATATGGCACAAACTGGGCAGTGAAAGGCAGTGATAGATGTAAATAGATAATAAAATTTTAAATAAGTGAAACAATCTTAATTTCAATGTTTCAAAAATCCTTAAAAAAAAAAAAAAAAAAAAAAAAAACTATCTTGGACTTTTCAACTGGCCATACACACAATCGTTCTTTCTTTCTTATAGCCATATTTTTTCAAGATGTGAAACTTAATGATTAAACTTTTTTTAAGATACAAAATTTTTCAAATGTTGTAAAAAAAGTCTCAGGAATGTAAAAACTTCATATATGTCCAACTAAACTCTACCCTAAATATTGCTTCAGTTTAGCCTTTAAATGCTCCTTTTGCTTGTCAGAAAAGGCTTTGTTAATGCTGAGAAAGCAGCCATCATTTTTCAATGATTTCAGTTCTTTATGTCTGTTTGCAGATGTTAGTTTATCACTGAAGAGGTTATCTCCCATGTTTCCGGATTCTTTGTGTCCACAATAGACAAGGATCACTTTCCCTGTCAACAGATAAAAAAAATTATTATATTTTAAAGTTTGTTCAATGAAGTATAATTAGTGTTAATTATAGATTACGATGACAAATTAGAAAGCTTTAATTATCATAAAAAAAAACTTTAGCCCCTTATTTTCATTGTGTAAATTATAGACAAAAAAAGGAATAGAAATAGGAAGAAAAAGGTCATTTTAAAAACGTAGTCAAATAATGAATTAAACAAATAACACTGAAGCTCAAGAGAGGTAGAAATAAAAAAATATTATGTCCATACCCCCTTTGATATAAATTTCTGATGAAGACAGAATGACCAGTGTTTTTTGAAAAACTAATATTATTTTCACAAATGTCAACTAAAAAAAAAAATTCTGAGCAATGTTGAATCAGAATGAAAGTTTACTGAAGATATCATTAGGCCATACTATAAATATTAAGCATGACTTTGAAGTTCTTAAAAAGAAGATTTTAAAAGGTTTTCTATACCTCCCTGGTTTTTGATGTGGTCTTGAGAGGAAGAATTTTCCAATATATTCCTATGTAAAACACAGCTCAAACTTACACTAAGGATGATTCCACCAATTTCTTAAAGATTTTTCCTATATATTCTATGATTCTAAAATTATGTGACGGTCATTTGTCTCCACAAATAACACTGAAACCTGAAGAAAGGTAGATTTTTTTAAAGAAAGTTTTTATTCAAGATCACTCTTATATCCTTAAAAAGTTACTACTGTCAGATAGAAATGAAATCAAACGTTGAAAAATAAAGGTAGCATTATTTTAACTGAACTAGATGATACAATGTCAGTCCAAAGAGAGCTCTTCTTTATATTGCTGACATTTTGACCTTTGAACTAGTTATTTCAGAATCTATAGAAACCCTTTTGTAATTGTGAATAAGGGTTCCTCTGCATGAAACAAATCTTTTTTCCATGCAAATAAGAGTCACTGTGTTCATGTGAAAATACACCATGATGACTGTGACCTTCAGTTGAACATATCCAAATCCATTGGTTCTTCCTCTACCTATTGTTAACAGTTATTTGTACAATGTTCACTAAACTTAAAATTTTTTTACATTTATTAAAAGAGACATTACTTTATCTGCCAAATTCATAAACATTCCTGGACCAATGTAGAGTGTGCAAACAGAAATGTGGGAAGGGTACCAGATTAATTGATAATTTTTTTTAAACAAACCTTTGATTTGATTTGTAATGCCTGTTCACTTTTGGTGATAGAGAAAGACTGAGTTTCTATGCCTGATAAAATGTCTTTCATCAAATTCTGGTGTTCTGCTTGTCGATTGTTGTTGAAACTGACGATGGCGACTGATCTTTCGAGTCCTGAGAATTCCTTCAAGGTTGAAAATGAAATTAATTAAATCACACATATAAAAAGCATTTTAAAAATCATTTTAAGTTGGACAATTTATATTTTGTTTTCTGTATTTCAAAATATTATTTCTGACCATAATTATTTAAAGGAAAAACAGTGATTTATGCATTGAATTTTTACATACTTTCTTTTTAAAATGCAATTTCTCCAAAGTGTCAAAAAGGAAATCAATAAACATAAATCTGATTTCACAATCATTGAGATAAAGATCATTGAAAATTTTCGATGGAAATATGTGTGTGTGTGTGTGTGTGTGTGTTACAGGTAACCTACCGTTCCTTTTATACTGAACCAGTTTCTACCAGGTGCTGTAGCATTTAAATTCTGGGTCATGTCAGCAGTTCTTGATTGACCTCTCAGTGTTTTTAGTTTTTTTAGTGCATTCAAGAGGAGCATGAACACCACAAATTCTCCTATCCCAAGCAAAAACACAGACAGCAGCAATAATTCTGAATGGATGGGAGAAAGAAATTTTAGGAAATTATAAAGTAGCAGCAAACAAAATATGTATTTTCAAAAAGTGACAATAGTTGACTTTTGACAACATACCAGCACCAAATATTAATTAAAATCTGTATTAATTAAAGCAGTTAATCATTATTGGGATAATGAATACACTTTAGAGCCCTTATACCATAATTGATTTTTTGGTTGTCACTATACTCACCAATAATTTTACCCATTTTACCCAATATGCCGAGAAGGCAAAGTTATTCAAATGAAAGTCATACCTGGATTTAACTGTGTTTTTCTGTCATAATCCTGTTTTATCTTGACGATCTCCAAATCATTCCGAGTTTCATTGTTCCACCTGGCTGATTCCACCATTGTTTTATTCACATCCATTTCACATTTGTTATATTTTTCCAACATTTTTTCATAGTTATCCTGTAATTTTTTACTCTCGGAATTGCAGCTCATGCCAAATTTGTTCAATTTTTCTTCTGCTATATGTAAGTTTATTTCACATTTTTCTGAGATATCTTTTAAACTTTTGTTATAGTTTTCTATCATGGATTGGTTGATATCTGACAATATCTCTACCGGTATTTTCATTGTTGAGTTGTGTTCCATGTTGAACAAAGCACTCCAGATATAATCTTCTGCATGCCTGATAACAAAGCTTAGTAAGACTGATGTAACAACCCTGTTAAAAATAGGAACAAGTTTTAATCAAAAGAATAAAATGCATCTTGTATACACTCCATAAAATTATTAACATGATCAGGGTGCTTTAAAATAGAGATTTCAACTGAAAAAGCAGCAACAACTAAAATCTAAGAAGATAACAAAGTCAAGTAATGCTTTTAAAAATAATTGTATAAAACTGTGTATTTTTTTCCATTCAAAAAATACAATGAGGTTGTTAGACTTGTCTGGGGGCAATGGAGGGAGAGGGGTGCCATCTCTGACATTTCCCTTTTTATCAATTAGCCCCTTCACAATAACTGTGGTACTACTCTTTTGCAGGGCAAAATAATAATGTTTGGCGAAGTTTTTGTTGATAGACAATTAAATGATGTATCTTTAACAATAACTTTTACTTCATATTTCACCAAACTATATTATTTTGCCCTGCAAAAGAGCAGTACCGTAGTTACCGTGAAACGGTCTATTCATAGTTCTGTCAGGTGCGAATACACAGATGACTACTCTGATTGGTAAAAAATATTCATCATTTAACTCTGTCAATGAATTAAGAATCATATTTCAAGTTATTGTTGAAAACATTAAACATTATTTTGAAAGTTATGTGCTCTTATTTTCTCATACGTTGTTGTAGTTTGCATTTTCAAGTCCACAGCCTACATTCCTTGGTCCCTGATCACGTGGGAAAAAGCTGAAAAAATATGCAACAATCAAAACTAGAACTGTCCAAACGGGACAAAATACCCCCCGCTGGGTTTCTCAGAAGTAAGTTTTTCCATAAAGATATGTTTCAAACAGGAATTATGAAATTTTTCTTCCAGTGACCTTGAACTTCCCCAAATGACCTTGAGTCAAGGTCATAACACACCCTTGGGTCATGGGCAATCTTTGTGTAAAATGAGAACCTACCAAGTTTATCCATAAGAAAGATATGGACCAGACATGAATTATGAAATTTTTCTTCCAGTGACCTTGAACTTCCCCAAATGACCTTGGGTCAAGGTCATGACACACCCTTGGGTCATGGGCAATCTTTGTGTGAAATGAGAACCTACCAAGTTTATCCATAAGAAAGATATGGACCGGACACAAATTATGAAATTTTTCTTCCAGTGACCTTGAACTTCCCAAAATGACCTTGAGTCTAGGTCATGACACACCCTTAGGTCATGGGCAATCTTTGTGTGAAATGAGAACCTACCAAGTTTATCCATAAGAAAGATATGGACCGGACACAAATTATGAAATTTTTCTTCCAGTGACCTTGAACTTCCCCAAATGACCTTGGGTCAAGATCATGACACACCCTTAGGTCATGGGCAATCTTTGTGTGAAGTAGTAGATTCTAATGTTCCTCTGTAAGAAAGATATGGACTGGACACGATTGCACAGACAGACGGACGGACGGACAGACAGACGGACAGGGTGATTCCTATATACCCCCACAAACTTCGTTTGTGGGGGGTATTATGATTATGTGTTGTATAACAAGCACTCTAATAAAAATAATGTTATATCCTATCACACACTTAAGTTAGTGTAACAAATTTGCGAGATGATCTAACCAGGGACGTACCATAGGCGCTTCCCGCACCTCAGATCTCCATATATTTTCCATATTCAAAATAAGGAGAAAATGCGTACGGGAGTATTTGGACTAATTTTCCGCAATCATTCCAGATTTCCGTAGATTAAAATTTCCAGATTTTCTCCGTATTCAAAATATGGAGAAAATGTGGGGGGGAGTATTTGGACTCTTTTTCCGTATTCTCTCCAGATTTCCGCATTTCCATATATACAAAATATGGAAGTATTTACTTGGTTGATAAAATGCGGAAATACAGAAATCTGGAGAAAATACGGAGCTAATCACATGGTTGTAAAATGGCTTAAAAACACTACATGATGCATACATACATAAATATTTACAAAACCATCAACAATGTGCAAATTTTTATACAATTTATTATATCATTATGAGAAAAACATATAAATGAATGAAAAATTTACACATTATGTTCATGAGCAATGTATTGGATCTTATATCTTTGACAAACAAACACTCTGAGGAGCATGTATGGTAAAAGTTTGAACTCTTATTTAAGCCACAAATTCATCATGGAAAAAAATAAGAATGTGGCATTTTTTTTTTAATATTTATATTAATTAAATGGAAATCTATTCATTCTATTTAAGCAAAAGTGGTTGTGAAAAGTTCAACACTATTAGATATATTGGGGAAAAAATAACAAATGACATAGCATTGAATATTTACTCCCCAAAAAGCAATTTTAGGCCATAAAAAATTGAAATCTTGGTTCTCAGGCCCGCGCGCATCCGTTTTGAGGTAGCCGCATTGCCGATTTTATTGTATTTTTGATAAAATAAAAAGTTGGTAATGCGCAGACCAATCCGGGAAAAAAATTCCGACCTCATTTGTTTCGTAGTTTAGTATTCAAATATTACTTCCGGTAGCCATTTACAATGAGATTTTGGCTACTTCGTTTGAAAATACATTCGAGGATATTACCTACGATGTTTACATGCTGTTAAGCAATGGTTACAGTAGAAATTTTGACCTGAAATGGAAAGTATATCTGTAATAAAAAAAAAATATATTTATGTTAAAGAAAATTCGGAAATTAAAATAAAAAAAATATCTCCCTCATCTAATTTATTGCCAATAAAATGAAAAATAAAATGCCGCCCTCCCGCATCTGTTTTGGAGAAAATTGGCCTGAGAACCAGGGAATTAATTTTTGATAGCCTTATAGACATTTTTTATCAATCTGGATCACATTTGCCATTTTCTACCTGCATCCCTGATTCAAATTTCTCACAATTCAATTTATATCTCAGGTCTGTGCTTTACACCCATCTGTCCAATAAATATTTTCATCCAGGGCTCTCGATTCTCTAAATCTGGGGCCGATATTCGGCCCCGTTCCCAATGCAAAAAAGGTACCTTTTTTCCCAAAAGAAAGGTGTAAATTTCCCAATTTCAAAATATTAAATAAAAAATTAAAAAATTGCATGAAACTTAATTGCAAAATAAACCCAAAACAAAACACCTGTAAATGAAAGTGAAACAAATTAGTTCTATACATATGTATGACTATTAATAACTTCGCGCCAAGTGCATTCGTAAACTGGTTCGGGGAACCAGGTTAGTGTTATTACAGAAATGTATAACTATGATTGCAGAGTATCTTGTCATGAAAATCGACAAAAAACATCATTTTCAGTTTTCAAAAATAGACATTTCATATGAACATTAGTAAGCGGCTCCTAGAAACATGTCCAAGATTCAGCATGTTCAGTCTCATGCTGTAAGCAACGATGATCATGTAATCGAGGAAATTCGGGACTATGTGACTAGCGACTGTCACTCAGAAAGACATATAACCGTAATATCAACACTCAAAGATAGTTATGACAAAGCTAATGTACTTTCAATAAATTGCCTACATATCGATGTTTGTTAGATGTTTACCTATTTATTCAATACTAGAGTTAAATTGATGACAAAATGCTAGAAAAGCAAAATTTGAGATTTTTTTTTAATGAATGTTGGTCATCCAACTTTTCCCAAAATGACGATAATTTTCCCAATTTGAACGGCCCCGGCCCCAGTCCCAAAAAGTGGTGTGAGAGCCCTGTCATCAGACTTCTTTGTAATTTGTAAGGTCACTGCATGTTTAATTTCTTGCAGCAGTACTTGCGGTTGAATTGGCAAATCCTATCAGTTAAAAAAAATACTTAAATTATAATGGTGCAATATTAATAAAATTTAAATTATAATTGCTTTTACTCCTTTTATAATATTTTTATTAACACAAGTTTGGGTTCTTCAATTTTATATAAATTTGTTTAAAATAATATCTATAATAATGACAATCATAGTTGACTGTTTTTAATTAAACAAGCAATAAAAAAAGAAAAAAAAGAATATATATACCTCATACATAACCATCCATGGACCAGCTTTAAGCCTGTTAAAATCGCAGGAATAACCACTTATTCTTTTTAAGGAAATCTCCTCCTTATGCACAGACGCTACCAAAAAAAAAATGTATGGTAAATCATTGCTAGAGCAATGGCTCCCCAAAATGAACACCTTTAATTGTAGTTAACCATAATTAAATTCTATGAGCTGATTGAATGATTTGAATCATGGGCATATTGGCTGAAACGAACGTAGCCTGGTAGCTCAGTCCTAGGCCTAGAGTATTTATTTTCATCATCAGTGACACACATGTTAAAAAAAATATGACTGACCTACCGCATATGAAATATGTGTATCTGCATCTTTTGGTTGATACAGCAATACGATCTCGGGCTGTCTGGTCAACAAACTTCCTCCTTTTGACAGAGCAGACGTTACAACATGGAAGCCAAGGTTAAATTTTGGCGGTCTGTTGTTTAAATTAATTGATCAATGAGCCCGACTTTTTGAAACATTTTTCCGATCCCGATCAAATTGTACATAACATTCAGGAGAAACAAAGAACTGTTGTTAACTCCAAGACAGTTTTTATGTGCCCGAATTTTTTCGGGGCGCATATTGTTTTTGTCTTGTCTGTCTGTTTAGCTGTTTGTCTGTCTGTTTTTCTGTCTGTTGTCAACTTTAACCTTCGCCATTACTTTTGAACCGTAAGACTTAGAGACTTCATATTTGGTATGCATACTCCACTACAAAAGCACTTTCAACTGACACCAAGGTCAATGACCTTGTGACCTTGACTGTGACCTATATGCTAAAAATAGCTTTTTCGAACTTTTGCAATAATTAACTTTTGAACCGTGAGAGATAGAGACTTCATATTTGGTATGCATACTCCACTGCAGAAGCACTTTCAACTGACACCAAGGGCAATGACCTTGTGACCTTGACTGTGACCTTTGTGCTAAAAATAGCTTTTTTCGAATTTTCACCATAACTTTTGAACCATAGATGATAGAGACTTAATATTTGGTGTGTATGCATACTCCACTAAATAAGTGCTTTCAAATGACACCAAGGTCAATGACCTTGTGACCTTGACTGAAACCCATTTGCTAAAAATTGCTTTTTAGAAGTTTGTTGCTGCCAGGCGCTACCATGTTTAACAAACACATCTTGTTCTTGATAAAAAAAATTCTAAGTCCAGAGCTCCGTATTTTTTCCAGATGAAAAATATTCTAAGTTAAGAGTTCAATATTTTTCCAGATGAAAAATAGACTAAGTCCAATTCTCCGTATTATTTCCATACATTTTCCGGATTATTTCCATATATTTTCTGCTTTTCCGTATTGTTAATTCTCTCCGTATTTTTTTCCACATTTTTCCATATTTAAAATGAGGAAAAAATGCGGAATAATGCGGAAATCTGGAGATCTGAGGTGCGGGTTGGTTACAGGATGGTGTATTTTGTATATTATGTGTTTTTCTAGGTGTGTCTGAATACCTGAGGTACCGAATGAACAAAAAACTCACTGCTCGATCGTAGAACTGTGAAATGAACAGAGAGAAAAATCGAGCTAAGGAAATGAATGCAAATGTAAGCATTGATATCATGGACTGTCATAATACCTGTAGTTAGTGGCTCCTTTATTTATATATTAAAAAGTTTTTAGTTTAAATGAAGTATTGGCGTGTGAAGATATTTAAACTTTATATTTCGTACATGTAAGGCTTACCTAATTATAGAATTGACAAATTTTCACTTTGTACATATTTTTTTCAATGTAGGAAAATCACAAGAAGAGACACATATTCATATAATTATATCTAAGATGTCTGTATAATAAATTCCTTCAGTATTCAGTACGGTGAGTACCCACACTGGCCACATGTGTACCTCTATGTGAAAACGAAAGTAGGCCTAATCGATACGGGGATGTGTTTCGCGCCAATTCTGTTTCGCACTGTTTGTCAACTTGCCCATAGAAAAGTCGCGTACATCTCGAGTGATTAGATTTCGCCCCAATTCTTGTTCAAGTTGTTGGAATGGCAAATACGGACATCTAAAAACACCAGAGGTGAAATCTTTCAAAAGAGATAGAGAAAAATCGCGGTTGTGGATTGTTATCCTTATATATCAACTTATTTATCAGTAGTTTGTCTGGACTTTCTTTTTAAAGAAAAAGAGTTCATGCACTTGGATTGCGTATCAAATCAACTGGGAATCATAATCCCCATTAGGTTTACGCCCCTGTATTCAAATATGCAGGGGTATACAGTTTTTGCCCCGTCCTTCCCTCTGTCCGTATGTTTGTCTGCAAGTAAAAACTTTTTCTTGTCCATGATTTTTTATTGAACGGAGCAATGGCTTTCATATGTCACATGTGTATTCCTTGTTACAAGACAATTTTTTGGATTTCAACATATTTGATATCTTTACTTTGGAATTTGACCCACTTTTGCAAAAATTTAGCAAACGCATAATTACCCTTGGTCATAACTTCTGTACAGTTCTTGCTTTACCCTATCAAACATGTACTTAACTTGTGTATTCATTGTAACAGGACCTTTTCATGAGTATAACTTTTGACATTGACGTTAGAGTTCGACCCCACCTGGGTACAATAAATTTTTACCCTTTGAACTTGTCCTTTGAATTTAGCTTACTTAAAAAAAAAAAAAAATTTTGGTCTTTTGTTATTGGGCTTTCATATTTTACAAATATATTCATTGAGACACGACCTTTCGTTGGGTACATATATCAACATTTTTATCTCTTTAGCCTAACCTTGGGCTTTGACTTAATTTGAAACATTTTTTTCCGAAAGCTGCCATACATCATCTTCGTTAGCCAAGGATTTCCGATCCGAAATCTACTCTAAAACGTTGTAGAGTAGATTTCGGATCGGAAACCATCGGCAAGCAAAGATTCCATGCGTGGGCATCAATCGATGTTTCACTTTTTTAAAGATATTTTCTCCTATGGAGAATTTTTAAGAACAAAAAGTAAAAAAAATGTTTAAGTTTTTCTTTTATGCAAGAAACAGTAGATGACCAGAAAATGCCGTCTCAATTCCAGCATTGATAACTGTGTTCCCGGTATCTGTATTTTGAATCCACATTTTATCCCCTTTATTCATGAGCACTATGATTGCACCACTTCCTCGACCAAACCAACTCTGGGTGTGTTTATCTGCGTATACATCAAGTATGTTGACGCCATTATGCATCATTTCTCCGTGACCGTTTTCTACGTCACTTGAGAGCACCAGGTCAAATTTGTAGATGCCATTGACAGGGGCAGTGAATTTGCGTCATAAGCATTCCCCTTGTTCAGTTGGACGTCATCAAAGACGATAATGGTAGATTGGTGGTGATTGGTTATTTTGTTACGAAGCCTCACAAAGAAAGCTACTTCTTTTCTGTTTGCTGTGAATAAATTTTATTTGTAGAAATCAAGAAAACAAATGTAATGTGCAGTATGTATTATCTATTTAATGAAGTATATTGAAGATTTTAAAAATGTATTTTCTTACCAATTGTCGACAGATTGGCTTTCAAGTCGGAAAACTTTGTATGTAGATTTCGGTAATTGTTCTCACAAGTAACAACATTAGTCCTCAGGTCTGAAAAGGAAAGGTGGAGGTAAACTCTTCCTAGCATTTTTTTGTGTATTTTTTAAAAAAATTTCTACACACCTTGTATCTGAGACTGGATGTTTGTTATCTGTTTCTGCAGTTCTATCCGGAGTTGTTGTTCTTGAAGAAGAAGCTGGTGCGTGAACTGGGAATCGAGGGTGTTTGAAGAGGAGGCTGTCGTGAGTAGCGTAGGATCCGCGCTATTCAGAAGAGAACTGACGTCCAAAATAGAACAAAAAAGTAAAACAAAGACTGGATATACCATGTTGACAGTATTATGTGTAGCTATACATACATGTGGAACAATTACAGATAACAAAGGCCTAACTGTGTCAAGAATAAGGAACTCTTATCAATGTTAGTCAATCAGTAGCAATTTGTTTGTTTCTTTTTTGTTATAAATGTTGTCTTGACATTCTGCCTTATGCAAATTGGATGATAGAAAATCTCCAAATGTGACAGCCACACACAATACTACTTTTTAGAATATACACTGAACCAAACTTCTAAGTGTTCATCTAACAATTTTTAAATTTTAAAGAAAAATATGCATGCAATAAATAATTTCTTTAATTCATGGTTAATGTTGCATATTTCAGTTTGATGTTCCCTAAATTTTATGTAAGTACGAGGGATGATTAAAAGTTCGCGAACTATCTCTTTATCTACAAAACCACAATTCAGATTAGAATGAAATTTGGTACACACATAACCATACACAAGTTCCATAAATAGTGTATGCTGAATAAAGTTTTGCTCCTTGTTAAATCAGCATTAACGGTCGCAAATACCAAATTAAAAGATCAGTTATTCCCATTCTAATGCAATCCATGCATTTTGTTTGTTGATTATGTCTTATTTTGATGAATTTTGTTTCATGAAATACGTCACGGAGCATTGTGTTTTCCGTAGCTCTATTATGACGTCACAATGAAAAAGCTTTCACGCTCGTTAATGCTCGTTTTACTGCTTCAAACATCAGTGCATTAGCCAATCAAAAAGTGTTTTACAAAACAATTGCATTAGAATTTATTGTATATATTAGAAACCCCTTTGCCGTAACATATAATAATTTGTACACATTTTATTAAGACCAATGACTTACTATAAATTTAATCAATGATTGGATTGATCGTTTTAGTGAAGGGAGGTAGATGGTTAAAATGATACATGTAATGTTGCTCAGTGAAAGCAAGTTTGAAAAGATACGTGTTTTTAATTAAGCAATTTGCTGTCAAAGACCTCCAATTAACACTTTGAAAAATAGTTGAATATATGAACATTAATATGATTATTAATACCTAAGATATCGTTTACTGTAGATTTCTCTATCTACCTTGAATAACATCCACAGCATCCAGAGAATGTATAACTTTCACTGCATCTGCACCATCTACGTCATGTATGACACCCTCAGCACATATATCTGGAACTCAAACTTGTACTCGATCCAGCCTCAATGACAATAATTCTGTGGTTCTGTGCACGACAATTACAAGCCCCCCTGTTTTAGGAACAGTTCTCCTTTGTATTATAATTGTGGTTGCCATCAAGGCAAAGAAAACGTGCAATGCAATAACAACATTATCCCCGGAATAAAAATAGATACCAAATCTTGTTTAGATTTAGAGGTTGTAGGTATTTCCAAACAACCTATCGCTTTTTGGTGTTTGTGAAATTGAATTCAATGAAAGTGAATTATGTTCAGATGCAAAGGATCGATAAAATTGGTAGTGATTGTAAGAGTCAGGAATTGATTGAAAATTGAAATCTTTCTTGTGAAAGATAAAGCACCAAAGTCAAATACTGTGATAATTATTAGTGGTTGCACTGTTCCTATTTTGTATTGTTTAATGGACTTTTGATCTTGAATACTGTTCGATATCTCCATATATATGTTTCGATCATCAACATCATCCTATGCAACTACAACATCCAGTTCATCTGCAACAAGAACAACATCGTCTGCAGTATTTACAACTCCCACATCGCCTTTAATAACAACTGATCATTAACAGCTACAACAACCACATCCTCCAACACATTAACATCCTCTAGAGTATTCACATTTCCCACATCAACAACAACATCATCCGTAGCATCGTCAACAAATACAGCTTCCATTTAATTCACAGCAGCTTTAGCATGAACATCATCCACACCATCTCAAACAACAAAATCATCTACCCTTTGACAAAAATATTTGGCCAGTCATGACAAATGAAACCTTCATCACAATAGTGACTTTTGCATGTTTCAGTCTTATAATAATTTCAATACTAATCATTGTTTTTTCATCTAAAAACCTTCTTTCGGATATAGTCCAAAAGGATTTGAAACATCCATACATAATAACAATAAGAGTTGTAGATTGTCTATTGGACATCCATTTATTTTGAAAACTTACTGTTACCTTATATTTCAATAAAACAAGGTTTTCTCTTTCTCAGTCTAAATTATGCATATGGTCAATAAATTTATGTGATTTTTAAAAAAATATTTATTAGTATTAATTAGCTATATTGGAACAATTCTTTATTGAAAAATATTTTGTATCAAATAATTTAAAAGAAAAGTTCTTTGAACCTCAGAGTACAGGAAATCGTATGCACATTTCAGCACCTACATTTTTTTTTACAATTATCAAGCTAGAAGCATGCTAGAAACAATTTACCAAAGAAATACTTTGTTTAATATTGCCATTATTAGATAGTGTCTTAATGGCGTAGGGTTTCTGCCAATTTTGCAAAACATGTTGCAAATTTGTTCA